CAAGCTCGAATTCTCGCAAGTATCCTCTTGCCACGTGGCAAGATGTAGATCCAAGCCGTCCATTGACGCAACGATGAGAATCGGGGCGGATAACGTATGATCATCGACTGACATGCATGGCTAAAAACCCAATTCGTGTGCACGACGACTGCCAATCGGTCGATGCAGCGTGACTCTTCGAAACGGACGTGCTGGACGTTGATTGCTGCGCGCCGCTCCAGACACCTTCGTTCCTCCCGCGCGAACCTCGTCAGTGGAATAGGCAGCCTTTTCTCCGGCGGAGATGTACTGAGAGGCTGAGCGCACCCCCGGAAGGATAGTTCGCCCCAGTCATGTCCTGCTGTAGTACTGCTGTCATCTCGATGGCAAGAAGAGCGCGAACAAACATACACCCTCCGATCTGCCATCCTGACGGCAACGCATCGAAAACGCGCCGCGCGGTACAGCATCTGCGCAAGAACCACCCGGTGCGATCCGCCCGGGAGGCGGATTTGCACTGCCTGATACAGATGATCCCGTCGTTCCACACGTCAACAGAGAGGGCAATGTGCCAATGGCACGCAGTGGATGAGGACGCGAGGAAGAGATCCCCCAATCTGTGTTGCAGCGCACATTGTATTGTACCATCGGGGGAAAAGTCGAGGCGAGGGTCGGCCGCACCGTCACCGAACACCCCATGGAAGAAAATCAAGCTCATCTAGCTCGTCACATCTCTGAGATGGGTCATGTGAGTGCATGACCGTCAGACAGAGAGGAGCTGGTCCCGTTCTTGCGTAGGGGCGGTAGAGGAGTTCTAACCGGTAGCCTTTCATGCATTACATCGGAGCAAGATACTCGGCAGAGTGTGCAAGTACAGTCACGTGCGATTGAGATGAGGATATCTAATTTCAAGATAAGATAATCAGGTACATACAACATTGCTTCAGTCTCTCTTGAAGCCATTGGTTGCGCGTGACTGCGGCCATTCGCCGAGCCATTCGCCGCTTTTTCAGGCTCGAACCGCTTCGGAGGGATGATATCATTTTGGTGAACTGGGGCCGAGTGAGAAACGATATAGGCAAGGGTGAAGCGTTTTGCGCACCAGAACCAGTTCAGCCCCTGGAGGAGAATATTCCCAGATCCAATGGCTATCGCCCCGGCGAGTGGAATTTGATCGCGGTAGCGATGGAGAGCACGAAGAAGTGGTACGACTGGCGGCAACGACGGCGTGTTAGCGTAGCTCGACACTGAGAACGGAGCACGTACGGTGTAACCACCGTACATCAACCGGACAGGAAGAAGCTTGAGATCAGGAAGACGCCGTTGAGGAGCTGCATAGTCCCCCCTGTGCGATTCATTTTGTCTAGGGCCCTGCGCAACGTCATGACTTCTGTGAGGACGGCGAGGTGTGAGAACCTCCAGTGATTGTTGAGGAATATCGTGCTCCTGCTCGAATGTCAGCAACAACGCACAGGGATGGAAGAATACGTACGTTTCCCAGAGCAAGCATCGTGCGGCATAGTATGCAAGAAATGGTTTCTTTACGTGAGGACGTCAATTTCAGATCAGGGATGCTGCTCTGAAGGACGCACGAAAGCACACAGATAGATAGCCGTGCAGGCGACACCATGGAGCACGAACCCGACGCTTTCAAAGTTGTATATCGCGTCGATTGCATCCCACAAAAAGTATCTGACGACCAAGGTTATGGCGCGAAGGGGGAGGAGAGGTTAACGCACGCGACTGCGATAGCCTGCAGGGTCCCACTCTGTTCGTTCCAGCCGAAGGCGCGGTTCGCATCTAGCTCCGGTAGCTGCAGACGACGCAACGCGAGAGGCACGATGATCAACGCGTGAGCCTGAGAACAGACGTGGATAGCCCTGAAAAGTTCATTTATTGGCGATCCCTACCGGAAAAAAATCACACACACACCAATTATTCCGTGCCCGTCTGTTCATTTTGTTCCATTGCGCAGGAAAAAGCAAATTGCCTATGAGCGGGACAAGGAATAGGTGGATGACATTGAACAGCGCATATGATGCCAGAAAGACAGGGAGGTGCGGGCGTAGTTTTGGGAACGTGCGGTCTAGGTCAAAAAAATCCATAACGAGGGTGAGTAAAACGTGGGACGCTCGTCTCCGTTGTACACATCGTGTTGGACCGAGATCGGGTTCCAGCGGCAGACTTCGTGATGCGGTCTCTGTCATCAACGTGCTACCTGATCATTACGTCAGTGCTTGATGCCTGATCCGCTGGGTGAATACTTGGTTTCTTACCCTTGTGACCTTGAGCTGCTTTTATCGAGGCGGTGTTCTGCGGAAAAGCTCCGTTCAGCCGAATTTCCGTCAATCTGAGATATTTGGTGCTCATTCTGGAGTGTGACCAGGGAAATCGCCGCTCGCCTTTTCCTTTTGATCAAAGCCGCATTGATGCTGCCAGATCGTCACTTACGTAATCGGAGGTACACTCTCGCTGCGCTTTTGTGGCACCAAGTTAATACACCGCCATCTATGTGGGTTGCTAGGTCTCAATCTTGGCTAAAATTGAATTCCTCCAAGTATCGGATGTCTATCTTGACGCCGCCGTATGTCGTGCCACTCAGACACCGTTGCTACTAGTCTGGTGGATTTCTGGCAGTGGCATGGTACTACACAACCGTCGGACCCTGGAATCTCCGTCCTCGTCTCCCTCTCTTTTCGACATCGGATCTATGATTGCAGCTGGCCTCGCATTACTCTCGGGGTGCGCTGCACTTACAGCCGTGTTATCCAATGCTCGTCAGCCAAGGTGCACTGGGTGTGTTCGATCAAGAAGGGTACGGAAATCAGGCCGCTGTCTGCACGCTCTGTGCAGTCCTCTCATACTCCGACAGACAAGGAGAAGATCGGACCGAGTTCCGACGACGCAAGTCGCTCGGGAGTTGCAGAACTTGTAATACGGATCTCATGACGGCCGTTCTTGGACCAATTAGACTCTGTTGTTGTTTCCGTGAAATACCAGTGGATCTCTCTAGATTGCCACCTGGCGACTACATGACCGATCTAGTGGCGCTCATCATTGCTCTGGGCGGGACGGAGAGATCGACAGGCGCCGGGATGTTTTGGGGCAGATCCGCAGGTCGTGGACCCGGGGGCTGAGCACGAATGTGTACGTGTCTATATCATAGTATGTATGCACGGCTAGAATTTACACACACGCCGCGCGCATGAGAAGGCAGCCCTGCTTACTTCTGCCAGCCTAGTGAGTGATGTCTGGCACGTTCGTGCATTGAGCCAGAAAGTGCGCCCGATGCGCCGGTGTGTATGCCACGCCAGGGCGCGTCGACTGCCGCCACCAACAAGCTGATAAAGTATCAGAATTAGACGCCTTATTCGTGACAAGCATATTTTTTGATAGCCAAACGCGTTGAAATCGCGCTCAGCCACAGCGCGTCCTGTTGTCGCGCTGTGCACGTTCCACAGCTTCCGTGTCATTGCTCCGGAGAACCAGGACGGCTGGGCGTGGGCCACGTTTCACCCCATCCGGGTGTCGCTGCGATGTTGTTCGTTACTGCATGCGCATCCCATCGATTCGTCGCGCGAGACGGAGCAGGCTTGCCCGAGATCTCTCGAACCCTCGCGAGAGCAGTTGGAGCATTCCCAAACCAGTTGGCGAACACGCTGTCCCATCATCCACCGTTTGGCGTAAGGCAGTCTTCCATTGCAGTCTAGTGCCACACACAAGCGCACTTCACATTCTTCACAGATTTCACATGCACATAATACAATTAGGCAGTCCCAAAAAGGTTGCTTTTATTGCTTGTTTTTGTAAGATAGGTGCGACTACTAGAGTTGTGGTTGAGAGCGTGGCTGTAATGCAATGCGATGGATGGTGGATGTATGCGAAATTCGTGTACTGTAATGCGACCGGATATAACTATGCGAGCGGCGGTATGTGGAAAGGCAGCAGATCCCAAGGTGAAGAGAAGAAGTGGTGGTGGTCATGGCGGTGGGTGGGTGTACATTTTTGGCTTGTCGGTTGCGTTGCGTTGCGATGCAATGGATTGAATGGGGTTCCGGAAAGAAAATAGACGCGAGGCCAGTGGGTTTCGTCAATGCAGGGTCGTTTTGAGTCGTGTCGGAGAAAATTCCTTGTTCGACGTTCGCGCTACCATCCTCCACGCTTCTGCATCACAAACCCACGACCCACCAGCCCAGTCCGACCGTTACCGAGCCCAGGGTGGTCTGGACTGTTCCGGGTACCATCCAACTCATCAACCCGGGCTCGACCTCGCGTCGATGACCTCGCTCCTGGAGGTGGCGATGGGGAACGACTGCGGGCACGAGACCGGCTCTGCCGCTCCATTGAGATCAGCCGAGGAGATATGCTCAGCCGCACACGCGGGCTCCCCGCGTAAGCGAAAAATTTGGTCGGAGGCGTACTGTTCCGTCGCGTTGCCCGCCCTCGTTCGAGCGCGACTGTCGTTGACCAGTCCGAAACTTTTTCATCCGAGTCGCGCCGGCGGCTGGGAGAAGGGGATCGCGACAGCGATGATCGGGCTGACGACGAAGGGGATGATGACAGCTGACGCCGTCCACGGGGTGTATGGTGCTTGTCCTTCTGCTGGACCACATGTATCGCAGCAGACGCGAGCAAACTCATCTTCGGAGTGGGGGGCGAAGGCCGGGTGCTCGCATTCAAAGAGATCGGAGCGGCACTTAGAGTGTGCTCAGAGGAAGATGAGATGGGGGAGATGCCAGGAGCGTTCGCGTTGGAAGGTGAGCTCGACCCGATCTGTAAGAGTGAAAAGCAGGCTGGTAGACTGGCTCGGTTCCTCCTCCTCCTGCCTCCAGAAGTGGAAATGGACGTGATCGTGGCTGGCTGTGCGCTATCTTCGAACTCCTCCGTGTCGGAAGACGGCAGATCATGAGACTCGTAGAGAAGAGTGGATGCCGGGGCACTCAAACTCAGATGTAAGTTTGAAGTGGAGGCCGGCAGCTCGATATATGCCGACGACGAGGAAGCCGATGTAGAGGTGGTGCGCGAGTGGCCGCTAATGGAAGCACATGCGTAAAGAAATCCAGAGCGATTGTTGGTACCCTACGGAAGAGGTAAGCGAGAGAAAGAGATATTGCTCGAAAAACCCACCGATGGCTTGCGGGTGTACAACAACGCTGAGGCTTTTGCATCGACGTCCGCCGAGTCGAATTCACTCGCGCTGGTGTCGTCATCGTCGGTCTCTGACCAAGCGCTGGAAGAGCTGGATGCAGAGTGCTTTCGCAGCGCTCGGCCGAGTGAGAGGACTAAGGGAGGGACGTCGTTTTGACTCTGCGTATATTGGAGATAGGGCGACGAGACGGCGCTGCTTGTAGAGCTTATCGAAGGGGATGAGAGTGATAGCGAGTCGCCCGCCTGGCAATCGACATTGCAATATGCGCGCCTGCGACGGTGAGAACATAGCTGGAGGGAGGAGCATGAGACATACCCGTCGACGAGCTCCTTCCCACAGGCAAGGCAGTAGTCTTCGAACATGAGCGGAAGGCGGTGAGCGTCGAAGTCGCAATCGAGAAGGCGGGGCTTTGAGAGAATGAGACCGCCCGCACGTTTTGGTTAAATACCCTTGATGACCATTCCCACAAAAATTGTGACTCCTTGCTCGGCAAATCTCGATCTGACCAAGGGGGTACCCGATCGGCGTTCCCAAATGGGATTAGGTCCCCGATCTTGAAAATTCTTCTCGTGCCGGTCGGCACGTTTATGGTGAGAGAACGTGCTGAGCTGAGAATGCTGCTGCGGCATTCGCTTTTTCTTGAAGCAGTGGTGCAATCCTAGAAAACCAAACAAACGAGTATTTGACTCTATACAGCAGTTGCCATTACCGCCGAGTCACAGAGAACAACAAGCCGCCTCATTCCATTCCTGTCCTTGATGTATTTTGTGTCTCCCTGTTATCCCTGGAACGTTCACACTTCTCCTGTCATGTAGCTTTTGTTGCCCCAACGTTCTAGAGCACAACATACATAACAAGAACATGTGATCCTTCCGCCGTATTTCGCACTTATTTCACTTTTTCCTGCCTGGTGACGCGCTCATGACACGGCATCGCCCGCCGACGGAGGCGGTATCCAAATTGGGATACCTCACGTGATGATGTATTATACGTCATTTGAGAGTCTCACGATCGCATTGCGGGGTGGAGCGCAAAGTCCGAGGAACGTTTACCGTTGCAAGGCATGTTTGCTCGAGACCAAAAGACCGCCGTCATCTCGCGTCATAGTTACCCGTGCTTTTTTTCCATGCTCTGCAGCATTCCCATCCTCGAAAATCTGAGTCCAATATGCGCGTCCCTTTCGAGGGCCACCGTGTGCTTGATAAATGAAATTCGTAGCAGCCAAATCCCCTGTTTCTATGCAGGACCATAGTATTATTATTAAATGAAATCGGAAAACGTTGCTGCATCACGCGATCACGGGACGGGTACTCACTGCTATGCCAAGTTAATTCAAGATTTCGCGCGTCACGAGTAGTCAGCGCGTCCGATCAAGTCTTCACCGGCACCGTCCCAGTTTCTGGAGAGCCGGTTGGCATAAAGCCTGATCATCCCACCTCTGCTTCCGCTTCGAAGGCGAAGAATGATTGTGAGAGCTGTCCATCTGATACCGAGGAAGAAAATCAACTCTCAAAATAACACTCCCCGCACAGAAAAACCGCGGAGATCGGCCGCAAGTCCAGCGCAATTTTTTCTCGCCCCGAGTGAGTATTTGATCCCAGCCCGATGCCGGCAATGTGGCTAGGCCCGTCCAGATGTTGTTATTGCCCCAAACAACGATTCTGGGCGGTGACACAGCCCTTGCGGAGGGATCTCGGTCCAAACATGGCGGGCGGAATTTTCTATCACATCCCCGACGTTGTTTCGACGATGTGCAAGTCACCGGAGGTCAGCCCCATGTGACAGCGCAAACGATCTGTCTTGATGGGCAACGAGGCTCACAGGCCTCAAAAGGCAGGTCCCCGTCGGCTCAGCACGCGTTATCAGTGCTCACAGTATCAATTGGACGGATGGCACAGGCTACGTGTCCTTCCAACAGCTGTGGGATCACATCTTCCCCGTGCAAGAAGCGCACTAAATGCCTCTGCCGGCGGCCAACACAAGAGTATTCGGAATAGCAAATGTACGAACGAGAAAGTTTCTTTGCGCACCGCGGAGAGCCGAAGTGGAGGCTAGAGACTGTCGGGGTTTGAAACCATACGCAAAAAAAATCAGCGCCCTCTCTATCATCGGCAGAACCGCAGAGCAGATCGGTACCTCTAGGTTTTGCAATTGTTCTCTGAATAAATAAAAATCACTGATTTGTGGGCGGCGGAGTCCACCCGCTTTTGCAGCGGCGCAGGCTTGACAGCTCAAATGGACAGATCGCAGCCAGTGAAATGGAAGAGAACACGGCCCAACGATGCATTCGAGTCATATCACGGCGGGGCTAACATCATATATTATATTAAGGCGAGTGGACCCAGCATGCACAGTCGTGGCGTGCCAGTGATCGAAACCGAGCAGGGCCATGAATATCTCATTGACTTGACTGCCCACCGCACTAGGGCTAGTCTGGGAGAATCCATTAATGTCTCGATAGAACCCAGTACATGAAGGTCATATAGGCGCAGATTCGGAGAACAGGAGTAGCCTTCTGGAGCCTTTGTTATCGATAGGCCGAAGAACGGTGGATCCGAGACAAAATCGGAGCAAGGGTGGGGGTGAGACCGAGGAGGAGATGCTCCCCGCTCACTCCAAACACGCGAGTTCGCGCTGGCAGAATATGTAACGCGAAGAGGATCGGCCGCGAAGACCGGGCATTACGCAGAGAGAAATCAGAAAACACCTCGGAGAAGACAAAACAGGCCAGGTAGGACGAACCGGACTGCTTGCACTTTGATCGTCCTGTAAGTAGAGAGAGACTTTCCTATTTCCGCTAGTGCGTCCGCTATCGGGTCCGAGCAGTTCGTCAAGCAAGCACTAGCGTGGAGTATAGCAATGTGTGTGGTGTAAAACTGATTGTGGCCTCGACTGCGGCACCGGAAAGTATTGCCTACACGCGAGCAGCGGCCTGGACGCGGATTGAGCTTGGATGAATTGTTCCAGAAGCTCGGGCCCCCTTGGTCCACGTTGGCAGAACCGTTCAAAAGCCGGAGGGAATGGTGCAATCGACGTGATGATGCATGCTCTAGATCATTCCCAGAGTGGATTGAGTACCTTCGCAGACAGGCACACCCAGAGCCTATTTCTGAGCGCGAAAGGCAAGAGCGCAGCCGAGAGCTGGGACCGGGACGGCGGACCGAGAGAGGTAAAATCATGGTTTTAGTGAGGGCTTGGTCTTCACATCAGCTGCAGCGGAGACCACCAGCTCACCACCAACGTGTTTGACGTCCCGAGACGGAGAACTAGATGGAAACTGGCACAGGCAGCTGCAGGAGTGGCAGACGAAGATTGATGTGCAGGGTAGTCCATATCACAGCCCGGCAAAGAGCAATTGGAAACGGCGGGAGCTAAGCGCGCCCATTGTTCAGAGCCGAAAGAGGAGTCGTCGTGGGTCCAATTGTGGCGAGGCAAGGACAATGGGTGATTGACGGAAAAGTTCGATGATCGCAAGAGCTCAACGTTACTGGCGCCAAAGCACCGGTTTCCCGGATCTGGACTCGCCGCATGTGTCGGAAGGGGGTCCAGGTTTTGCCATCACGGGAAATTGAGCATACTTACGCTCTCGTGAATGGTGGTCGAGTCCCAAGGGCCCAAGACCCGCCGGACCCGACCTCAGTGCGGCGGAAGGCTCGGGTGATCAGATCACCCGACATCCCTCCCACTCACCGGATGCTGTCGGGTGACCAGCCCTTTCGCTCGGGCACTCGTTTGGTATCCCCGGCTCTCGAGATCGTGCACGCTGGATCTCCCATTGTTATGTGGAAGAAGATCGTCAACAGGCTGTCCATCATCGCCTTGTCACTTATTCTGGGACGCTCTTCGTGAAGAATGGAACCCATGGATAACCCCCCAAAGCATAATTTGCGCAATCCGCACCATCGCATTCCATATTAGCTGATTCTACACGTAGTCCTCAAGTAAAATGCCCTCCATTTCACCCAGCATCTGGGGGACGGGCCTCCTGATCGATGGGCACCGGAGACTCGCTTCGTGTTGCCACCGGCTCAACAGGCGACGGAACAGGCTGTATTGGCGTGGTGACGCGCAAAGGGTCCTGCCCGACACCCTCCGGCACGGGACTCGTCGGATCCATCTGCCTGAACCCAGAAGAAGAGGCCTTCCTTGACGGTGCGGTGATCTTCACAGGCGTGACTGGCAGAGATGATTCATTTGGATTGGGAGCTGGTCCGTTCTGAGCCTGTGGCGGATTTGAAGTCGGATTTGCCGCATTGGGAGTGAGAGAATTCCATCGAAGTCGGTTCGCAAGAAGCCGAGAATTTGAAGCTGGGGCATTGGCATTGGAGTTGCCATTGGCAGCAAACTTGGTCGCATTAGCAGCCGGTGAGGTCGCTTGCGGGATGCGCAGTTCTGCGATCACAAGCTCCAGCATTCCACTTGGAGCTCCAACGTTTTTGAGCTTCGAGAGCTCTTGGTGTAGATATCGTACATCGGCGAGCAGTCTAGACGCATCGAATTAGTCAACGGCTTTCGGACCAGTTGTCTCAGTCCCACTAACCTCTGCCTAGCCTCTTCACTCGGCAGCACGAGCTGTCCATATTCTTCCGACAGTCGGTGGTTGATGGCGGCGAACACCTGGGACATCACTTCCTAAAACAGGGTTCATCGAGGGTGAGGCCAAAAGAGAGTATCAATACCTCGATCACGGCGGCGGAGAGATGTCGTGACAATACTTTATGCAATGTAGTAGTTTCTTTGACCAGAACAGACATGTAACTGTTGACGCCTTCTCCTGGCATTGTCCAGTCCACGGCCTGTATGAAATTGCGTAAGCAATGTCTTCTCGACCAACCGAAGTTTTAACCTGGAAGGCCCGGATATGGGTCGAAAGGCGGTCTCCCATAATAGCAATGAGCTTCGCATGAATCTCGTATTGATGTTCTTGGTAATCCTGTGGGAAAGTTCACCAGTCGACTGTGAAAGTGAGGAATCGACCCTTACTCGCTTGAGTTTATCGAACTCGATTAGCATCACAGCCTGCTTCTGGCTGAGGTGTCGCCGAAATGTCTCCCGAACGTACGGAATGAGGCCAATCGCAATGGATAACGACTGGGAAGCCAACGCTGTTATCGCTGTAAGAGTGGTCATGGATACAAGATTTGAAAGCGCCTACCCAGATGTTTGGCGGTGATGTTCTTAAGACCCGCGGACCGCATCGCACCGGCACCCAGCACGACTTGACACGTACGAGAGTTGAAAGCCTTCAAAAACTCGATGACTCGACTCATCGTGTCGGTTGTCAGCATCGAGAGATTCATTATGATGCGCAAGTAGTCCAGCAGCAACGTCAGCGTCTCAGCTGTGGCCGAGACCAGCGAGAACGTGCGCTCTTCGATCCGCAGTCGCGTCTTGGCATTTTTGGCAGACGATGACCCGTTGGACCGCTTCATCACCGGTGCAGAAGGGGATGTTGGTGTGCGACCGTTCGCACCATCAGCGGAGGGTGCAACGAGGCCCACGGACGGTAGTGTCCCGTCGGAGCCTTTAGCAAGTAACAGCGAAGGCACATCTTGTACGGCGGAATCGATCAGTATGTTGACGACGCTTTGCATGGCGGGTGTGACATCAATCTGCTCCCACTGCTCGTTCTCGACCAGGCTCCCTGACTGCATCAACCGAGCTTGATGGAATGCCTGCAGGAATGTCTTGGACTGCAATACAATGCGGGGTCAGTCCTTCGTCTGAAATGGGACGATATCCGCACCTGGCTGATGATGACACCGCGAAGCCCGACAAACATCTTGCGACAGATGACCTCGCACTTGATGACAAAGGACCAGGAGTCGTCGAAGAAGGCAATGAAGTCCGATAGGGGCAGGGCCGAGTGCTGCTCAGCTCGCATGACAACCAGCTTAGCTGCCTGTGTATTTGCCAGTTCTGCAGCAGAGCCTAGCATATCTGACAAGTCGTCCTGTAGACTGCTCCTGTCCGATGCCGCATCTGCGCCGGACCCGACTACCTCTAGTAGCGCAGCAATCTGGCTGCTCAGCCCCTCGATTCCATTCAGGAAACTCTTGTAGATCCCCTGCAGCAGAGCGAGAAAATCAGAGTGTCCCATTGTTCGTAGATGATTCGCGAGGCCGGTCCTGCGTGATGTCATGATCCATGTCTCGAAGATGTCGATGCTGTGCTCACTTGGAAGCTTCCCCTGAACCTTCTTCCTCCCCAGGATCGAACGCAGGAAGCCTCTGGAAGAAACAGACACTGCATGAGCAACAGCTTGAAGGCATACACGGACACGCACCTGCTTTATCACATTGCGTGTCTCATCCATGACGACTTCTCTCCAGGAGAGCATAGCTTCCCGTAAACCCTTCGTTCGGTTCAGGGCCTGCAAAAGAGGTCGCAATCGACCTTTGAGAACTTCATTTCGTTCTGGCGATTCCGTGGATGGGACGTCTCCACCGATTCGTTCCAACAGATCCACTCTCAGAACCGCCATCACATCATTCGTGAGCGAGGTCGTGATCTCCATGGTCAGGATACGCAAGTGTTCGGGCAAAGCAGCGAATGCGCTGAGCGACGATAGAGGTATAGGTGGTGGCGACGGCGGCGGCGGTAATGGCCGTTCTTCTGGCGTCGAGACGAGACTTCCCGTGCTGCGAAAACCAGGCGATTTCCGAGAGGAGGAAGACCTGCTTAGCGCAGGTGCGACCAGCCCGCGCGCCTCTGAAGTCGAGGAACCGTCCCACATTTCCTCCATCTCCCTCAAGACATCTAGTGCACTGTCCCATTGACCCGAAGCCACCAAACTCCGGGCAACACCTGTCTTCTCCACCACACCACCAACAAACTTGACGCTCTCGCGCACCTTGCCCAAATTTCGCACCCTGCTTTCTGTCCGCACCACTTCTAATCCTTTCTTGGCCGTCTTCTCATCGACATCCTTCAAGAGTGTGCGTAGCTTGGATATTCGATCCAAGCACTCTTCAGATTCGCTTTGCAGTTCATTCAGATTCGTGAGTGCCGCAAAGAACGAGGCAGAGCGCAGAGATATTTCGCGAACGAGGTGTTGCTCGACGGTATCTGCGTAGTGGGAGAACTTCTCCAGAAGAGGGAGGGAGTACGAGAGCGCGATGGGATCGAAGACAGGGTCCGCCTGGAGCGAGTCTTGTTCTGTAACAGCGTTGAACGTGCGAGGATCTCCGAGGTTGAACTTGGGTTGGAAGAAAACGGACGGCACGATGTCCAACGACGGTAATGGGCGTCCCGGTGTCTGCACAAACGGCGTTTGAGAGGAAGAGGCCCGAGGCGTGCTTGAACCTTCCAACTGCATCTCCGCTTCCAGGTCTAACTGGTTGTTCCGTTCGAGATTCTCCCATTCCGGAGTGATAGCGCGCAGGTACGAGTCGAAGTCTTTTCTGCGAACGCGAGGTAGGTCCGTTGGAGGAACGGCTGGAAGTGACGAATGTGCCTTGGGAGGCGCCTGACGTTTGTGGGGATTGTTAAGGACCGTAGATATAGCTGCGCAGCGTAGGTTGAGTGGTCCATTGCGCGTCTACACACACGTACCGTTGAACCCATGAGTAGAACTACTCCACTGTCCCGGCAATGCTCCGATGGCAAGACTAGTAGTAGAACTATTGAGCAGGTTGAGACGCGACGGTCCTGCGAAGTAGTCTCGGCCTTCGGTAGTTCCAGAAACACTTTCAGGCCCCTTCGGTGTCGAGTCCCAATTGAATCTATACGGGCGCGCAGTGGGAGGAAGAGGCGATACAGGCGAAGGAGCCCGCGATGGATCCGAAGAAGAGTGTTCAGACATGGAGTCGATCCAGTCCGAACGGTATGCGCCAGCAGTCAGCGCCAACGACCGAAGTTGCCGAAATGTTTCTGTTTGTTGTCAAAACAAGCTACGTGATTCGTGAACTTGCTCAATACCGTACCGCTATGGAAATCCCCAAGCCACTTGCACACCTCTTTTCTTTCTTTCCAATCGTCACATACCCCGCTGTAGAAACTCGCTCAGGGAAAACTCCAGATTCGCCTACGCTTTGGATTCATCCGCCGCGAGCGCTATGTTTAAGTTCGGACGTAGAATGTCTGAAATGGCAGGCTTATCTTGCTCTTCGTGGCCTCAAGAAAGTTTCTGTTCGTTGGGATGTGTCTCCGCAAGGCGCAGTTGGAGGCCGCTTGCCTAATCTGCACTTGGCTGACGGACAACTGCTTCCTGCGCAACACATTCCTTCCTGGGCCGACGAAGTCTTGAACGAAGAGGAGCGATTGCTGGAAGGTTACAGGGATCAAAATGCGTTGGATGAGAGCAGGGCTTGGGTCTCTCTGTTGGAGGGAGATGTACATGCTGCTCTGGTGCGTCGCCGCCGGTCCCGTGTTCTGCTGCATCTCATTTGCATTCACACTCCAGATTGTTTCCCAACCCGCCGTATCCTATCTTCAATCCCTCATATTCTTCACTGAAAAGTCATCTCGCTCTCTTGAGTCTATACTCACGCCTTCACCATCTCCATTGTCTGGGCTCAGCTCTCTCATACCACCCTACGGGACGCGGATATCAGTCAAAGATATACAAAGTAAGTATCGAGCAGCAATTTCTGCTTTAGCCGATCGTTTGAACACGGACAAATGGTTTTTGGGTTCTAGGTGCGCTCTGGCGAGGCTCTACGATGCACTTACTCATAGCGCTCGTTGTCCAGCGAACCTACCCCATTGGACGCACTTGTGTTTGCATATCTACATTGCATACTCAACTTCTCCAGCCATATAATCCGGACAGAAGTCACAAGACGGGTCAATCTAGTTGCATGGGAGCTTAGAGTTAGAGGCGTCGTCGGATCTGCTTTTACAGACCCAATCTTATAAAATCGTTAATTACACACGTACATCATGTGGCCTCTTTCCGCTCTCCTAGACTGTCCTCATTACATTCACTAGCAATTCTACCAAACCCAGGGTCCGCAGGTCAAGCTTTCATCAGGCACGTGATCTCCAGGTCAACTCCCGTGCGATATAAAAGGAAATTTTGGACATATGCTTCGACCTATTTCTCTTCAGCTTCAATTTTCAGCCGCCAATCGTGACTACTCCCGTGGACGAACGAAATTAATGTTACGCCAGATATCTCATTCTATGAATCCTCTGATGCTCGCGTTTTACTTACCCTGCCAAGTGAAGCTATGACATCTCCACAATAATTTGACCTACTGTCACGAAAGCGTGACGCTGGGCTGGATGTCGCTGAGTGATGTTTTGGCTTCTTCAGACTTTATCCTACATCCCAGAGGAAGCAATTTTATGTCTTAAGTATGCACTGACGCGTCGTAATTGTTTATCTCTCCCGGGGGAGATGTGAGTATTTGAACTTTCGAATATGCATAAGTACTGTCGCGATCGGTGATCAGGTGATCAGATATCAATGCCTCACAAATGGTTGAGCAAGTGACCGCGTCTGACATGCACCGCCACCTTCCTCACCTTATCGTTTCCGACGATTCACACTCGGATGTTCTGTCTAAAGTCCGCTCGCTACCCGTTGGGCAAACCTCTCTATCGCTCAAATCGCTCTTGAAATGAGATCTGTTCCCCTGCGCAAATGAATCAACGAAGTTGCTGCTCCATCGCGGGCATTGAAGAGATCAGTAGCCACCGTCCCTTTCGGTACGGATCCAGACTTGTACGCTATCTGAGAGGCGCACGGTAGAGGGAACATAGGAACCGCCGATATAGGTGTCGCCATATTTTTGTCTCTCACGCAAGCGTCCTTCCGTCTGTCAGTCGGCCCGCGGTCGTAAGGGTCTCGTGTGAACTCGGCGGAGTCTCCGCATCCGTCGCAGTGAATACGAGTTTATTGCGCCATGTTTGATTCAATGGCTGCGCTTGAATGCCGGCTATGTTTGCTCAATAACAGGCTGAGTGCGTTCCCAGTCAGATCAACCTGTTGCCTCGACGCTGCCTGCCTGCACCACCGAGTATCATTGATGGAGACGGTCAAGAAGCAGGCCTTATTGCCGTCTGACCAGCCGCTCCATGAGTCGTGCCCTACCCTTTTTATGACACGCGGTGAACGTAGGAGCATGTCCGTGAATGTATCAGTAGAGACTGTAGAGTCAGCTAATATTTGTGATTGGAATTCTGGCCATGACCGGAAATATCCTTCTTTGTCTGTCTTCTACCACCAACCACTCTGCGCGCAGCTCGTCACAATTGCCAATCCTTCCAGCCAACGTCGCTTGCGGGAGTCTGCGGATCCCGCGGTGGCATCGCTCCTTCCCTCCACCCGCACTCACTCTGAGCTTGACAGTCCGTCTGACAACCTCGCTTCGGCCGCCCCTACACTCTCCGGTAAGGATAATCTCTTCATAGCTCGCTGAGCACCTCTCACTGTATGCTCCTTCGAGCAATTCAGAATCTGAAACGCTCCGACCTCACAAGCGGCAGCGTATCTCTACCGTCCCTAACGCCCCGATCGATTATCTTCCCATTCGAACCTATCCGAACATGCGATACCCAGGCGCAGAAGAAGTGGACGAGTCGAATGCTGAGGACCTCGTTGCCGGCCCTTCGTCTCAGGGACTAGATCACTCCGGCTCATCGAACGGACACACGAGCGTTAACGGATTCTCACCCTTGGCTAATGGCGGGTCAGGCATCATGGGGAATGGGATACAGAAGAGTAATGGGCACTCGAAGCGAACACCACAGGCCCGCCCTGCGACTGTCTCGCGTGTCACTTTACCGGGCACATCACTTTACGAGGGTTCGGAGGTGGACAGGGAGGAGTTCGTTCGTCTGGTTGTGCAAACTCTGCGAGATGTTGGCTACGTGTGAGTCAGAACTCTATTCAGACAACTGAACTCTTATAATGCGCGGCCAGGGAGAGTGCCGCAACATTGGAAGCAGAGTCGGGATATGCGATGGAGTCTCCTGAGATTGCTGACTTTCGGCGTTCCATACTGGAGGGACATTGGGCCGAGGCAGAGGCTGTTCTACAGACGCTCACTTTCAAAACCACAAGCGCTTACTGGGTACGTTGTGCGCCTATTCGGAGCGTTGTGTTGTCGAACTCGCGAGTGCAGGGTGCTCGCTTCATGATCAGCGAACAGAAATACTTGGAATTTCTCGAGACTCAGAACATAACGGATGCTTTGCGTGTATTGCGCGACGAACTGGCGCCACTGGACGACGACTCTGATCACCTGCACTTTCTCTCGAGGTATGTATCCCCAACAATATCTGTTCATGTGTTTGATCTAGGTCAGTCTGATGATGTGTTCTGAACCGGACGATCTGCGCAGAAGGGCAGCATGGGATGGCGTGTCGGGGAACTCGAGGCGGTTATTGTTGACAGAGCTACACAGTGCGTAGCGCGTTCTAGGCTCCTGGTTTCGATGCTAAAGCTCACTGCAGAGTTTATCCCTGCATCCATTTTGATACCCCCACGGCGTTTCACTACATTAATTGACCAGGCTATCGCTTTCCAACAACAGCGATGTACTTATCACAACACCCCTACGATTATCACTGGGCCTTCGCTCTTTGAAGACCACCAGTGCGATCGAGACTCATTCCCTGGCCTTACCACAACCATATTACATGTCCATACGAGCGAAGTGTGGATACTAGAGTGGAGCAGAGACGGAGCCAGGCTTGCTAGCTCGAGCAACGACACCAATGTCATCATTTGGGAACTCGGAGTGCGCATTTTTCTTTTCCTCGAGAGCCCTACTGATCGACAAAACAGGCGGACCGAAACTGGCTGCAGCGATCCATTTTGGGGCATCCTTACTCTGTCATCTGCATGGCTTGGTCTTCGGACGACTCTATTCTGCTGACTGGGACGGAGCACTACATCAAAATGTGGAATACCAAGGTTTGTACCTCGGCCTTTGACCCATACTTTGAGGCTGAGTCTTACCGAAGACGGGTGTTTGTATACGCACTATGGAAAAACACACGGAACCGGTCACATCCCTTGTTTGGCTACCAGACGACTCAGGATTTCTCTCGGCAGGGATGGATTTCACCATCATTTCATGGGTATGGAAGATTCTTTAGAGGAAAAAGATCTGACTGGCATCTCCTTCCAGAGCAAGGATGGATTGCGGAGCGAAGTGTGGGACGTCTTGCCGATCCGGCTCACTCGTATGGCACTGACACCAGATCTCACCCGCCTGGTGGCTATCGGGCTTCGGGAGCCTCCTGTAGTAGATTCGCGCGGTGAAGGAGACACCGGAACCGGTGGGAACCCGCCTCCCAAGGAAGAACATCGGATGCTTGTGTATGATCTGGCGACCAAGCGGCCCTTATCGTCTGTCTTTACTCTTACCATGACCATGCATGGGACTGACAGGTCATAGAACGATGCTGTTCGAGGGTGAACTGACGAGTCTGAGCATATCGCATAACTCTGTGTATGCGCTGATCAGTCGCTCGCCTGACGTGAGTTATATCCCACTTGGGGGTCAGGTGGGGCTCTAATCGTGAGCAGGACATCCAATTATGGGACATCCGGTCAGGGAAAATGGTCCGGAAGTATGCTGGTCACAAGCAGAGCAGAGACATCATCCACAGCTGCTTTGGGGGCTCGGAGAGCAATTTCGTGGTCAGCGGCAGCGAGGATGGGAATATCTATGTTTGGCACCGGGACTCAGGGGCTCTGCTCGAAGTGCTGACAGGGCACAGTCCGCAAGGAAGTGTCAATTGTGTTGCATGGAATCCTCGAAACGAGAGCATGTTCGCATCGTGCTCTGATGACCAGACCATTCGCATATGGGAATCGTCGTCTTTGGATCTCACGCCAGAGTCGCCGATCCCTGTTAATGGGAAAGGCAAGACACGTCAATACGACGACAGCATTGAGCACTCATAGCTGGGGCTTGAATGTGCCCTCCATCTACTTACTCGCATTATTCTCGCCGTAATGACCATCTCACCATCCTGTTGTATATAACTGAATAGAACGGCATGTATCATCATTTCAATTTCCAGAATTAATCCATTTTAGTACAATTCCGATAATGAAAATACACGGCAAGAGATACGAAATGTATGTAATTACACTACTTGGCCCGCTGCGAGTACGCTCGATGCTTGGGCATAAACAACGCAGCCATGGGATCCCGCTTGACAGGCGATATCGCTTTGGGCAAGTCGGCTTGCGCGGGGCTAGGGCTTGCCTTCCTACGTTTGGCAGGAGAAGGCTGTGACGAAGTATCTGTAGGCGCAGGCAAGGCTCTTGATATTGACGGCAGCGGGACTTTGACCGGCACGGATTGCTTCCCCCCGTTCTGGCTCCCAGCGGACGAGATAAATGCGCCATTGGCAGGCAGTGATCTTCGTGGCATGGGTGATGCTGTCTGTAACGTGGCGCCCGTTGCTGGAACACGTTGGGTGACGGTGGTCACGGTGACCCGCCTTGTCTCCGGCCGGGCTGCGGGAAGTAAGTCTGTGTGGCTGGATGAAAGCACTCGGAAGGTTTTGCTCCCGGGCATCGGCGGTATCATCGGCCGGGAATATTTGTTCTTATGAAGACGAGAGGCTTCTGATCTCGTCTTTTGGAACAGCGTCTTAGGTTCAACCCTAGCTGGCATGCCCCCTGCCGAGCGGGTCAGCATGGCTCGTTCCTCAATAAGATTAAGAGTATTCGCACACGGCTTCCTGCCTGGGGGGCGCTGCGTCGTGAGTTTGATTTCGGACTCCTTCTTTCGTTCATGGGCTTCCTGTTTTTGCCGCCGAAGCTTAGAACTAACTTCCTCAAATCGCCGAGCATCCTCCTCCACCAGAACCTAGGTAAATTGTCATAAGAGAAGTATTCCGATGGGATGCTGGTTGGGCTCACGAAGTATTGCTCCTTCCATGATACTGGCTCCTCCAGCGACGCGCTCTGGTATCGCTCAGCTGCCGCAGAATACTTCTGCAAACATAGATCTTTCCAAATTTCTATCGGAGTATTAGCACTCCGAGGTGTTACCGAGAGTACGAAACGGACCGGGTGTTTCGTTTACCAGACGCTGCGAAGGATGAATGCGGTGTTCCGACAACAGTGGGTTGGACACACAGGCGATGCTTCCTCGAATCGGGAAAGTTGTTCTACAGTGCAGCGCTGTAGTATCGGTTTCAGTAGATCATAACGTAGCTCGTCGCCGACGCTGCTGATTGCTGAAAAGTATCCATCGTTGAGCTCAGGTGGCTAGGGCTTCGATACGGGGGCGTACAGTCGACGTGGGCTGTAGCGACTCGCTGGCAATATTGCACCAGCGAAGGAACTTTGAACTTGTCGTCCGGTAAAGTCATCGTGTGGGTGAAGAGGACGGAGGAATAGGACTGCTGCGTTACAACCTGCAGTCGAGAACACGATGATTGTGATCAGGGAAGCGTTCCGCTGATCGCTGATAAGTTGATGGCTGTCGGATCAGTTCGAATGAGGAAAGGGCCTGCCCTGGCCTGCCGCCTTTGTTTCTTTGACCATGAACTTGGCATGGTCGACTATGCTATTGGTCAACATTTCACATAGTGCAATACGAGGATTTCCCTGACTAAATGTGTCAACCCCGGCCTGTCAGGCTTCTCGAGATCGATAGCTCCTTCAAGTTTTACCAAACTCGACCATAATCTCTCACTGCTCTCGGCAACTAGAATTCGGAGAGATGCCCCGATCTATCTGGCTGTTCGCCTCTTTTAACCGGTGCCAATGCTCGCTGGCCAACGGCAGACCAAGCAGCTGAGCTGATAGTCCTGTCTTTCCGCTATGCAAAGCGCCACTCTGCCGCGTCTCCACGTTCGGGATGCTCACGACGCGCACGTCGTCTTTGAAGCTACACGACTAGGTCGCAACACCGCGCCTGACGTCATGCACTGTCCTGACCTTCCCAGGCCTTCTGCAACCCATAACTCGACGCTTGAACAAACAGGAGAGGGCCTTGCTTATTCACTCTGGCGCCGTGTTCGTTTGGCATGAGTCCTGTTTGCCGTCTGGACTCAAGCGATGGACTGGTGCGCCTCCGGAATCAGTGACTGTTATAGCCCTACTTACCGCTCTCAGATGGAAGGATTTGGGGCCAATCTCGGTTGAGAGAGGTTTTTCTGCATCCTGTAGTTGTGACGGACCGGACAGACGAGCTCTCCACAGCCTTATCTCTTCTACGACGAGAAGCAAGCTGAGGATTTCAGCGAATCCTCCAGCTCTCCCGGATTTCGTTTTGTGCAAGGGGCAACTTTCGGTCGCCAGTCTTCCTCAGCACTGGCTCACCGAGAACGGGGACAGTCACATGTGGGACTCGTCAAGCAAGCCTACTCTACCTGGGTCTACTCTGGGCCTGGTTCTAGTGCTTGTAAGTGGCACATTGTCGGTGCGTGGAACAACGAACTTGGCACCAAGTCATTGATTCTCTATATGTAGCCTACTTCACATACGATGACCTTCCTCTGCTGCCGACGGCCGATGTTGACCCTTGCTTGCAGAAAATCGTCGTTCCGGACGGCGTGTACTCTCAGCACGGAGACAGAGTGAAGCGGGACGAGTCAGTCGAATATGCCCAGTCTGTGTCCTCCTCCCCGCCAGTGGACTGGACCGCCCGCACCCTCCCCTCTATCCCACCGGCGGCCGAAGTTGGCTCTTCGTCCCGTATCGCAGAGGATAATCGCGTCATCCGGATACTTGACAGGAAATTTTTCGGGAAATAAATGCTAGCTGTCATACACAATTTTATTTGGCTGGTCTTGTCCCCGGGATCCAGATTGGTCGTGTCAGATATCGGCGTCCGGCGCCTTGGCGTCGACAGACCTTGTTCTCTTAGATCTCTTGTTACTTGAAGGGATTGCCGTCAATATATTGTACAACCATCCTCTAGCAACCAATCCCAGCGCCGGAAATGATCCCAGCAGAACAGATTCAGATTACGATAATCACAAGCCCCTATCTGTCAACCACGTGCGTCGGCCACCCACTGCTTAGTGAAATTTTTGCTCCTGCAACATTCGAGTCTGCTACCGTGCCTTTGTAATTGTATCCGTCTGTTGTAACACCACCCACCTTTCAACAGTGCGTCTTCTCTTGCAACTTGCTGACCTCCCCCGCCTCATCACTACCCATAGTGTGCGGAATCCTTGGTCTTCTCCTTCATGATCCAAACATCGATGCCGCGACCGAAATCTGTGAAGGACTCTCGTTATTGCAACATCGGGGACAAGATGCATGCGGGATCGTGACTTGTGGACCTAAAGGTCGTTTCTACCAATGCAAGGCCAACGGCATGGTCCGCGATATTTTCGATACGAACTCGATATCAAAACTGATTGGAGGCATGGGCGTTGGACATGGTCAATAGAGTCATCTTGTGGTGGGAAGATGCCGTTAACAACCCTTCTAGTTCGTTACCCTACTGCTGGAAGCTTCAACAATGCCGAGGCACAACCATTCTATGTCAACTCTCCGTATGGAATCGTCTTTGCTCACGCGAGTCGTCTTCCCACCCTCATATCCTGCCCGTCATCCAACCGCATCCACAGAATGGGAACCTTATCAACACTAGCTCCCTGCTGCAGTACATGGATGCGACTGCCCACCGCCATATCAACACTTCTTCTGACTCGGAACTTCTGCTCAACATCTTCGCCAACAATCTGCAGCAGACGGGCAAGTTCCGTATCAACGAGGAGGATATCTTCACGGCGTTGGGAGGGATGATGACCCAAGTCAAGGGCGCCTACGCCTGTGTCGCCATGCTCGCCGGCTTTGGAATCATGGCCTTTCGAGATCCTAACGGGATCCGTCCCGTGGGTATGGCAGTCCGGAAGTCAGGCACCGGCAACGATTATCTGTTCGCCAGCGAAAGCGTGGTTGCCGATGCCGGTGGGTTTGGTGACTGGGAAGATGTCCGTCCGGGTGTGTTTTGAGTGCCTCGCCCCATTTCCTCCCCTCACACTTCATAGGTGAAGCGGTGATCATCACTCGCAGTGGCGTTTCCCGCCGTCAAGTTGCAGCTCCGGCTACGTTCGCGCCGGACATCTTCGAATATGTGTATTTCGCCCGTCCAGATTCCGTTCTCGACGGAATCAGCGTCTACCGAAGTCGGATGGCTATGGGCGATGCTCTGGCTGACGAAGTGAAGCGCGTGCTGGATGAAAACGACCTCACTGTCGACGTTGTCATTCCTGTGAGTGTTTTGGACTGCGGGTGTTCGGTGCTTATAACACTATCGAATATAGGTCCCTGACACCTCACGAGTGGCTGCGTTAAACCTGGCCCAAAAGCTCAAGTTACCGTATCGGGAAGGGTTTGTCAAGAACCGCTACGTTGGTCGAACCTTCATCATGCCAGGCCAGGAGATGCGGTGAGGTTCCAGTGATCATACAACGGAGTTATCTGATAAGGTTCATCAGGAAGAAAAACGTGCGCCGAAAGCTGAATGCGATGGCTCTTGAGTTCGCAGGAAAAAACGTGCTGCTCGTGGATGGTTCGTTTGCCAGGCTATGTCAGGCTTCTGTCCCACTGACCCGATGCGATGCCAGATTCCATCGTGCGAGGGACAACGTCCAAGGAGATCATCCAAATGGCGAAAGATGTCGGGGCTAAGAAGGTCATCGTGGCTAGTTGCGCGCCGCCGATTCGGTACGCCCCCATTATTAGTCTGGGGAGTGCATCAGAGTCCGATGCTATAACAGGTATTCTAATGTCTATGGGATCGACATGCCCTCGCGGCAAGAACTGGTAGCCTACGGACGAGACACGACCACGATCGCAAACACCATCGGCGCCGATCTGGTCATCTTCCAGACGTTAAATGACCTCGTCGATTCTGTGCGGCAGTTTAACCCGTCCATCACGGCATTCGACTGCTCGGTATTTACGGGCCAGTATGTCACGGGCGGTGTAGATGAAGATTATCTATCCCATCTGGAGAGCCTCCGCGCTGACAACGTCCGGGAGAAGTCGATGGCCAACCACGTATCACCTGCGCCCCGAGTGAACGGTACCGACGCTAACGGCATCCAAGTAACCGGGGTAGCCAGCGACGTTTCTTTGGGCTCAAATGTACAGCCCACTGCCAACAGATCAGATGACACGGTGGGACTACACAACACTTGGAAATCATGACATGAATAGAATGCGCGAAGCTGTAATTATAGATATATATGAATTGTTTGTCGCAATTGTTGTATCCCACGTTGCAGGTTTTTTAGATCATGACTAGTATCGTCTTCCCCTCGGATTGCTGTGCGGACCCTGATATGGGGAGTAGTCTGGCGGGGGGCGGCCGCCCGACTTGACCGGCGGAGGAGACGGTGGTATTGGCTTCAAACTTGGGATCCTCACATTCTTCAACGTCATCAAGAAATTCTCAGTGTTGAAGACAGGTCCTGCTTGCGAGATCAGCAGAAGTTTCTCCGGGATAGCGTTGGTGAACGCACCGTCAAACGTCTCGGGGCCCGGCAACATCATCACGAAATCGTGCAGAACCGACGGCAGCTTCACCTCCTGACGCGTCGGAGGCTGTTTCTGCGCTGGAGGTGACGGAAATCGGCGGTTGCGATCTCGATCATCCTGCCGAGGACGTTTGTGCTCTGCGCGCTCCGCAACTGGAGGGGGACGCTTGTTGGAGATCTGAGATACGGGATTCAACGGCGCTGGTGCCGAGACCGTAGATGATGGAATAGAGGACGTCGACTGGCTGTTCGCATTGCCCAGCTTTCGAGTTTTGGAAAAGCCCAAGTCGTGGTCCGCAATGGCGTCAATGCCGTAGTAGGTATACCTTTGAGCGAACCGTTTGATGGGAGCGTCTGATGGCCATGAGGTGCTGCTGGAGAAGAGAGTCTCGCTTGAACGCACCAGCAGGATAAACCTCTGCCATTCGTCGCTCGAGTTCCATCACGGCTTCCAAATCATCGAACTGATAACGTGCTCTCGTCCATCGCTCCCAGATTGGTTTGGCGTCCTTTGGGGGAAACGTGCCAATCACCCGCTCGAAGAGTGCTCTGGCGTCTGGTAACAGATGTCTCATTCGGTATCTGAAGAGAAGAAAACCCACGCACTGTTTTCGTCGTTGATGTTGATGAGAAACGCCAAATGACAGTCAACGTATTGCGCATCTGTTCCGAACCTCTTCATGCCAGCTTCGAAGATACGTGTGGCCACCGCCGTGCCGTCCTCTTGATTACACCGATGCTCCGTCATAGCTGACACAGCCCCATTAGAAAAGACACCGCTCCATCCGCGGGGGTTCACCCACCAGCTGCCTCGAACACCTCAAAGGGAATGTATTCGTCCTTCCGTGCCTTTCCGAATGCTTCACGATGGGCGAGTTGGCCTTGAGAACGACGGGCGAATCGCATATAGTTGATCCAGACGTTTCCAAATTGCTTCCTCTTTTCCTCGAGTTCTTCCTTCAGTTGCTTGATTTGCTGTTGCTTGTGATCTGACAGTTTCCTCTGTTCAACTTCGGCTGCGACGCCCATGCCAGGAGCAAAGTCCATTCCGTTCGGGTCAAATGCGGGCTCCTCCTTCGGTTCTTCCGGAGCAGAGGCTGCAGATATCGCCGCCGTCAACCGTGCAAGCTCAGGCCGCAGAGTTTTGAAAAATCGGTCATAGACGCCGTCTACTTCAGCATAGTTCTTCGTGTCTTTTTTCATCTCAGCTTTCTCAAGCAGCTCGACATAAGCGTAAGTCAGCGCGAAACTGGGGGCAAATAAGGAAGATGGGGGACGGCAAGTGAGGTCAAGCGCACCTGTCGGGATTGGCCTCCAGTCCAGCTTTTAGGATCGTCATGGCTTCGTCGGGCTTGAATGCAGCGACAGATGCAGTCCATGAGTATGCCATAAACCTAGTCGACGATGAGAATATAAATCCCTCGACATAGACCCACGGACCAAATTTCTGGATAATATCGCATGCGAACGACGGCTTTGCGATAAGCTAGCTTGATACGGGCATTGAGACTTGCTTGATCTTTCTCCTCGAGCATAAGAGGATTGCTTTCCTCCCATTTGAGATATGCTTTCCAACGGCCCACGAAGGTCCGATCTTGAATCTGCGAGGGAACGGGGAGATACATTCCCGAAGAAGGGGGTATGAGACCGTTAAGATGCTCCGTTAGCCGTCGCAGGACTGAACGAGCTTGGGTGTGGGCTGCCGACAAGTCCGTCATGAACTTCTTCGCGGTGAGCTTGTTGAGGCCGGTCTCAAACGCTTCCATGTCACTCCATAGTTTCTCGACGTTGTCAAGCGGGATCTGGACAGCTCGTTGATAGACCTTGCGCAAAGCGTCCATCTTCTGTTGCGTTTCCCAAGTCGTGGTCGTCTCGGCAGAGTGGAGGAATTGGATGTACTCGGCCCAGATGGAACCGCTGTCGCGATCCTGGCCAATGTGGGTAAGAGCGAATTCATACGCCTTGCGTACCGTTTCGCGCGTCGTGGAGTTTTGATTCACGCGCCGGACAAAGTTCAGATAGAACCTCCACAGATCTACAAACGGCGACGGGCGAAGGAATCTGTTCAGGAGCTCCTCTCCACGACGCAAGTCTGGGATGTTGAAGAACCGATTGATAAACGCGATTTCCGCTTCGGCCGTGTGCGGGTAGTTTTTTAACAACGCTTCGTATGCCTCGTTGAATTGTTCCGTATTCTCGCTGGCGTCTGCAAGCTCGCGCAACCGACTCCAGCCTTGGGGATCATGTGGAGACTTTCGTAGTCGCGACAACAGCTCGTCAAACTCGGAGGAAAGAGGGGAGGATGAGACAGATTCAATCTTGACGTTAGGATCAGGTTCGTATTCAGACATCGCGAGGACGAGAGTCAGTCAAAGGGCTCGTTTCACTTTTGCTACACAATGAGAAAGTTTGTGCACGTCGAACACGTCGAACAGACACGTTCTAGGTCTCACTGCTGCAGTTAGGTTTAATGAGCCGACTTTTGGAGGTGAGGCCTAGCAACGAGCCTGCAGCAGCTTGATAGGACACGAGGTGAGAGGTACGAAGTCGAAAGCTAAGGACGCAAAGACAGGAAGTGATCTGTGATGTCACAGACTATTGTCACCTTTCCTGCCTCATGATGAGTCTGATGTCGCATTCCGCCATTCCGAGTGAAGGCCAAAGCTAAAGCTGTATGCAAATCTGCTTCCATTTCTAAGCGCATCAGCCTGCCCTGGACTTCGATCGTTTTTATTCGAGCCGTCATCTAATCAGGCGATCTCACCAAGGACGTTTACTGTTGTCCGCTCCGAGTCTCAGCAGCTATGTCGGCGCTATGTTGCCAAGGCCGTCATCGCTATCCATGAGAGTGGTGACGTGGCAAGCTCCCCCCATATTCGGTTCCGTCGCCGTAATCCGGGTACCCTTTTCTTCTCTCTAGATTACCGGTAACTTGTGTTCACATTGCCCATGTATCTAGCCCACAGATGAACATTGGACCTGTCATCTATATGTCAACTTCAGAAGTGCTTATAAAAACATCAGGGAATTTCTTCGCGACGGCTGAACACCTCTCTCCCCGATGAGTGAAGCTTCCGTCGCATCATTACCCAAAACCCAAGTCCGCCCGTATCAGAGCTATCCCGGCTCTGAATACATTTTGCCTACAGACGAGGTCGAAAAACTAAGGTATAGTAGACCTCTCTCAAGTCAAGGACTCTATTCTGATTTCTAATCGGCAAAAAAGATTGCGAACTCAACATGACTCCTTGAAGCGCATATTCGGCAACAAGATTTTGTTTGCCCCAGTCGATCTCGGGCCAGATGACAGAGTTCTCGATAGTGGTACTGGGCCTGGTGCGCGATGCTGCTTCCGAGCGTCCGACATTCTCAAACCGTCTTGCAGGTCTATGGATCCTCGACCTGGCTGGGACGACCAACCCAGCGACCCGTATGTATGGGCTCGATATCGAATCTCGTCTCTGGCCCGCATCCCATCCCGAGAACATTAAGTTTCAGCTTGGTTCCGTGACCAAGCTGCCCGAAGAGTGGACCAATACCTTCTCCCTCGTGCACCAACGTCTTTTGATTCTCGGTCTCCAAATCCCCGAATGGCCGACGGCTTTGTCAGAGATGTATCGGGTGCTTCGACCCGGGGGATGGGTCCAGATTGCGGAGAGCACACCGTGGGTAGAGGACTCGTATCCTGACCGGCCGTGCATGGAGAAGCTGGTCGCACTGTATCGGCGGATCGGCGAATTGCGCAACCTGTATGTTGACTGCGCCTACGATATGCCCAAGTTGCTCGAGGAAGCGGGTTTTGTCAGCATTCAAAAGGAAATCAGAGATCAGTGCATGGGCAGCTGGGGAGGACCTGATGGGGAGGTCATGAGGATGAACCACGTCGGAGTTTTGCGCGGCATCAAGACACCTGTCTTGCAGGCCGGAGGATTTGGAATCGTTTCCTCGGAGGCAGAATACGACGAGCTTCTCGATGGCCTGGATAAAGAATGGGAAGAGAACCCAGGAATCACGAAGGAATTCATGATTTTCTGGGCGCATAAGCCTACCATTTAAATCTAGTCTTTCACACTAAGTATGTCAAGTTCCAGCCTCGAGGAAGATAAGTGTAAATGGTGGTACTGTACTATTAGTAGGCAGAGAGGCAAGGTCAGGTGATGACATCTCAATGGAGACATCGCAATTTGGATTCATAGGCTACTCTACATACAGACATGTACTTGTAAAAGCAGGGTGGTCAAACATGAGGTGATTTTGCAGTGATTCTAGAGTGATTCATGGTGATTCTGTGTGTCGAATCAGACTTGAATCACCACTTGAATCACCACTGAATCACAGTTCAAATCACATCTGTGGGGAGATGTTTGACTTCCCCTAGTGTACCTTAACTCGAGCCAATTTGGGGGACCGACTCTGTGCGCATCCGGATCAGAGGTCCGAAGACACATGCTATACGGACCAAGTCGTGACGTCACAACAGCTCCTATCACGCTCCTTACTCGGTACCCAGTGGATCATCCAGATTGACACTTGAAAGTCTGTGTAGTAGCGCTGTCTGGAGCTGGTTTGAGCTATACCGAATTCCGTTTTCGTCTCTACGCACTTCAATCTGCTTCCCAACTGCAACCGGCCGCCTTGGGCCGGTCATCGGGTTAGGAATAGTTGATGGAGACGTTCATCCCAGGTGGCCTGCTCGGTCAAAGCATTCTAGGACTTGTCAACTGATATAGCCACCGCAATCTACGAGAGTGCTGACGGGGTAATCTCTCTGCCGGTATCTGACCTCTTTCGCCTCCACGAGGCGCCACTTCCTTTTGGATCTCCTTCCTGTAACCTACATCTCAAGTTCTCATTGCCAGTGTGCTGGCTCGCGAACGAACATCATTCTGTCATCGGTTCGTCATTTGAACTGGCTTATAAGAAGATCGCTGAATTGCATTGTAGCAGCCGAACACATCTCTGCCCAATGAGTGAAGCTCCCGTCGCATCGTTGGCCATAGCTCAATTCCGTCCGTATCAGAACTATCCCGGCTCTGAATACATTTTGCCTACAGACGAGGTCGAAAAACTGAGGTAGAAACCTCCGTTATGTCAGGAATTCTATTCTAATATCTCATCGGCCGGCAAGACTGCGAACCCAGCATGATTATCTGAAACGCCTGTTCGACAACAAAGTCCTGTTTGCCCCAGTCGCCCTTGGGCCAGATGACAAGGTCCTCGAGAGTGGTACTGGACCTGGTGCGCAAGGCTACTCATGAGCGTCCGACATTCACAAAACGAGTCTTGCAGGTCTATGGATTCTCGAACTGGCCGGGACGACCAACCCGGCGACCCATATGATCGGGCTCGATATCGAATCTCGCCTCTGGCCGGCATCCCATCCTGAGAACGTCAAGTTTCAGCTTGGCTCCGTGACCAAACTGCCCGAAGAATGGTCTAATACTTTCTCGCTCGTGCACCAACGTCTTTTGATTCTCGGTCTCCAAATCCCCGAATGGCCAACAGCATTGGCAGAGATGCATCGGGTGCTCAGACCCGGGGGATGGGTCCAGATCGCAGAGGCCACACTGTGGGCGGAGGGGTCGTATCCTGGGCGGCCGTGCATGGAAAAAGTCGTCACACTCTATCGGCGGATCTGCGAATTGCGCAGCCTCTACGTGGACTGCGCCTACGATATGCCCAAGTTGCTCCACGAAGCGGGCTTTGTCGACATTCAGAAGGAAACCAGAGATCAGTGCATGGGCAGCTGGGGAGGACCTGATGGGGAGGTCATGAGGCTGAACCACGTCGGAGTCTTGCGCGGCATCAAGACACCTGTCTTGCAGGCCGGAGGATTCGGAATCGTTTCCTCGGAGGCAGAATACGACGAGCTTCTTGATGGCCTGGATAAAGAATGGGAAGAGAACCCAGGAATGACGAAGGAATTCATGATATTCTGGGCCCGCAAGTCGTCTGCGTCCAGTTAGTGTTCTCGAGTCACAGCCATGTCCTAGTCTAGTCTAGACTGAGACTGGTGCAGTTTGCGGTGCCTGTGACTAATCACGGGCATGTCCCACCACGCTAAAACAAGCTATTGAGGGATCTGGTCAGTGCCTGCAGTCGACATTGAGCTACTGCACAATTCAGCGGTTCGCCCGTGCCGGGTTTATCCGGGCACTAGGCACTCTCTGCCTACAGACGTGGAGGAACATGAGTAAGTAGCCACGATATCCACGACATCGGAACCAAGATTAACACACCAGAGGACCAACATGAGGCCCTTGAACACATTGCCGGCAACAGTATCCTCGCACCGGTGAGGCTTGGACGAGGCGACAAGGTCCCCGAGAGTAGGAATGCGTCTGGTCCGTGGTTAGCGATACTCCCTAAGGCGCAGCGTTCCAAGTTATCAACCTACAGAAGCGTGAATTCTCGACTTGCTTGGGACGAGCAACCAGTCGTTCGGATGATCGCATTAGACAACAAATTTCGCATATGGCCTACCTTTCACCCAACGGACGTTACATCCCAGCTAGGCTGTGACCGATCTCCCTTCCTCGAATCAATCGACTCACTCGTCGCACTCAAGGACCGTTAATGGCTGGTCTGGGGGTCCATAAATAGGCCACAGGATCGAACGAGATGTGTCGCGTTCTTCGGCACTCCGTGGTCAGCAGGCGCATATCGTGGTCATCCATGCACGGAGAAATAGCCGCGCTCTACATGCGCAGAGGATAATCTGGATAATCCCTTGTCGGTTGCGCGTAGAATATGCGCAAAATTCCTCGAAAAGGCAAGCTTCCGCAATATCCATCAAGAATTGCGCGGCTAGTGGATCGGGAGCTGAGCAGGGCCCGACTGCGAGATCATGGGAACAAATCACATCGGTATAGTGCAGGCATAAAGGCACTGACCTTACAAGCCGGACGGTCCGGCATCATCTCTTCTGAAGCCGGATACGACCAGCTCATCGAAGATCTTGAGAGAGAATAGGAAGAGAAGCCCTGGTCGTCAAGAAACTCTTCGTTTTCTGGGCTCAAAAACGCGACAGGTTGAGGCGTCCACGTACTCTCATTCAACGCAATGTCATCTCTGGTAGCCCATAGTCTGCTCAAGGATGAGCCGTCAAGGCAAGTCGAGGGAAGATATGCACCTGCCTGACACTGCACAGCGTCGACGTTCGTGACGTCCAGGACAGTTTTACCAATCCCACGTTGGGAACAACTGCGCAGAACATGCTGCGGAGCTCACATCACACACACACACAGAAATTCCACCACAACAAGAGTCCATTCACTGCAAGCGCTCGGGAATGATTACTTTTGTCTAATCGTCTCGGACCAGCCTCTCCTCTTCTTCTCTCTAGTGATGAGACTCCGCAGCAATTTCTGCGGCGTACGGGTTCTTCGGGTCGTTAGCGTAGGCGGGCGCTGCACGGGTAGAAAACGGAGTACGGTTAGTACGGATGAATGCGCCCAAGAGGTAAAGCACGGCAGACGCACCTCGGACTGCCATATCCTGCAACTTCGAAATCCCATACAGAGAGACCGTAGCAGCAACCATGAACGGCCAGTAGGGCTTAACAACCTAGAGCACAAGAGAAATTGAGACGCAGTCGGGAGAGTCCGGTGAAGTCACTTGCGGGAGTCGGCCATTTGCGCCAGCCAAGGAAAGCCATTATATCAAACTAACGTCAGGTCAGTCAGAGAACTTGGTGCACGGGGAGCGTGAGGTAGACATACAGAAGTGGTTGTTGTGAGAGACGGCGGAAGAATGTTTGGAAAAGGTGATGCAGCCAAACATGTGCTCCGATCGCATCCGAGGCTGGCCGAACAAGCGTGCAACAAGCGGCTGCTGAACACGCCTTGTCACAGTGACCAAGCGCGTGGAACTTGACTTGAGCCCACAATGGAGAATCCGCATGCTGAGCAGCAAGCTGTTCTCCTTGGGCGTATACTCAACAATGTGGTGCGCCCTGGTTGTGTGTATGCAAAGCTCCCTTTCTCAAATGCCTCCGCCACAGTCTAAATGCACGGAAACCCTTAAAGAGTTAAATCACAGTCTGGAGGTACGCGACCTTGCGCGACGGAGCGAGGATGTGACACCATGTGGGCAGAATATCGCGCGCCAAAACTCACAGGTCAAGATCGCGGCTGATTTGTCGATGAAGTATAGGCGGAACGTCCAGTACAATCTCGAGGCAACTTCCGCGAAAAGCAGCAAGTAAATGCATAAACGCTGGGGTTGATTGTGTTGTGATGATACAGTGGATGTATAGAATGTTGTATGGATGTAAATGCAAGGTCAAGAAGTCTACTGGAGCACAACTGTGTCGGCAGAGGGATAGATATTTGTGAGCTTTAGGTCTTCATCTCCTGCAACGCAGCGACGACCTCCGACATGGTGGGGCGGTCATCTGGTTGGTGGGCCCACATCCGTTCCATCAGCTCTACAATGGCCGGGGACCATTGCTTTTTGAGACCAGCGGTAGAAGGTCTGAGAGTAATGTCAGTTTCGGATCCGGGAAGAAGACAGCAGAGAGACCTCTGTTTCTTGGTTCCAACGGCTTCGTAGATGGCATGCTCATTCATGTGCTCCCAGGGAAATCTCTTCTCCTTCTGGTGCCACTGGAGCATTTCCCAGAAGACCATCGCACAACTGAACACATCCACTTTGTGGTTGTACTTGGGATGGGCGTGCCAAAGCTCCGGTGCCTGCCAGTTGACAGTGCCGACAAGACTCCGAACCATGGATCGTGTCGATTGTTTGACCTTCGCTAGGCCAAAGTCGGCAATCTTCGCAACACCCTTAGCGGTGATCAGAATGTTAGAAGACTTGCAGTCGCGGTGGATGACTGATGGTTTCCGAAGATGCAAATACTCCAAGCCTAGTGCAATATCCAGCATAATCGAAATCTGTAACGGATCGTCAACTGGGGACAGCAAACCAGTAACGAGTCACTCACAACTTTGTTATACGAGGGTGCTGCGACGGTGCGAATGTAATCGAAGAGATCTCCATTCGAGCACAGCTCGCTGACGATCATGACAGAAGACTCTTTAGTGTTTTTAGGATTTTCTGGAACACTGACTCCAAGCTGGATAACAATCAACGCCGGGCAGGCATGGGGACCTCAGAAACACTCACGAAGCGAACGATGTTGGGATGATCAAATCCACCCAGAAGCTTGAGCTCTTTGATATCCACTAACAAGAAGATCAGCCATTGCTGATCGAGAGTGAAAACAGCACGCACTAGCATTCAATTGGCCTCTGAACTCTGAAATCGCAATCTTTCGATTCTTGAATTTGCCTATGAAGACATCCTTGAAGCCTCCGCTACCAATCTTCTCCAGCTTCTGCAATTTGTCTGGTGGAATTTCACGGTCGTCGAGTCCAAGACTTTCAAGATCCAACTCCAGCTCCGGTTCGCCAACGGAGGCTTCGACGGGCACAGGAGTGAGTGGTTCGTCAATATGGACTCGCTGAGAGCGGAAGAGGATCGGTGTTCCCGGTTGCGACCCCTTGCGGTGACCTTTGACTGTGTCGGGAGGCCGGCCAGTCACTGTCCCAGCAGAGGAAGGTGAAGATGCTTCGGTGACACGATCCCGCCATTGGAGTAACGTTTCGGCCAATTGAGGCTTGGTGCCGATGGCTTCCAAGGAGCGATTTTGACAGAGACTGACCAGTCGGTCACGACGTAGCCTAACGAGAGTCTTTGAGGTGGCAATGGTCAGATCGACTACAAGCAGTTAGACAAGGATGAGCAGCATGCAACCACCCACCATCTACTTCAACCATCGCATCATCACCGTCCTCACCCTCGTCCTCGTCTCCTTCAAGTCCGTTCTCGTCCTCCTCCTCGCCTTCACCAGAAGGTTCAGTGTCCTCCTCGACAGCATCGTCCTCAATTTCAACGTCCTCATTGGCCATCTCTATGTCGTCTCCAACGATCTTGCCGTTACGCAGTTTGCGAGGCTCGACGTGAATGCTGGGCTCCTCCTCGATCTCTTCCTCCTCGGCGATCTGCTCCTCTTCTTGCTCATCATCGCCATCCTCCGCCGGTGAGGGTGACGGTGGACTCTCGCCAAGACGAGTACGGGGGCGAAGCCTGCGGACAAGAGGTGTCCGCTCGACTTCTTCGGCGGAAACCCGAGGTCGAGGTCGGGAGGAGCGGGCGCGACTTCTCGTTGGGGTGGCCAGCTGATCTGCCTCGTCATCGCCGTCATCGCCCTCGCTTCCACCCCGGTCGAACGAAGCAGTCTGTTTGACGTCGATGTTCTCCTTCCCTTTGATGGTAATGAGCTCCCGCTCCTTGTCTTTGCTTCGAAGTCGACGGGGACTTGGATTCAGGTTGGTCTCGGCTTCCACCTCCGTTTCGATTTCAGTCAGATCACTTTCCTCAGCGAGAGCTAGCAGTGCAGCATTCCGATCTCGCTCCTTTTTCTCTTCCGTGACGCTCTCGCCCACTAAAACCTGTCTTCCTTTGGCCTTAGAATGGCTCCTGGCAATTGCCGCAGTGGCACGTGTGACAGTCAAGCCTGGGAAAGTGATGCCGTTCATCGGCGAGGAGCCGGATGCTGACGAAAGCGGTGCTGACAGAGAAGTGCTTGACGATGTGGCACTCGTTTTTCGAGATCGCAAGCGAGTGGCAGGTGGGGAGGAAACTGAAGGGGGAAAGGATGTACGTAGAGAGGGTGTTGGTAGCGCGCGCACGGGTTTTCGGTTTCTAGACACAGAAAAGCGAGTCAGCGAGGAAAGAGGCCAAAGAAGCACCTGATACTGACCGAGGGCTGGAAACAGACTCGCCATTTGTGTTCGAACCCGACCCGACGGCATTGGATTCAGCTGGGGAATTGGTGAGATTTCCCATGGAGTAGCTACGGCCACCCTTGTTCGGTCGGGAGAACGCTCCCGGCGTATCTGCCACAGTAGCTCTGCGACGCAGGCCATTGGTGTACCGCGAACGGCCAGCTGGCGTAGGTGACGGAATGTCTTCATCTTCAATGATGCCGTGATCCTGCTCATCCGAAGAGGCGCCGCGCGGGGAGGAAGGGGGAAGGTCGGCGAGATCGTCGCGAGCGTCGATGATAGCATTGATGATTCCAGTCTTCGTACAGGTTTCGTCGTCGTCGTCGTCAAGACCGGCAACAGCGTACAGTCGCACGAGGTGTTCTTTTCGCAGGCGATTCAATTCTTTCGCGGAAGCAGTACATATCAGGTAGTCGTCGGCTGAAACGGATAAGGAAAAGCCAAGGAAGGTATGATGAAGTGCACGCACTGCTTTCACGGTGCTGCTCGTCGTCATCAGAGCCGCTCGCCACCGAATCATCCTCCGAGCCAGAGGACGACCAGCGTGCTGAAGATTTGATATCCACATCCATCCCACTCGCTTCTCCGTCACTCTCAGCGTGGTAACGGGCTAGACGGAGGCGCTTGAGCCGTCCTGAACCCCGAGTGGACCGGCCGCCAGCATGCGCGTTCTCGTTGATACTGAGGACGCGTTTTCGCTTCGAACCTGACTCATTCGCTGGCATGGGCTCGTCTTTGACCTTCTCTGACAGCGTGCGGCGCGATGTACGACGCTTGAGATTGGTATGGAGGGGAACGAGAACTGGGCGCCCAAGACCGAATTCGGGACTGGATTGAAAACGGCGGGAGCGGGAAGAGGACGATGAACGGCGGAGGTGATACTTTCTAGGATGGAATGCGTGTGTAATAGGCGAACGACGATTAGCCATAGTCGTGGGCCGCAACCAACTACAGGGAACGAGAGCGAACAAACATGGGGGATACAAACAGCCCGTGGGAATTTCATCAACAAATCAAAATATGCCATTGTCCAAATTTACCGTCTACAGAGCGACTCAGCCAGCGGCTGGTCTCTGTATGATGAGAACCTCGACTTTGAGCCCCAAGGTGAAGGCTGACGACAATCCGGATCTGAAGACTGCTATGCAGATATTCAAGGAGTTAATTTCGACATCTCGACACAGCCACGTATCACGAAATCCACCTTACTAAGCTGAGACTTCGTAGGAGTTGAACGGACGATCCCTCTCCTCAATCGCAGCGACAAGAAATTCAAATCATAAAACTGATGGGCTCGCACGCTCAGCTTTTTAGACACAGCAAAAACACGGTATGGTCGATACAGATCTTGCTTTCACTCTGTAACCCCTTGGTGGCTGTGAGCCGCTCTTTGGTCGTCTTTGAGCTCTCCCCATCAGACCACTAGCTTAGATGACAAATGAAATTGCGCCGCCCGCCAGCCTGAACGCCCGCGACAGCTTGCATAGATCTTTCTGCCAGGAGACCGTTGTTCTCATTTTGTAACTCCCCTTCAACTTATCGGACCCGAACCTTCACATCGACCTGTGAAACACTGGCCCTTCTCTTGGAGAAGATGCACACGGAGGAAGCTCAAGAAACGGCGACTACTCTGCCGTCTTTTCATTCTAGATCCGAGGTCTTACATGCACAGAGAATCTCTGGCATCGTGGTATCCGAGCCAGCGACAAACCAGTATGACTCATAATGCAACTGAGGACAATGGGCCGGGGCGAACCACGTTCTCTGTCGAGAGAGGATATATAACCCAGCCGAGTTACAAGGGTGCCTAACTTCCTGAATCCATCTTCCGCTGACGTTTCTCGACCACCGGTGTATCACTGTTTTGTGGGTACGTGCCAGCCCATTCAAATTTGCCGATAACAAACGAACATCCAAATTGGGCAAGTAGTTTACCGCCCGTGCACTTCATAAAGAACGAAAGAAAGAACGAGCCCTCGTTGTGGCCACTATTCGCAAGATGTTACTTCGCTTGACCTCTCAAGACCTCTTCAATACCACACTCGTCGATAACGCGACAAGCCAACCCTCTTTCCATCTGTCAACCACTATTGTCGCAGGACCTTCGAAGGGCCCGGTCCGCCGTCGCACCGAGATTCATGATGCGTCCGGTGATATCGTCGGCACAATCGACTGGGAGGGCCGTGTTCCCCAGCACATCGTCTTGCTTGATGAGGCAGTTGGGGGACTGGTTGACCTCTTTGCAGCGAAAACCATCGCAATCATGTTCGTAGCTTGACACACTACTGCCTCAGTGCACTGACTTGCAAGCAGACCGCGAGAGCTATCGCTATCTACACGCTTTGACACCGAGTTCGTATGGACGGCCACACCCGAGGAAGTCTTTGTGAGTTGTTTCTTCGTGATGAGGCTCCAGTTTGACCAGAAACCTCAGTTGTTGGATATTGACTCTGGCAACAGGATGGCCGAACTTCACCCACCGAGGCCTTCTCTCCCATCTCTCACCTTTCCTTTGCGGACAGCCAAACTGAAGCAGTCTTCGCTCGGCTCATCTGTGACCTCTTTATCGGCCACCAGCACCAGTGCCGACAGCACATTACTTCCTCGTGGCACCCCCTTCGTTTCTCTCACTTCACACCCGCACGGACTCGCCTCGGATGTCGAGCTTCTCGTCTCGCTCTTGATGTTGGACATTTTGCGCCGGGGTCGATTCCAACTGCCCGCCTACCGATTCGGACCACCCTCACCATGGAGAGAGGTTTGGTCACGCATCAGCCGCCCGCGGAGGAATACTGTCTAGTCTTTTTATCTTTCACTTTACATGACATACATATGTACTCGTAACATCTTTATTCGCTGTAGACGGCGCAAGGACTGCGCCCGCTCAGATCTCTGTCTTTGGTGTGATGCCAGCGTCAATCGCAAGCTGGAATAGAAACTTGCTCTACACTGAGACTACATGAACGCCGATATCTTGACTGGCTTGCGGACTGCACTCGAGTTCCCCTCTTTGAACTTATAACTAACCCGAAACTCTTTTGCCACGTTCTTCCTTGCAGCACTTTTAGCTGAGGACGCCGACTGAACTGTGATGGGTCGGCCGAAAAAGTCCGTCGGTGGCTTATCGGCGATGTCGATCACAGGGCCGTCGCTTCGTGCTCGTTTGTTGGACGGTGCCTTGTCCTCTGGCGCTTTCGGGGCAGAGGAATCTGCGTTGAAGAACCGTTTCTTACCTTGTCTTTCCCGCTCGACGATGTCAACTCGTTTGGCGATGAGCTGTGCCTCGATCTATGCGACCGATTAGGATGAGAAACCGAAATTGGGTTCTTTGTTTACCTCTCCAGCAACGAGATGGCGTACAGCATATCTCGACACCGGCATATCAGCAGCCCGCTTCCCGTCGTAGGTGACGAACACATCGATGGGGCTGTCGGGGGTCAGACAACATAAGCACACTGGGGTAAACCACTCACGGGTCAAGCCGATAACTGAGCTGCCCATCCTCAGCTCTCTCCTGGAAGAACTGGAGTTCCAACGTGGACATTACGTCCACCAGTCGGGACAACACGGCCCGCTCCTCTGGTTTGATCACTTGCGCGTTCACTGGCCTCAGGGGCGGCGAGATAATTCGATTGATATACGGCGAGAACTCGAGCTGCAGAATGGGCGAGTGCACGAAATGCCGAAAGTCACCCCCGTGTCGAGTGCTGGCGGTACGTAAGCAGCGAGCCAGAGATTTGTAGATCTCCTCATTGGCGCGGGCTTGAACTTGGCTCTAATGGAAAGGTTCAAATCCTGCATGACCATCACATGAACGAGCCCACCTCCCAATCGACCTGACTACGTTCGACGCGCTGTCCCATCCGGTCTTTGAATAGAGGGAAGAACGGAACGAGACTGTATGAGATATAGGGGTGCAGCGCAAAGTCTCCGTCGGAGTACATCGACGTCGAAAGCAGATCGAACGTAACTAGCCACTCATTCGCTTTCTCCTGGCGCGAGAAATTGGCATCGTGCTGATGCACCGTCGCATAGTGCGCAAAGCATCCTTACGGGTAGTCAGCAAAGTGAGGGGCAATCAAGGGATGCCAAATATTCTCACCCACTGCGACGCTGCTCTCTCTCCCGCAAGCCTCCACTTCTCGCGCAAGTCGGCCGACATACTTGTTCTCCTCGGCTTCTGTCAGGCCCAACTCTTTGACCCTCTTCCGCGTCAATGGAATGAACAGATTGTTCACAACGGTGATGAGCGAAGAATCAGCTTCCTTCATGCCCACAGTCGCTTTGCGTATGACTACTTCCGACACTTCCAGATTGCGCGACTTGATGAACTGCGCATCGTTGTCAGCAGGGATATGATTCATCTGAAAAATACACACCTGAAGAGTGTTCAAACATCCTCGCAGGTCGCCCTTGGCAACTCCGACCAAAGTGCTCAGAGCTCGGCTGTCTGCTCTCAGACCCTCAATTTCGCAGACCTCTCGCAACCGCTTCACAGTATGGATATCCGCCGGTCGCACGAATCGAACCTGGAGTGCCTGGGTTCGCAGCTTGGCCAGTGCTGACGCGTTCTGGTCATTACAGATACAGATGATCGGCCGCAGGATCGGCCGTTTCGCGTTCGGGTCTCGCCCTTTACCATTGCGTCCTGCGTGTCGATTCGATCAGTGAACATAGTAAAACTGAACATTTGATATACCTTTCTTTGCCGTTTTACCTTGCGTCAATTGGATCAGCTTTGCTATAAAAGTGCTCGACTGCAAGGCATATAAGTATGGTCCATTTCTGACTACATAACTCACATTATCGCCAGACCCAGTTGCCCCGTCGATCTCGTCTATCACTAGTAGTACTGGTTTCGTGCTACCGACGGCAGAGCCCGATTCCAGCGCGGGTCGTATCCGGTCGTCGACAATCGAACCGGACCGGGCATCACTGGCGTTGATCTCCATAACTTCGTACCCAGCCTGCCGCGCAATCACATGCGCTAGTGAAGTTTTTCCCAATCCCGGAGGCCCAGATAGCAGGAGGAGCTGGTGGATTGTGCATATGAGCGGGTCCGATGAGAGCAGAGAAGAGAACACACACCTTCTCCTTCGGTCTCCGATACTCGTCCGCTATATCGAACCTCTCTTCATCGTCCGGACGCGCGCGTTTCTTCCCCTTGCCCTTGCCAAATACACACCAATCCCACTGTTTGACCCAGGTCATAACTTCTCGCGCAACCCGCTCGTTGCCCGTGAGGTCCGAGAACTGTCGAGGTCGATACCGATCTACCCATAGCGTGTGCTCTGGCTCAGCGTCCTCGTTCAAGGGTCCAGAGGGCTGTGCAAGATCACTTGCACACAAAATTCGTCAAAAGTTGCGAAGATATAGTGGTAAGGCATGCGCACCTGGCCTGTAATGCCTGCGCCTTCTCCAAGGAGAGAGTTTCCAGCATCCGGTGGATTGGTACGTCCAGCAGATTCCCCATTCGCTCAGTGAAGGTCTTGGTTGCTCTCGTAACTCTCTGTAAATATATTCAAGAGATCAGTTTCAGACGCTTCAACGTGCACTGACATCACGCGCTTCAGTAGAAGCTTTGGTCTTCTTCTTTTTGAATACAACAGTCTTCCCATCGAAACTGTGCGTTTGTATATCGGAACCAGAGGGATAAGAAGACGACGCGAAGATTGACGCAGTCGGTCCAGGTTGCGCGGGTTCGGGTTCGTCGAGCCAAGATGGAGGCGAGACAGCTTTTCAGGACTTGATTTAGCCTCTGACACGCTCCAAATGCATGAGACATACGTCGCTTATGAGAACTGGAGCTCGCACTCGCGGAGGGACCTGAGAGAGGGTGAGCACCAACGCCCCCCAGCTGACACTGATAACACGCACCGATTCCACCCCCTGATAAGAGTCCGTTGGCCACAAATAGTGCTCCAGCTGAGGTCGCTTGAGCTGCATTCCCCAGCCCGCTGGTTCCGAGCAGATCAGGCTTCAGCGTGAATGAGAACATAGTGGATGTTGTGTTGGGTTCTTCATCGGTTGCAGGAGAGTCGACACCGATAGAGGAAGTACCAAAGATCGAAGTGGCCATTTGACGCGTGGGATTCGTTCCAGTATTGATCAGAGGGAGAGAGAGACTGGAGTGGTGACGGGTGTCCGGTGTGACGCAAGTTAGGCATGATGTGACATGGCGCGGTTTGGCAGCACGCGGCGAAACATTCACGTGAGCTTAGATTGCTGTTTCTCCTGTTCTTCTAACTCAGCATCCTTGACGCCAGGCTCTTCCGAATCACGCGGTACATAAGGGTACATATCGAAGCATTTGGACGTTCCTAGACATCCCATTCCGCTTCCGCCATCCCTGCGGGGTCATTGGAAGCCATTCAGACCTTGCTTGCTTTATTGCCGCCCTCTCGACGACTTCCAAATTCACGGGGAACCTCTCCCGGTATTTCGTCACCCGTCGGAGTTTTGGAACCGATGGGACCCCATCCTTTGTACTCACAGCTACATCTTTGACTTTACTCATCTACGCTTAGCGCTCTCTGCGAATTAAAGGCTTCTTGTTTGGATGACCCATGCGACTCGTATTTGCATGCAGATCCCCTTGCCGTCCATCGCGCATATCCTCTTCTCTCTGGATCCATGGACCGGGCGCAATCGGATGAGCTGCTGGTGGCGAAACATACTCAAGACGCGCGTGTTATCTCCCTTGCCAAAAAACTCAACATTGAACCTCTTCGATCCGAGCCTTTCCATGAAAGACTGTGCATTGATGCTATGAACCCCAATGTCGACGAATACATGGTGCTCATTCTGTCGCAAGGATAGATTTTCGGCGCTTTGCTGCACGAACTTGGACTGGAAGACATGGAGACTTCCTGCAACTTTTCAAGTAGATCAGTGGAGTAAGTATCGATCCCAAGCCGGCGTGATTCGGTCTCAATCCAATTTCGTCCAGTACCCCAACTTCCTGGAATGGAATAACGTAGCACATTGCGATATCTCTTGGGAAAAGCTATGGACTGCACCGCCGCACAATCAGCCCTTTGATTAACGTCGTTCAACTCTCGCGTCCGCCATCTTCATCGCATCAAATCCATGCCTGCTTTTTGCTGAAGAGCACGTTCAGCTAAATCCGGCAAGAATAGCGCCGGAATACTAGACCGGCTCTGCTTGCGATCCGATGGCTTTCGATATTCATTGCTGAGGTTGGTGTATCTCCGAGCTACGCAATGCAAGCTTATTCGCAGGAGCCTCGAACTCCCGTTCCGATACGAATCCCTCTACACTCGGCTTCCTTGAGCTTGCCAGCCGTGCCCCTCGTCTGGCGACATGCTTCCCTCATCCGACGCGAATGCGGGAGATCACGGGATCTGTTCTTAACAGGCATTTGGCCAGGATTTTCCCATCTGGTTATCGACACTTGATCTAAGATAATCTAACTCAAGGGCACCATCGATGACTTCCATGCCACAACTGTCTTGGATACGGACGAGGAGCAGTTCCCGGAGTTATCTCGGCTACAGCAAGCTGGAGCGATTGAGGAGACGGTGTCCAGCTTTGACTTCACGACTCCGCTTTGCGACACAACCTGATGATGTTACTTTCGGACGCGGAGCTACTTTCTCCTTCTGATATCCTCCAGCTTGGGCCACCTGAAAGGCTTTCATTCCTTCGCCGCATTGGAGACGATGCACACTTTGTCGTCGAATGCTCCGACACGTCCGACTTTCCATAGGAAGGACATCTAGTGCACCGTTTGCTTTCTGGGTCGCTTCGGTCTGATCGTCGGAACAAGACGCCCTCCGTGGAGGCGCTCGACACCAGACAGAATGAGTGGCTCATTGTCAGGCCCCTCTGCGCAACCTTCGACTCTTCTTGGCGCCATGCATCACGAGGGCTTCCAATTGGACTTACCGGAATTGACACGAGCAATGGCAGTTTTGGAATCCATCGCCCCGTGATGAAGGCTGTGTTTTGACGTTTCACAGAGGATTGCCGTCAAATGGGAGGACTGTTAGAAACGAGGTGGCTCAAAGAGATGAAAGCAGGCTGAGACCCGGGGCCCTCTATGATCAATCTTCCCTGCTGTCACCCGCAGAACTGAAGTTGAAGGAGTTTTGGACATCCCATCAGATCGCAGTCGATATTGCGGGCGCAGAGAAGTGCATATTGTGATAGCTGTGCGTCTCAGCTCCAGATTCAGTCCGCAACAGTATTGCATTGACCGCACGACTGTCAGTACAATGTCCCAGCGGCCTGCAAGCCCGTTCTAAGTCAGGGAACGCGAGAATCCCTCTTCGAGTCATAGCTTTGCAGCATGAAGCTCAGCACGACAGTTAGCCAATGAGTGCCATGCTCCGGCCCGGCTGCAATCGGGCTATGGTCGAGACTCCGTGGGACATGCAAAAATGTAGGATTGATAACCTACAGACAGTAGACAGTGCATGAGTAAGCATGTCTTCACTAACTTCCCTATGCAGTCTGCGTCCTTAAACTTTCCATCCTTGCAGTCCCTTTGCGAAACAATGCCAAATCCCAATCCAGGACTGCGTCCTTTATCGCCCACCGCCCTTGCCCTTATCGGGGACGAATGCTTCGCATTGCGGAGATCTATTGAAGATGGCAAACTTGCGAGGGTCGTCTCGGCTCCGTATCTTTCCAACTACATCGACAGCGCTGGTCTGCATTTGATCAAGCTTGAAGGCGCCACTGAGGATTACTATGAGAGCTATGATCTCGACGAGGACGGGGAAATGTTCCCGCCATGGGCTTGGCTGCGACGGGTCGGGGCAATTGCCGAGAAAGTGTACACTTTCAACTTTGTGCCTATTCTCTGCGGAAGAACCTGTGTGATCATGTTTTGTCCTGGACGTTCTTGCTGTTTCTCATGTAGCACACCAGGTCCGGCCTCCGAGACGTCATGCCCTGCTTCGCCACACTGAAGATGGGAAGCGCACACTCCTCAAATATGTAGGCAAGGACAAGTTTACTCGAGAAGGACATATCGTTCAACGGCTTCTCTCCGAGCCGCTTTGGTCTGATTCTCGAAACAAGACCCCTTACATTCAAGTGCTCGATGTCGGACGATCACCAGCCCTCTGTGCAGCGCTCCAAACATTCGGATCTAGTGTACCGCATGCTCACAAGTTGTCATCGACTGAAGACTTTCTAAGTTTTTATGAGCAGATCACTGAGGTTGCTATCCATTACCAAGAACTGCCCATGCTCATCCCCTTTGCAGGGAATCGAGTTTCTACACTCGCTAGGGATCGTTCATTGCGATGTCTATTCGCTCAATGCCATTATGGAGTATCCTCCAACTACACCCCGTCAATGGCACTTGATGGACTGAGGCTCCTCGGTTTCATGCGAGATCCACGATCCATCGGCGATGAAGCCGCTTATCGACGGTAACCATCGAACGGCTTGTCGTGCTTGTCCTGAATATTCGAGTGGGAAGCCGTTCGATCCTTTCGCCTTCGATGTGTGCAGCTGGGGCCTGACTATGGAGGCAATGCGCAAGGTATGGTTTCTCATCATGCCGCGAAACCATCTGACGCGAGCTTGTAGGACTCTCAGTTGGACTTACCTCCCTTCCAGGAACTGATCCGAGAAATGACGGCTGTGCAACCTACCGCTCGCCCCGCAATGAAGATAGCGCTTCATGGTCTTGCAGAGGAGTGCACTCGGCTCAAGGGGCTGTTGGCATGCGGGGATCTGGGCGAGATGGCGCTAGGATCTTATCCCGTGGATCCTGTCTTGACGACTTAGGATCTCTGCGGTTTACCACCCCAATCCTCCCCGGAGGAGTCAAAAAAAAACAACTCTGTAACCCCCTCAACCTACTATACCCTGGATGTCAGGGGTCAGATGGGGATAACCCAGTCAGTCAAGATATATCCCATTTCGATAATGTACTTCATCTTCATTGCAAAGTTACCGAGTTTGACCATTGGATGGACAATTACAGGCTTTCGGAAATATGCTATACGTAAGGGAATCCAATCAATCGGGTATTCATCACCGATACAAGTACCAGTTCGTTTTTCATAAGACATAACGGAACTCTTTGTTCTCGATATCCGTCAGATCAAGGAATTCCTGAAGGGCGAGGACAGTCAGCAAAGACGCATGGCCGATGGGGACGAAACCGTACCCGATCGACTTTCTTCTCGATAGTGGTGCCATCAGGCTGCATCTCCGCGATATAGAAGTCGTCCAGGTTGTCTTGGTCGCCCTGAGTGTCACGGCGCTTGTTTTCGGCAGCGTAAACGTAGCGGAGGACAAGCAGCAGGATGGCAGAGATGACTGAGCACGCAGTGATGATCGCCCAAGGGATGTGGTTCCTGCGCCTCAGTCAGCGGCGTGCACGAGAGTTGGGGCAGCGCACGGACCTGGGCTGGTACTGCTTCTTCCACATGAATGGGCCAACCGCATTGCCGATCCCATAGAAGATAAGGGTGAGTGCGTTCGCAGTCGTCCCTGTGAAAGTTGGTTTATCCAATCGTGCGACTCGATGACGGACTCACGCCGAGTATGACCAGCTGTCAGCGAGCTGAGCCACCCGAGAGAGATCGCAAACGGAGTGATCGCAAAGACTGAAAGTGAATGTCAATGAAAGGAGTGGACGGAACGGAAGTGCACGCACTGGTAAGCCAGTAGGAAAACAGCAACCCTACTTTGTTGTGGCTTGGCAATACATTAACCAGAATGGAGCCAAGGATGGCAGGAATAAACATGATAACGCCGGCATAAGCACGTCCAATGGGTTTGTAGCCAGCAAGAACGACGCCAGCCCAGATGGTAAGAACTGATGGAACGATGATCAGATCAGTACAGGTGACTTGGCGAGATGGTGCTTACTTTCAACAACACCTAGAAACGAGTAGAATTGCCAGTCAGTCGCCGTAGAATGTATATAAGGAGGCGATTTGTACCATCGACACAGCCGAGAAGTGTAGTGTTGATCGGACTGAAGCCAAACATTCTAACGATGATTTGGCGCTGAACGATGAGCTGCGCGAGGGTCAGGTCTTGAGTTCGGGTCAATTAACCGAGACAGACCGAATTGATAATGTTCCTGGGGAGTTTATGAGACGAAGAAGGACAGAAGCAGAGCAAGGACGAACGAGAACGCGGCAAAGAGCGCCATAAGCCAAATCTTCGGATCTTTGATAGTTGCGATGAACCTGAGATTTAGTCAGCCTGGAAAACAAGCTGGGAACAAGACCGCTGATTGAAACGCACTGCGATCGTTTCCAGTGTTTGTTCTCCACACCGGCTTGGTTGACCTTGATGCGTGCGACCGCAAGCACGCGCTCTTCGGGCGTCAAGAAATACGCACTCGTGGGCGAATCGGGGAAGAAGAACCTGAGCACAGGTTTGTGAATGCATAGAGCGAGAGGGCGCGAAGCCTTACCAAAATAGGACAGCTGTCACGAGGGTGATGAGGCCGGTGATAATCATAAGCCTGGTGGGTCCCATCAGTAAGCGAAGTACGGAACGCGGGCCAACAACGGCTGACCATTGCCATGGCATGAAGTCATGTGTCTGTAGGCCCGGTGAGATTCGAGCTTGTCTGACCGGACATGCAATCTACCTTGGTATGCAAAACCCCGAAGGCGACGAACCCGAGGAAGATCACAGCAAAACCGTTCATAAGGACTAGAAGATTGTTCATGACACGCTGAGCAACCGGGAGAAAGAAGCTTTACACCAATAACCGACTCGTTTGTTCTGTCGCCAAAAAAAAGTCAATATCCAAAAACAGACTGCGTGGGAGATTTCACCTGTTCATCACGGGTGTAAAACATAGAGGTGACCTGTCCATGCGCTTAGAATACATCTTCGGCGGGCAGGAAGTGCTTTACAATCATGAAGCCTGGCGTGATTGCACCTGGCTCCAAACGTCTACCACGGCTTTCACGGGATGAATGTCATCGACGCACCTTCGCAGGCCCCCAGAACCAGGCGCGCAACAAACAATCCGCCGAAAGACTTGCAGGCAGCATGGCTCATCAAGGCCACAGCCCAGATGAAGATGTTGATGCTCATCCATTTTCCGACCGGAAAGCGCTGTAGCGCCTACGCTCAATGGTCAGGTGGCAGGTTAGCGCGGGCGAATCCAAAGTCGTACGAGGTTTTGAGGGTACTGTGCGGGTCCATCAGTCCCGCGAATAGAGTTACGCGCAAACGTAAGACGCAGACCTCGAAAAACAGATACGCAAAGTAGAATATCGATCCGAGCCAGTTGAACTGATTCTGCGTAAGGTGGGCACCCTGCCTGTTACGACGCGTCAACTTTGTTTCTAGCACACAGTTCATTGCCCTCACTGGATGCCGAGAACAGCCGATTGACCCAACGTGGTTTTATCCGCGAACGTCATCCTGGCGGAGCGCGTCGGAAACTGCATCTGACAGCAAACTATTTCGGGAAGACGCACAAGTACATGACTGGGAACGCATGAGAAAGCTTCACGGAACAAGCAATACATTCACGCACGGCACATCAGCGGCATGAGATACCAGTCGATTTTGCGTCTGTAGAGGGATCTTGTGGGCTGATGCAGGGCATGGATCCGAGCAACACGAACCTCAGTTTCGCGGCAACTACAGGATCCAAGGTAACGTTTGAACTAGCCAGCTGGGCCGCAACGTCGACTTCATCCACCCTGACCGCCACCGATCCCGGATGCGCACGTTTGACTGAGCTCTTGTCGCTGCTGGAATCCATGGGGAGGGGGAGAGGACGAAAGCGAAGAAAGTATGCAGGAAAGATAGGCGGGTTTTAAGGAAGCCAAGGGAGTGCCGTAATATGAATAATCTGTGATTAAGATTTGCGTGTATTCATTGAACTTTGCGTAGTAAGTAGCCGCATGTCCTTCGTGGCTTCATCCGTTGATGTCGAGGATTGCTTAACAGCGGCGTCGGAAGCTATAAGGTTTCACCGTGCTTCTCAGGCTGCGACTGGACCCTGGGATTATGAAATGGAGCGGGAGGATTCGAGGATAGTGCCTGAAGTATTTAGGTAAACGGTGCGGGCCTCCGAGTGGACGAGGACGGATCTGGACGATGCGGGCTCAGGGCTACCAAGGAAAAGACATTGATGGGTATGTACCTGAAAAAGGAAACTGTCAACAGTCATCTCCTCCTCGGCTTTGCCGGCTTGGTTTGTCCTTTCACGACGTGTTTCTTTGCCCCAATATATTCGTCCAATGGCGTCGGAAGAGAGTCACCATGAGACCCGAGAGTGGACACTTGACCCCGAAACAGAATACAGGTTTGAATTGGATCCAGGGACATCGTTAGCTATCAAGGTGCGTTCTTTCCCGATATACCTTCTATCCATCCTTCCGCATGAAGACTCGGAAATAGCTCATTCGCGGTAACGCTGAAGTCTTCGGCGCTGAGCTGGCGCCTAACAAGCACTATCTGTTTGGGCAGGAATGTAAAGCTGCGATCTTCACTTGGAGGGGATGCACGATCGAGATGAGTCTTCTCTACGATGGGGTCCGCCTAGGAATCCTTACCTGCGGGGCGACACGTTACAGGTCATGCTTCAACAGAATACGTATCGGAGGAGACGCCAATGACGGCCTATGCGAATGTGCATGTCGCATTTGAGCAGATGCGCGTCCGCGCGTTGAGGGACCTTCGAGGATCGCCTGTTCCCGACTTTGAGCGTGACAAGCCCAGTGACCCCCCTCGTGTACTGGTCGTTGGACCAGAGAACTCGGGTAAAACATCCCTATGCAAGATTCTCATAAACTATGCTGTTAGGGCTGGGCAAGGATGGTCACCTCTTCTCGTCAACGTCGATCCCTCAGAGGTGCAGTGCCGCCGTTTTCTCACACTCTGTCTGTTTTACACTATCTCTAGGGTGGATGGGCTGCCCCCGGGACGCTATCTGTTGCTCCTATACAAACCCCTCTACCGACTTCTTCTCCGGGCAGTCCGTTGGGCTCAGCAGCGACGTCGGCACCGACCGCCCTGTCTTCTAATGCCCTCGTTCCGCTCGCTTACTGGTACGGGCACCCGGAAATCAAGCGCAACCCGCTGCTGATGGAGCGGATAATTCGTAATCTGGGACAAGCCATTGAGGACCGATATCAAGTCGATGTCGAAGGCAAGTGTCAGGTTCCCGCCGCCATGCACGACTCTCCTCACGACGAGGCCTTCTAGGCAGAACGGCTGGGCTCGTCGTCGACACGCCATCCAGCTTTGCCCCAGGCCCTGGCAACAACGACTCCCGGCAGAAGCTGATCAGCTCTTGCGTGGAAGCGTTCAAAAGTCCGCTGTCGCATCCACTTCCTCTTGTCATAAGCTGAGCGCCTTCGCAGTCAACGTCATTCTTGTCGTCGGTCACGAAAAGCTCAATGTCGAGCTACAGCGAGCGTACGGCAACCGAATTACCGTCGTCAAAATACCGAAGTCGGGGGGTGTGAGTGCTTCGCTGGCTGTCTCAGGGATAACGTCCTCAGGCATTGCAGGTCGTTGAATTGGACCACCTCTATCGGCAGCGAGTGCACATGTATCAGCTCCACACCTACATGTACGGCCAAAAGCTACCTCTGCCTGCGGGCATCACCTCCGCCTCGCTCGGCGGCGAAACGGTCTCGGATCTGATCCTGTCTCCGTCCTCGACCATCATCAACTTTGACGACCTATCGATATTCCGGATCGGGGCAGGTTGTTGACCATCGCGTTCGACCCTCCTTCTCGGGCTGACGAAAGTTCGCAGAAACGATGGCCCCATCCTCTGCCCTGCCCATCGGAGCAGCCCGGACAGTCTCTGAAACGCAGTCGGTGCCGATTGACCCGGCCTCTCCCGGCTCCGGTCTACTCAACGCTGTGCTTGCCATTGTGGCTCCTTTGAGCACAGATGAGTCGGAACGGTACGATGAAGAGCTCCTGGACCAGCCCATATCCGGCTACCTCGTCATGTCCGTCTCTCTGATTTCGGTGATCCCCGCTTCTATCGTGCTGACTCCGCAACTAGCACGAATGTGGACATTCCCCAACGCAAATTGACTGTTCTTTCCCCCAACCACGGGTCGATTACAGGTCGAACAGCAATCACTGGCTCGTTCGAGTGGCAGGAGTAATTCGGGATCTAGACTCTACGGATGTATTACGTCGACATGTATCGTCTGTTCTAGAAACGGAACCACTGTCCATCTCACTTTAGGATCGTTTAGAGTTTACTAAGGTCCCGACCCCAGATGCCACTTGTGACGAGAAGTTTGGTAAGCCCGCCCGGTGGCAAAGGCAGGAGACCACTCACCGAATGACCCAATCGATCATGAGCAGGGCCCGAGTCCTCAGCGAGACTTGCTCATTCCAGTACACACTGCGCCACGCATACATCGCTACCAAACCACCCATGAACGATCGTCCGCCGAAATCGAATACGGCCGCATTGCCGATGTAGGCAAGACTTCCCAGATGCAGATACTTGAAAGGCTTCGAGACACTTTCGTCGGTGATATCTGCCGCCGCAGCATTCCCAGCAGCAAGAGCGACATGGGGATCCTGGCCTTGTGCAACAGGGGCGACGGCGCTTTCTCGCTTGCGAGCTACCTTGTGCAGCTTTTTGCCAATGTACTTACCCTGTTGCGCTGCAACCTGGGCCGTCTGCAAAGCTGTCAGAAGCCAGAACCCAATGCGAGATAACAGGGGGACACACGGCAGGCAAAGTCGTTATCTTGTTTCCCAGCTCGATGAGGAGTTGAGTCAGCTCGTTCAGTGACAGACTATCGTCTGCGTCCGAATCGTACAGCTGGAACAGCTCCCGGACCTCGGAGAGATGATCCGCAGCCATGGGAACATGTTGCATGATGCGGGGAACTGGCATGAGTAGTAAGCAAACTATATCGACAAGGGAAACAAGCTGCACGCACCCATGATCTCCCATTCGCTGTAATCAATCATCCCATTTCCATCCCTGTCGGCTTCCTGGACGAGCTCGAGCAGGTGGCTGACGATGGATGTTTCAATCTGTTTGATTACATCAGCACTTGTGGTGCACAGAGAATGCGGAAACACCCACTGTCGAGCAGTCACCGATCGCGTACACCGATCCGGGTGCAGTACCCTTGACACGCAGCTGGGCATCCACTTCGATCGCTTTCTTATGCACCTGATTGGGCAGCAAGTCCGTCACGCGGCGAGAGAAGGGATTCATTGCAATGCCAGTCGACCAAAGAACAAAGTTCGTTGGGATAGAGTGCTGTACCGTTTCTCCATTTGCATCCTTCGTTGTGTAAATCACGTGCGTAGGGGTCACCGCTCCAACTCTGTCGCTCCGTTGTCAATACGCCGGAGGATCAGTGTAAGACAGCACAAACCTGGCAGACGTGACCAGGTCTACATCGTCCCGCTCGAATTTGGACTCAGCGTAGTTGGAAATGGCCTCAGAGTATGTGTTCAGGATGTGTTCTCGTGATTGGATGACATGGATAGACACTTCCTCCCTGCACAGCTTGGGATACTGAAAAAAAAATCAAATCGGCAATGTTCGGTGTGTCTGAGAAGGCATACGTAGTTCATGATATCTTCCTGGCAGAAGTCGTAGATCTCGGCAGCAGTTTCGACACCTTTTAAGTTTTATAAATAGTGTTTTCCAACGCGTAAATGGGCTCACCAGTAGGTCCACCTCCGCATACGACGAAACTGAGCAGACGCTTGCGTTCTTCCGGAGTTGTCGTGGGCAGACTGGCCTGCTCGAAGTTGTCTACAAATTTTGTGAGACTCGAAAAGGTAAGTCCGAACATGCCGAACCCATTATTCTCCTGCGAATTTTCTGCGCATCGGATATAGTTTTGAGTTGGAAACAGTGTTCGAGGCCTGGAACACCGTGAGTGCTCGATGTCGAGCCCACAGCAATGACAAGTTTGTCGTATCTGAGAACCGTTAGAAGAAAACGTCATGTATCCAAAGTGAACGTACGGAATGTATAGGTGACTCTTCTTGCCATCGGCCGTTTCCGTTTCAACCTCCAGAAGCTTTTCGTTGAAGACAACGTCGACAGCTTTCCCGTAAACGAAGTGTCCTCGCAGACGCGCAATAACCTTCCGTATGGGTTCGATGAGTGACCTAACTTGAACAGTGCCGACAGCGGCGGCTAATCGAGGAACGAATGAGCTCTCACGTGCAGGGCAGGGCGGATAACTTACAAGGCAGTAGTGGCGTGAAAGTCGTAAAGGTTTCGGAAGAGACCACTGTTACATGGTAATCCCCAACATGCAAACCGTCCAGTGTAGCCATTGCCTATGCAAGTCAGCATTGGGCCGCGATTCTCGGAGACAAGTGCACTGACACCCCATCCACCGCCAACCACGACCAGACGTGGCTTGGATGAAATCTTCTTGTTCTCTTCATCTTCGTCGTCATCCATCAAGGCGCGAACAACAGGGAGATTCTTGGGGCCACCGGTCTCGGGATGGAGCGCTAAGGGTGATATGGGCACACGCTCGATGTGCTTGTCATTGTAGGTGAATGCATCGTGGATGAAGAAGCCCGCGCCAATAGCAAATACCCCGAAAATGGACGAAAGGCAGAAGTAGCCGGAGTACTTTGCGAATGTTAATGTAGTTTTGTAGGCATTAGGGCGCCGCGCGGTGGATGAGAAAGGGCGAGCGGGATGGATATATCGAGGAACAGTTATTCTACGCGTTGAGAGGCCAGTGTATCGCGGACATGGCAGCCCTCGCACGACCATGGTGGTCAAGGTGGGAGAAGACGGGGATGGTGTGACTACTATGACGTCGCGTGTTCGGGTTGGGCAGGCAATAGTCGAGTGGCGGTGCCCGTCGGCATCTTGATCAAGTACACGGGGACTTCCGGTGTTGATTATATTTACAATCGAACGCTCGCGTGCCCAATCCATGGGGTTCACAATGACTGTCGATTCAAGGGCAAGTTTGTGTTGTGCGTTTCATCTGCTCTGCAAAGCGAAATCAACAAAACATTAGGGTGCTTATCTATTGCTATCGGTTTCGCCAGGCTATGTATGTAGCTTACAGCCTGACGCACATACCTAGTCTAATGTCAATGACATGCTTCAGAAGTGAGGTCACAGCAAGGTATCACAGAGATTCTAGCCGCATGACGTCGCGGATTCATTCAGGTGTGCTAAGGATCGCCAGACGCTGCATTTCGGCGAAGATAAATGAAAGTGCAAAAATAGGCGCTGGCCAGTAATAGCGCTCATGGCGCGCGCGAACGAAAATAAGTTGTGCAACGCAGCCGTCGCAGCCTCGGATGTTGACCACTCAGTCGCTCTCCCGAAGACGGGCCGTGGCAACAGGCTGAAGTGCGGATAGAACACGATCCAAGGACCATTGGACGCAAGCTTGTGCCAACCGACATCCGGCTTTGCGCCGATAATTCGGTGCGACGACAGGCCCGCGACTATAGCGAGATGGTGGATCCATCTTTAGTGCCAAGATGATCCAGAATCTGCGCTCAGAGGATGCATCGCAATTATCCGGCGTGCCGGCAGGATGACATCGACGCTCTTTGCACATTGTTCTCGCCAAGCTAGATTTTCCGACATGCTGACGAGCCGACGGAAATGGTTTCGCTATTCCCAGGTCATAAGCACCGGCTGATCAGGCATCGACACGGGACTGTGCTGCTGCAGTTCCCCGACAACGGACCCGCTCCCATCTTGGATTCACTTCCCACGCACAGCAGGCGTGGCAGAGAGACTACACAGAGGCCGTGGAAAGATGGGGGTTCTGTGCGCTGCCGAGCAGCGCTGCGAGCGCTGGGCAAGTGGGGTTTCCGCGCTGGGCGGCGGCAGCGCGCATGTTCGTCGGTACACGCCGAAGCACGGGCAGGTGTGCCATGTGAATATTGGTAATGGAGCGCGATAATCAAAATAGACACATCAGGCGACTGGGTCGAACTGGTCCCGTTGCAGGCATTCAGGGAGATGAGTTCTCGAAAACAACGTGCCGTACATACCCTAGCACATGGAAGTATGTCGGACTATCAGAGATCTAAACGAGGAAGAGCAGCAGAAAGGGATTACCCAGGTCTTGGGAGACCAAATAAGTCCCGAAATAGACAAGGCACAGCAACTCACGTGTAAACAACAGCACCTGTAACTTAAGTTCCACCTCCTTGCTTCCTGGTCCTGAAGCGTACGCGCGTCGAGTGCAAGCCAGGCGGACCCGCATTCCCTTCTCTGCGACAGGATGGTTAACCACGAGCAGGACTCTCTGCCGAGTGTTCTGCACGGCGACCCTTCAAGCACTGTCTTGGTCGCGACCACGCTTGCCACCCTGCTCCTAGCAGGTGGGGCGTATATATGCCGCTCGGGCAGCAAACGCCTCGGGCTCTCTTCTCAGCTCTCATCGGTGGCAGATTCACATGGTGCCCAGCATCCTCTGGGGGTCGGTGGACCTGGCGACAACAAGCAGTCCAAAGTGGCGCGTTCCAAGGAACGGCGACGGCGAGGCAAAGATCCAATGAAGGAGATCTTGAAGAACGGCAAGAAGTTGAAGATGCTCACCGTTGTCTCGAGAGAACAAGAGCGCGACGAGAATACTGCTTCCTGTCATCTCACCCAGTTGCCGCATGTTCCTGAATCGCCCACCGCATCGTCTTCTTCTAAACGCTCAGCCTCGACGTCCTCCCGCTCTGTGGCATCGTCAACTACATCCCACAACATCGACGATGACTCGCCAGCCATATTCGCTTCGGACGACAGAAAGCATGATGGACGTGGAGAACGAATGAGCGACTCGCAGTTTGACACCGGGAATACACCAGGCGACTTCTCGGACTGTGAGCCCTCGGGATCGAGTGGGGCCGGTGTCTTGGCGTCCCCTGCCCAGCGTAAGACATCATCAAATTCAACGATTCAGCCGGCGTCTTCCTCGTCGGGTTGGGAATGGGACGGGCACGGGCATGGGCACGGCGCATCCTCCAACTCCGCATGCACGTTCAACCCTTCACCAGCATCACCACCGCGTTTGGGGTCCCAGTCTGAGGAGGGACCCATGCGCGCATCCGTTTCGCTTCCGACAGTCGCTGGATCCGCAACGGTATTGCCGCCGCCACTATTTCATTCGTCATCTGCACCACTTGTCGAGCCGCTTTCGGCGTTTGAGGCTAGCCGAACGCTCGGAAGTCCCCGTCACACATCTTCGCCGCGGCGAAGTCCCACTCCGGCCGGGACGCCGCCGCCATCACTGAACGTGCAGACTCAACTTGCATCTATGCGCGGTGCTCTGGAGGCCGCACGATTGCGAGAAGAGAAGGCGAGGTCGGAGCTAGAGCGATACTCGAAGGATATGGAGATCATGCGCTGGGAAAATAACGCATGGCGCCGTCGAGAAGCGGAGGTGAGCTGGCCTGCCTGTGGTCTGTCCGCTGCATTTCTGATCATTCGTTCCAGATGCAAGCCCAGATCAGCCACATGATGCATCAATTACAAGGCTACGCTGCGATGTTTGCCGCTCCGGGACAGGCACCACACACCTCGTCAACCCCAGCTAGTCCCCCGCTGCCGGCAGCCAGTGGCTATCCAATGCCGTTTCCCCCGGCGATGTATCCCTTTTACCCGTATCCCCATCCGCACCAGCACCAGCCTCAGCCGGGCTCGCTTCCCAATGCTCAGCAGCAGCAGATGTTCTCGATGTCCTTCCCCCGGCCTGCGTCGTCCGTGTCTGGGTCGTCCGGCGGATCATCCGGGTCGGGATCTGGCTCACCGGACCTGGTTGGATCTCCGGCATCATTCTCTCGCGGCCGGCGGCGAACACGCACGCAGACTGCTGATGCGCGACTGGGCGGAGGAGAAGAAGGTGGGGTTGATGGTGATCATCTTGAGACCGACGAGATGGTCCTTGGCGAGATGGACGATGACGGACACGAGGAGGAGGACAGTGGCTTCAGCGAGATGCTGGCTGATGCCATACTGAAGCGGCCGGAGAGCATCCGGATGCCGCTGAAGAAGAGAAAATCCAAGGAGATACCCACGGAATTCACGTTCCCGTCTATTTCTGACCTTGGCTACCGCGAGCCGCCTCGGGAAAAAGTTCGGGAGGACGCCCCGCGCCAAGAACGATAGCGAGAAGAAACCCACCCACCCACACGCAATGCAACGCAACGCAGAACTGACCAGGACGAATCGAAGCATGCCTTCATGCCACTGATGATCTCTCCCTTCTCACTCTCATTTCTAATCTAAATATTCGTATTACCATTCATATCCTTTGTCAGCTGCAGATACCTGGACGTAATTACAACCAAATGGAACGCTCGAAGTAAGTAAAGTCGACGGTCAATCGACCACAATGTAACTTGTCTCGAATCTCAGTCCGTTTTCGGCGTTGGAGCGTGTGGCAGGCAGCATTATTGAGAGCGATGGCTAATTCATTGACGCGGCTATGCTTACCAGGCACGTCGCCCTCGTCCATTTACGGAAAATCCTCGCCGCGGCTATTTCTCTCCGTGTCTGGTTCACGAAGGAAGTAAAATAAGGTGGATCCAGACTGCAGCCGAGAGTCACGTATTGTTAGGTATGTATGTGCTACCGCCTAACACCCCGAGTAAAGCTCGCGGTAGCGCATAGAGCTAATCATCTTTGCCGCTACCGTTGACTCTGAGTAACTCTTGCGGTAGGTAGTGTGAGAGCGCAGACGCCCCAAATACGGATTTCTAGTGCTGTTTTATAACTGGGTTTTCAATTTAGCACATAGGACGCCGACCAAGTAGACTTTTCTATCCCAAGTAACCGAAATGCAGCTCGCAGAAGCACGAGTGCGCGAGCGCACACACGGACCCGAGAATCTCGCTGCAGTCCGGGCACCGGGAGAGTGGTCGTCGGCCGGGCCAGGTCGTAGGCTGGATCGGGGCATAATGTGCCGAGCGCTCGTCGCTTTTCGGTTCGCCGGCCCTTGCAGATCTGGCTGTGGGAAGCGTGATCAGCGGGTGCCGGAGGTCGTCTGCTTTCGTGTAGTCCGGGATCACTGGTTCCATAGCTGGAAGAACCCAGGGGTCGCCGATTCGCGGGTTGACTCTCGCTGATGGAATGTGGATGCGTGGAAAACGCCGAGCAGCAGTCGCTGTCGGTTATTGACTGAAGTCCTGCGCCTCTCCTGTTGCAGTTTTTCTTTCGGTTTCTCCATCAGACCCATGAGCCGAGGCTTGATGTTCTCCCATTACTTATGTTGATCCCCGGTCTTGAGAAAAGCGGTATCGTTTCGTTGCGCATACCCCTGAACATCGAACAATAACTACGTAAAAGAAATCAGTGGGATCCCTCCAAAAGTCCACTCGATGTTCGTTCAGATATTGCATTTCGTGCTCGCAGCCTAGCCCAGGTCTCTCAGGCGCCCACACGCGCTGCTCACCAACGAAACTCGATGCGAAGCGATGATCAGCACCCACGCGTTTCCCGCTTCCTCCGCGCGTCGGCATCCGCTCTCCTCCTCCTCCCCATTCGTGCCCCAGAGCTCCGGAATGCGCAGTAGCCGTGTCAGACTGCTGCCTCTCCGCGATCTTCTTCACGTGGAACGAGTCCCAATCCGGCGGCCGTGGCTGTATGCTCACTTGCTGAGCCGGGTGTTGATCTCCACCGCTTTGTCGAGATGCAGCATGGAGAAGCCTGGCGCACTCAGTCATTCGGATAAGCGGCCAAGATGATCCCGAGTGGCATGGCATGTTTGGGAGCTTCACGAACAGGCCTTGAGCTCGATTGAGCTGCGCGTCCGACGTGGTACGCGACAGGTCACAGATCCCGTGACTTGAACGCGTAATTAGGTGTCACGTCTGCTCGAAATGTTGAAAGTACATTGCATAGATGTGTCTACCAGAGTACCGTTCCCCAAAAGAGAGTGTGTGTTTATGCATCTATCTGTTTAATTTCGAGTTAGATATAGGGCCAGTCAAATATCAGTCAATTTCCCGGGACCGCTGAGCCAACGGGAGCGTCAGAAATGCCCAATTCAATTCCATATCAATGCGGGTGACCATTAGGTCACACAGTACATTTCCTCGTGTGATAGATCCTCTAGTTGGCTGGGTTTCACATTCCAAGGCCTCAAATATAGACGACTATCTTGATTACTTTCTACCAATATACAAACGTCCCCACAAAAAAAAGACGTGACGGTTTCCGAACACTGTCACCGGTGACCGGGCATCATGACGGCGGACGCGTTTGATTGACGGGTGTCTCTGGCCAAACCACTTGACGCTTTGGTCGAATTAGTACAGTATAAACACCCAGGTTTTCAACCACGGTGACTGTGACGCACTCCCACCAAACCACCATGAACCCCCCCACACGTTCTCCCCGGGGATACCCAGCTGTGATCTCATCTGAGTATGCCGATGAGCTTCGCGAGGTGCGCCTCCGTCACAGTTCATCCGCATCAACTCGCTCACGTCCAAGCCTAGTCAATCCGGGATTCCCTGCGCACAAGTGGGTCTGCAACCCCGGAGAATATTGCAGAGCTCGAAGAATTCCTACGAGTTTGTCCTACCAATCGCCTTTCTTTCCTCGAGGGCTGCTACAGCATGATGAAGGAGAGCGCGCACACCAAACTCCCCCAGCTTGTCGTGCGTGTTCAATCATTCTCCCTTGCAAACACAAAGCAAACACAAAGCAACCTACAGTACCGCGACCCTCCCCCTGGCGTCGAACTCCACCACTACGACATTCCTAAAACCGAATTCCGCATTCTTTTCCATAAAATGATCGTTCCCAACACTGCCGCTTATGCCCACTTCGCCTTCCAGTGGCAGTTCTATGTCCGTTCGAGCACATCTCAGGACCTCGAACATGCGCCTGTTGTAGAGATGGAAAATCCCTTCAATCGCCGGTGGCAAGTGATTACGGTGTTCCTTGCGCCTCCTGCAAGTGCTCTTCGTATCAACAAGCAGCACGTGGTCCGACTGCCGCACGATCCCGCGCTCTCCGTTATGCCACTGAACGCGACCCTCAACGAATAATTGATATTGCACATATTTGGGTCCACGAAATGTCCGTGAATAGTTACTCAACAGAGCGTAAGTACATGGCATGAATGTGTCTACCAGAGTCCTGTTCCCCAAAAGAGTGTGTGTGTTCATGTGTCTATCTGTCTAGCTATCTACTTAAGCGTACCACGAAAGCGTGGTGATGCCAACCGGAAACGTATACGCGACCTGCATGCCCCTGAAGTTGATGGTCGCGGGCTGCGGGGTGGGGTTCCACGTCGAGCTGGCGTAGTCGCGCCAGTTGAGCACGACGAGGCTGTAGCGCGTGGCAGTGCCGGCCCTGGTCTTGGTGGCGTACGCGCTGACGCGCAGGGCCCAGGCGTAGGTGCCGGCGACGCTGGCGGCGATGCGCGTGGCGGGGCTGCCGGCGGGGTCCTTGGGCGCGACGGCCTTGCCGGTCTGTGCGATGGCCCAGAACTCCTGGTTGGGCGCCCACGTGCCGTCGTAGTTGATCGTGACGACGCCGCGGCAGCCGCTGGCGCTGCAGCTGCGCGACCCCGGCAGCTTCGGGTTCCCCGCGCCGTCGAGCGCGAGGTTCCACATGAGCGCGGTCTTGGCGTAGCGCTGCGGGCCGCCGATGTACAGGTTGTCCATGTACCACTTGACGTCCGACCACCAGTCGCTGCCGATCGTCCCCGAGCACTCCGTGAGATGCACCTCCTTCCCCGGGAATGCACTGCGGAAGCTGCCAACTTGGCTGACTGTGCCGCCGTAGCAATGGAAGGCGGCCCCGGCGAACGCATCCGGCGCCTGCTGCATCAGCTGCACCGGGTACCCCGCGGCGTCGTTGTAGTTGTGCTCGTAGCCCAGAATCTTGACGCCATTCATCCCGTTGTTGTTCAACAGGGCGCGCAGACTCGTCCCGATGTAGGCTTCGGCAGAGGCCGAGATCAAACCTGCACGTGCTTCAGAAACCACGCTTGGGAACTAATCAAGGCGGAAGCTTACAGGACGGATACGTCGCGTCCGAATACTCGGGCTCATTTTGGATCGCCAGCGCGTAGACAGGGATGCCCTTATTTTGGAACCCGCGAGCGGCCTTGAGCAGGTAGTTGGCGTCTGTCCGGATGTCAGATTACACGAAACAGGAGAGCAGCATCTCATCACGTACACAAATCATAGTAGTTGGACAGCAGAGTGCCCCCAAGCATGGTCCCGCTGTCCTTCATCCATCCTGGCGGACTCCAGGGCACGAGGTGGATCTTGATCAGTGGGTTGATCGCCAGGATATCGTACAGCACCGTCCAGATCGCGGAGGGGGTCTTTTCGATGTTGAAGCACGACAGAGACGTGTCGATACCGCTATCACAGTACGACCAGACTGGAATACTCCTCAGAGAGAGAAGAGATTACTCTAACGTAATCTAACATACCGGAGCTGCTAAAGTCGGATGCGCCGAGCGGGACTCGAATCACGCTGCTCATGGCCGAATACGAGCCATCCGCCACTAGAAATCGAGGTTAGATCCAGTTATCAGCGGGGCTGGACACGAACTGTCAAATAGCTGGTGCAACAGCGCCTGGTAGTTTCCATAATTGGCGTTCTTCAAGTTCACAAACATCGATGCGGACGATTCAGCTGCAACGGGTCGTTAGCCGAGAACTGACTCGAGTTTTGAGTCACTGTCCACCCACTCAGAGAAGCTCCGAATCCGTCCATGGTCTGATACGTCGTGGTCTCGTCTACATTGATATCGCAAACACCCGTTGTTGCCGGTGCACCAAAGCTGATCGGAGCAGCGTTCGAGAGAGCTGAGGACAAGAGATCAGCTGAAGTCGAACAAAAAGTAGAGACAAACTTACTGAGTCTTTTGCTGAGATCGTACGTCGTTTCCCACTGGTGTCAAGGTCAGAGCCTGTGTGATCGATGTAAGAAACGCTTACGATCTCGGTGATGGTGGGGACAGCTGCGGTCGAGGTCGCTGTGGTCGTGCTCGTGGTACTCGTGGTGCTGGTGCTGGTGCTGGTGCTGGTGCTCGCAGTGAGCGCATAGACCTGCATCCTCCAAGCTGCACCGCATTTCAGCGCCGAGTTGCCTTTGCAGGCCATGTTGCAATCGGATGCAGGCGCAACAGCAGGTGCGCCCCCCGAAAACGCGTTGGCGCAGTAGCACTCGTTGCCGTCCTGCACGCCCGCCATGGAGAAGCCCTGACTGGCGCACGTGTTCTGGCAGGATGTCGGGGTGAGGGAGCTGGTGGTCTGCTGGTAGCCCTGCATGATGCGCGACGAGGTGTCGACAACACACGCGTTCGAGAGCACCCAGCCAGTTGACGTGGCGGTACTTGTTGTCGTGGTCGTGGTCGTGGCCATGGTGGTCGTGGCTGAAGTAGTGGCACTGCTGGTTCCGGCGGTGTAGACCTGAATCCGCCATCCTCCTCCACAGGTGAGCGCAGAGTTGCCCGTGCACAGCGCAGAGCATTCAGAAACGGGCGCAGCCGCGGGCGTCCCCCCCGAGAAAGAATTGCCGCAGTAGCATTCGTTGCCGTTTTCGACGCCGGCCATGGAGAAGCCCTGGGACGCGCACGTGGACTGGCACGACGCCGGTGTGAGGGAGGTCGAGCCGCCCTGTGGCGAGCTGAGGATGCGGGCCGACGTGTCCACTAGGCATGCGTTGGCGAGACTCCAGCTGGTGGCCGTGGATCCAGCAGCGGCCGTCGTGGTCGTGGTCGCAGTCGCAGTCCCACCAGCCGTGAGGGTGTAGACCTGAATTCTCCATCCTCCTCCGCATTTCAATCCGGTGTTTCCATTGCACGCGGTGCTGCAGTCCGACGCCGCGGCAACCGCGGGCTTGCCCCCCGTGAACGAGTTTCCGCAGTAGCATTCGTTGCCATTCTCGACTCCCGCCATCGTGTATCCGTTGGCAGCGCACCGCGACTGACACGACGTCGGAGTCAAATCTGGTAACGTCGTGGCGTAGGGCTGTAGGACCCGGGGGTTGGTGTCCACGACACAGGCATTCGACAACACCCAGCTGCTCGTGGTGGACGATGTGGCGCCGGTCGTGGTCGTCGTGGTCGTCGTAGTGGCAGTGGACGATGTTGTACTCGATGTCGATGTCGATGTCGATGTCGTGGCTGTAGTTGTTGTCGCGGTCGAAGTCGACGTCGACGCTGTGTAAATCTGCATCCGCCACCCACCACCACACTTGGTCCCAGTGTTCCCCGCGCAGGCTACACTGCAGTCGGACACGGGCGCCGACGCGGGTGTCCCACCGGCGATGCTGTTCCCGCAGTAGCACTCGTTGCCGTTCTCCACCCCCGCCATCGAAAACGAGCGGTTGGCACACATCGACTGGCACGACGCGACAGTGTTGCCAGCAGAGGATGTGCTGAATCCCTGCAGCAGCCGGGAGGACGTGTCGACTACACAAGCCTGGGAGAGCGACCATGTGTAGCTCGGGATCGACTTGGAGAAAAGCGAAAGGCGGTAGCTTGCCCCGCACGTCTCACTTGCGTCCCCTGGCACATCATGATGAGCCAAGGAGCCACGAGAGAACGTCGAAATTCACCTTTGCAGGGCATATTGCACTCGGACGACGAGGTAAGACCTCCTTGCCCATTGGCCAGTGAGTTTCCACACCAGCACTCCTGCCCGAATTGCATGCCAGCGTACGTATAGCCTTTTTTTGAAAATGAGCATATCACCATGTACTACGAATATGCGCACCAAGCGAATCGCACGAAGAGATACAAGTCTCCTGGGTCAACGAGCTCGACACGTACGAATACGACAAAGCTCGTGGATTCCCGTCAACGGCGCATCCGAGATACGTCCATCCCGAAGGCGTAGCGGCAGTAGCCCGCGTCGTGACATTCGAGAGAGACGACGGTGCGTCCCGTCGAGCATTTCGAGCAAGCCCGTGCGCCCTCGGCCTGAGCCAGGAGTCCAGCGACCAGGAAGATCCCCCGTGCGAGAAAGAGAGAGAGACTGAAAAGAGCGACGAGAGGAACGCGAACAGAAGGAGCGACTGCGAAAAAGAGTGTGGGCGCATCTCGATGCGTGCGGATGGAACGAGCGTTCACAAGGGGCTCTTGGGCTCTGTCTCTTTTTCGCGCCAGACCCAGCATAATTTGGGCAGCGTCCATAGGAGTCTGGCAGGAACACGATCACTCTCGGTTGGCAGGTCGTCGACACCGAGGCACGGAGATTAGGGACTCGGAGATTCGTTTTTCATTGACAGAGCCACAAAGTGCGCGTATAGGAGGAGGAGTTTTATGACAAGGCGCGTAGAGGTGGCCGTGATACATGGTACCAGTGAACCGTGATATTAGATCAGGTCAAGGTCCTGTAAGATCGTACATAGCCACCACGCCAATCTGTCACCACCGATCATTCATGGGTGAGCGCTCTGGCCTATGTTTTCTTCCATGAAACTGTCTCACCCTGCAAGGGCTATCGCTCTGGCTCGTTCCTGCGCCTAATGACGCGCAAAGGTTGCGCCGCATCATGGACATCCGGCCCCCAAACCCACCCTCACCACTCGCCCCGCACTCCTACCCCGTCTTCCCCCCACACATAACGCTGGCGTCGCTCCCGGCACCACCGCCCCATCTGTCGCGCATCATACCCCCCGCCACGCCCGCGATCGCGGTCCAGTTCGACGGCGTCGAGGCGGGCGAGCACTACTTCCGCTCGACCTACATCGCGGTGCGCCCGGGCGCGGCGCTGCTCGCTCTGCACGCGGCGATCCACGCGAATCTCGCTGCGGCGCCGCGCACGCCCAAGTTCCCGCACCTGTCGCTGACGTATATCGCGGACGAGGACGTGGAGGAGCGGCGGCGGTGGCTGGAGGCGTTGCGGGCGGCGGGTAGGGTGCGGGAGTCTGGCCATGGTGATGATGGAGCTGTGGCTTTGCAGTGCGCTGAAGCGTGGCAGGAGGACGACTGGATGGCCGGGGCACTCTGTTCTGAGATCTGGGTCGTGAGCTGCGAAGGGCCGGTTGAATCTTGGGCCGTGCAGGAGAAGATTGTGTTACAGTAGGTGCTAAGTGCTAAGTGCTTGTAGTAGTACATCTTTAGGCGTAGATATTATCGACCTTGTACATCTTGGTGGCATTCTCCACGTCAACTGCGACATCCTCTTGGATCCTATCCATCTCGTACATCTTGGTCACAGGCTGTGGCGCAGCTGGTGGCGCTGCCGCGGGTACTGCCGTCTTGGGTTTCTCAGCGACACCGGCCTTGCTCGCCAGACTCGTGGCGCGGCCATCCGGGATGCAGATGAACAGGCGTTTGCCGTCCTGCTCGCCGTCAAAGATATAGTATCCCTTGCGCTCGAACTGGATGATGTCGCCCTTCTTCAGATCCTGCACGTTCGCATCCGCGACCGCCTCCACGCGGAACTCGGTCACCGGCGTAACAAAGTCCTTGACGTCGTCGTTCTCCTCGAGCTTCTTCTTGGTGATCAGGTAGTCGTAGTCGAACAGCACAACGGGGACCAGCGGATGCGTTTCGGTCGGCTGGGCCAGCCACGTGATCTTCTTCTTGGTCTTGCGGAAGTCGCCGTCGAGATGCAGCTCCATCTCGATGGCCGTGACTTCGCCGGCAGCGTTTACGGTCTTGGAACGAACATAGGCGTTGCCCCAGTCCATGAGCGTCAGCTGAGAAGTCTTAGCGAGAATAACGATGGCTTTCAATGGAAGGTTACCTCCTCCTGGTCATCGAAGCTTTTAGCATCTTCCTGCTCGACAAGAATGGTGGAGGTATAGACGGTCTTTTTCTCGCCAACTTCAGGATTCTTCTTGTGTTTTGGCAATGTCTTGATCTCTGGACTGGACGGTCCGCCTGTGATTGTGACAGGCACCCTGCGACGACTTCAGTCGAGGGCACTATTATTTTACGCGCGCACCCACATCTTCTCAGTAGCAATGGCCCAGAACCTAGGTGCAACGGGATCGATGATTTTCTTATTTGTCGCCCAGATGGAGTCCCATTCCAACGAGACAACCGAGCTTGAGGGACCTTGGGAAAGCATGAACTGGCTCAATGCCTCGACGGTCATTCCTCGGCGACGAATGCCTGTCTCAGGTGAGCTGAAGGTTCCTTGAGGGAGAGAGCCAATGCAGGTCACGTACCACGAACGGTGGGGAACCTGGGATCGTCCCAGCCACTCACGAGGCCTTGGTCAACGAACCAATGCAGCTTACGCTTGGACAGGAGAGTGTAGATAAAGTTGAGTCGACTGAAGTCCCAGATATTGACTTTCCGCAGACCGACTGCGTCAATCATCCACTGATATTGGGGGTTCCGATCCCGGTACTCGTTTGTACGCAGAGCATGGGTGACGCCTTCGATTGAGTCGACGACTGGGCACGCGAAATCATACGTCGGATAGATTTTCCACTTATCGCTGAGACGCATTGGAATCAGCGGTCAATGTCTGAGAGGTAATGACTGACCCAGTACGATGATGGGGCAAGACATTGCATCGGTAGATGACAGGGTCCCTCATAGCCTTGTTAGGGTTATCCACGCTCATCTTCGCGCGCAGACACCATCGAAGACCCTCAGGCGTGCCCCTCTTCATTTCCTCGAAATGCGCCAGATTGTCCGCGACGCTGTCCTCTCGGTGCTTGGACGCGATCCCCTCCATGCGTTCCCTGCGCATCTCCATCTGCTCGGTGTCATCGGTATATGCTTTTCCCTCGTTGATCAACTGGAGCGCGTAGGTGTACAGGAGATCGAAGTGGTCCGAAGTGTGGGTCACTGTGTCCCCATGTACGTCCAGCAGGTGCAGGTCCTCGAGAATGGTCTCCTCGAACTCGGTCTGTGGGAAGGATGATTAGAGTCAGCCAGCGTCTCAACGTGCTCACTGACCCTTTCTTTGCTCGGGTTTGTGTCATCAAAACGGATGATAAGCTTTCCGTGATACATGCGCGCGAAATACTTGTTCAGCATCGCGGCTTTCGCGTGCCCAATGTGCAAATACCCACTCGGCTCGGGTGGGAAACGCGTCACGACCTGGCCATCCACGGCGCCGGCGAGACCCAACGCAAACGATGCCGCAGTCTTCGTGTTGGCTCGCGCCTTTGTGGCTTTTGCAGCGACAAGAAGAGCAGCGGCAGCCTGTGTCGTGTCAAGCGACTCGAGATGGGACAGCCAGCGCGCAAGATGAGGGTGGTTGCTGTTCTTCAACAGTCCGGAGATCTTGGAGCTGCCTGAACGACTGGTTGATTTCAAGCAGACAACGCATAATGAAAAAGACATGCCTTTGATGCTCCCCCAGAGAAGCCAGTCCGCCGTGGTGATCTCGTGGCCGATCAAGAAGGTTCGGTAAGTTAGGTGATCATCGATGGAATTGAGCGCGGTTAGCAGGTCCGCGACGGCGGACATCGATGCGAGGTTTTTCGCCAAAGCATAGAAAGCTGCGGACTGGAGCACATCAGACGTGTTATGGGACAGGAAAAACACCTGCTCACCTTTGCGCTGTCTTCGGCCAGTCCGTATGCCTTCGCCAAAGTGTGCACGATTTCCGTTTCATCGGTGATCGTGGATCCGTTGAAATTCAAAGTAACGCCAGTGGCTGTCTCGTCGAAGACAAGATCGGCTTTTTGGGTGTACGAAGAGACCGCTACGGCAGCCCAAGGAAAGGGCGCGAGTTTGGTGGAGAGAGTTAGTGTGGCCATGGTCATGAACCAAGTTTGATTCTGGACTTGACTAGATCGATCTTTCGGCTCTATCGGGAATATGACTCAATTTCGGACCACGATCGTGCACGCTCCAAAGGCAATAAAACGGGATGAGTGCAAACTCTTGACTCGACTCCCTTTACTTCATCATGCCTATGCTGCAAGTATAATCAAACGCTCTGTTTTCAGTGTCATCTGAGTTGCTCGCAGTGCAGATCCTTCCCAAAAGTACCGGCCCTATACCCCCTTGGTCCTACCCAACCGACAATGGCCGTCGAAAACGTTCTCAAAAGCGCCGATATGGTTGTCGACGGATCTTCGCGACGGCAACCAGGCCCTCGCAAATCCGATGACGATTGAACAGAAGACCCTGTTCTTCCGGGAGCTCGTCAAATGCGGAGTAAAAGAGATCGAGGTCGCCTACCCTGCAGCCAGCGACACCGACTTTGCGTTTGTGCGCGGGCTGATCGAGAACAACGAGGTTCCGGACGATGTTTGGATACAGGTGTGCCTACTCTGCTGCGCTCAGCTTAGGAGTCCTTTACATTGCGCAGGTCCTCACACCCGCTCGGGAAGATCTCATCCGCCGAACAATTGATTCTGTTGCCGGTGCCAAACGTGCCATCATTCACTTGTACAACGCTACATCCCCGACTTTCCGCAACGTGGTGTTTAGGAATTCTAAAGAGAAGACGTTGGAGCTCGCCACAACGCACACCAAGATCGTCCGCCAGTTGACAGAGGAGTGCACGGCAAAGCATGGAACCCGCTTCCGTTACGAATACAGCCCGGAGACGTTCACCCAGACTGAGCCAGACTTTGCGATCGAGGTCTGCGAAGCTGTCAAGACAGCATGGGGCAAAGCGGGTACCGGCGAGGATCGCATAACGTTCAACCTACCTGCGACTGTCGAGTGCGCGCCTCCTAACCACTATGCAGACCTGGTGCGTATTCTATTGATACATTATCTCGTTGTCCACTCACGGCGCTCAGATCGAGAACTTTTGCAACACGATCACCGAACGCGAAAAAGTCATTGTCAGTTTACATCCTCACAATGACCGAGGTACTGCTTGCATGCCCCAGCCGATGGTAGACTAATCATTCCGCAGGGAGTGGCATCGCAGCAGCTGAGCTCGGTTGCCTTGCAGGGGGCGATCGCGTGGAGGGCTGCCTCTTCGGGAACGGAGAACGAACCGGCAACGTGGATCTCGTGAACCTGGCCCTCAATCTGTATACTCAGGGGATCCGGCCCGAACTCGACTTCAGCGACCTCGACAGCGTGATCGATGTCGTGACAAAATGCAACGATCTGCCGATTCCTGCCCGGTACCCGTATGCTGGAGAACTCGTCTTCACCGCATTCTCTGGATCTCACCAGGATGCCATCAAGAAGGGCTTCGAGTCGCAAAAGATCAAACACGCCGCGGCTGCTGCAGCAGGCGAGCCGCAGTACTGGGACATTCCGTACTTGCCAATCGACCCGGCAGACTTGGGCATGAACTACGAGGCTGTGATCCGGGTCAACTCGCAGTCGGGCAAAGGCGGTATCGCTTACCTCATCAAGCAGCATCTGCAGCTTGATCTCCCGCGCAAGATGCAGATCGCGTTCTACAACGTTGTGCAGGAGGTCTCTGATCGCGAGGCGCGGGAGATGACCGTGGACGACATCACGACTGCCTTCCGCGAAACGTACCACTATGGTGGATCCAAGTACAAGGGTCGCTTGGCGCTGCGCCACTTCAAAATTTCCACTGAGCCGACGGCTGATCCGTCGGATCATTCTGGGGACGAGGACGAGCGTCGGAGGTTTGATGGCACGATTTCTGTGGACGGGGTTTTGCGTGTGATCCGGGGAGACGGGAACGGGCCTCTCTCTGCGCTGTTGGATGCGCTGAAAACGCATTTGGACATTGACTTGTCGATTCGAGAATACTCGGAGCACATCATCGGCGAATCTGACGGCCAGAATGCCAAAGCAGCATCCTACGTGCAAGTCGTTCCTGGCGATGATCGCAAGTCAGCCACGTCCTGGTGGGGTGTCGGATCTGACTCGGATATCGCCGGCTCGGGTCTGCGGGCGTTGCTCAGCGCTGTCAATGGCGCAATTGGCGACCGTCCTCTTCCGGAACTCAAGTTGACCGTCGGCTTCAACTCGCGCTCTGGTCAGGCGGACATTTCTAGTGTCATTGTCAATTCGCTCGGCCTTGAGCTCCCGCGCCGCTTCCAGGCGTCGTTCTTCGAGGTCGTACAACGTGCGGCACGTGACGCCGGTGGCGAGATCTCAGTGGGTGCCCTGACGGAGCTGTTCCAGAGGACATATGCCTACGATCCTACTGGCAAGTTGAAGCGGCCCATCTCTGTCGATGCTTTCAAGATTGGGGGAGAAGGCAGCAGGAGAGTGATCACCGGTCAGATCGACTTCAACGGAGAATCCAAATCCATCACCGGGGAAGGGAACGGGCCGTTGTCCGCGCTGTTGGCTGCGCTGAAAGAGCACGTGGACGGAGAACTGAGCATCCGAGAATACTCGGAACACTCTTTGGGCGAGGGCACAGAAGTTGTCGCTGCGTCCTACGTTGAACTTGTGTACGAAATCGCTGACAAGAAAAGGCGAAGTGAATGGGGCGTCGCCACGGACGCCGATATCACCGCTTCTGGCATCAAGGCTGTCCTGGGCGCCGTCGGAAAACTCGATGTAGTTGTTAAAAACTAACGCGAAGGAATTGTACCATTATTTACTTAACTTGTGCGCAAGGCACTTCATGATGTGACTGTCAATCATGTACATAACACGTGCACACGTGATCGCTCACGTCTTGATCTAAACTTTCATCGACGCGTCAACAGCTTTCCCCCTCTATGACCTCTCCAGAACCCGGGGAGCTGATCTTTGTGAAGGAGGATGGGCGACCAATGAAGTTTTTCCTCTTCAACCACGACAGATGGCAAAGTGGTGCCCGCAACGCTATCAAGGACAGTGTTGAGGTTCGTGTGCTTATCGGTGTCCACCTTCAGGACCACGATCATTCGACTGAATCTGTCCAGCAACATGGAGGGGAAATGTCGGATGTAGACGTGGGATGTGACGTGATTTTGGTCAATCCGCATCTTGCGAGTGCTCCAGAGACGGTGCGACAGGCGTACAAAACGCACTCGGATCCTCAAGTGCGCAGCGCGCGGGTGGAGTCGGCGGGTTGGGTGAAAAGCTGCATCTCCACTCGCCAGTGCGTGCACTTCTTCGAGCAGAAACCCATGGGTGGGGTCCCTGTCGGCTACGGTAGATCGTGTGTTCCTACTTCGACTCGTTCTCCTTCGATCTCTGACGAGTCTTCTAGCCGCGTGGAATTCACCTGGCAAGATGACGAACGGCTTACGCACTACCTTGCGATAACGATACCGCAGAAAGATAGTGGAGGGCGTACTGGGAACAACATCTACAAGAATCTGATAGAAAACGTGCGCGCCAGCTTTCACCTCATGTCACCACCTGCTTATACGCTTGCGCACAGGCCCAAACGATACCCGATGAGTACTCCTGGGCCCTAAGACATACTTGGCAAAGCTGGAGACAACGATACAAGATGAATCAGGCCTTATTTGATCAGCGAATCAATGCACTACTGCCAGTTCTCGACCCCCAACCACACCAACAATACGAACTTTCAAGGTATGCGCCCAAGTATGGAAAAAGAGAGGCTCCAGTCTATGAAGAAGAAGAAGAAGAAGAAATTCTATCCCTGTTCGGAGACGATGAAGAACAGGTCGTGACAGACTCTAAGCCGCCCGTCGCCCCTCAACTGCTACAAAGTCACAAAAGACGTGCATCTGGACCTGCAGTGACTGATCGAGACAAAAAACGAATGCGGATTGGGTCGTTGCCACTCAAAGTATCACAGAAGGGCAAAGAAAAGTTGATGCCTGACGAGTATGCAAATACTCATTGGCCATTTGTTGACGCTCTTACTCACGAACTTTCAAGGTACGCGCCCAAGTATGGAAAGGGAGAGGCCCCAGTCTATGAAGAAGTTGTAGACCTGTCTGGAGACGATGTCGAGACAGACGCCATGTCATTCCCCGACTTCCAGCTGAAAGCAAATCGCAAACGACGTGCCTTTTTACTCGCAGCAGCTGAACGAGACAGAAAAAGAATGCAGATTGAATCGTTGTCACTTAAGGCGTCAGAGAAGGGCAAAGAAAAGTTGATGCCTGACGAGTACGCAAATACTCATTGGCCATTCGTTGACGCTTATACCCACTGATGACGACTAGGGACAACCCTTCTGACTCAGAAAATAGCTTGTTCGATGGCGACTTCGATTTGACGATGGCTGAGCCAGCTCCTGCGGCGCAAATCCCCCTCAGTTCCCAGATGACTCTGGTGGAACCCGGACCCTCCCTTCAAGCGATGCGAACTCCAGATGCTAGCCCGGTTGCTCCAGCTTCTCCGATGCGTAGCGAAGCTCCCCCAGTGCAAGAAGAAACACCTGCGCTTCCGGCGGGACCTATTTATCGCCTGACGCGGGCGCGGTCGCGATCGCAATCTCTGGAACCGTTCGTGGATGATCCAAACGTGCTCATGCGCAAGAAGGGCAAGAAGAGAGCCCCTGCTCTTGCTCCTGTTCATGAAGATCCGTTCGTAATCGAGGAAACCCAGGGAAGCACTATCGACGGGAACTTGGACACACAAGCAGTGGAGGATCTACTCTTAGACACGAGCGCGAGCGATCTGTCCAGTGCGAACTCTATCCCAATAGCCGCGAGAAGCGAGTCGCCAGAACTCATGCCCCCTCCTCGCCAGCCGATACGACCGGCTATTCCTCAGTCACCAGATGACGCGCGTACCCACGGGTTGCTGCACCAGAGTCGGGCGTCCACTGCATCCCATCGCACCCAAGCTTCAATTCAGGACATACGCCGTCGTCTGGGAACGCCGCGGCTGAGCAGTGCTTCTACGAGAACGACGCCGTTCCCAACACATCAGCATTCGTCACCGAACGCCAGGTTTACTACATCGGCTAGAAGACCGCCCAACATCTCGAAGACGGATTCAGAGACCAGCGGAGAATCATTTCCGCTGAGCGGGACGCGCGCAAGTGCGAAGAAGCAAGAGATGAAGAGGGAGGAGATGAGGACGCCTTACCGGGCTCCACTGAATACCCGCGCGGCTGCTCTGACCAGATAGTGCAGCTCGGACAGATATCGTGTACATGGATGTGGGCAGCACCGATTTTATTCGATCTTGGTTATGAATTCATGAGGCTATTCTTTACGACACGCCGCGCAAGTAAAGAAAGTAAGTCTCGTTGCCATGCACCGACACACTACAAGCCACATCTTAGCGGTGGGCGCTGACGGCCCCCTAGGTCTACACAGCATACCAGTTGATTCGTTCCTCCCATGTCGAAACAGATCGTGTTTACCAAAGATGCAATCCCACCCATGCCTGTGTTCTGTATGTCTGGACGAATGCTGATTCGTACGACTTCCTAATCGCACTTGAAGCCCAGGCAACCGTCGCCCAAGGCGTGGTTTACTGCTCTGGGAATATCGGATGCACCAATGAATTCGTGGTCGTCGGGGGTGGAGTGCAGGCTCAAACCGTGAGCGAGCGATTACCGCTAACTCTGAGTGTCCCGAGGCTGACGAACGCTGTCAAGCGTGCCGCGCTGGAAAATCTCTCGATCGTGCTGAAAGCTGCAGGATCGGGATTGGAACATATTGTGAAGGTGAGTTGCAAGCGAGTCAAGGTAGAAATGGGACGTCAGTTGGTTTATCGTCTGACTTAGGCAAACATCTACTTGACAAACATGGCCGACTTCCAAGCCATGAACGAAATCTATGCACAGGTACGCCAGCCACTCTCCATGTCGGCTTGGATAGAGACTGAGAGCAGCGCGAAGTTCTTCGATAAGGATAACATGCCAGCGCGTACCTGTGTTGCGGTCGCTGCTCTGCCTCTCGGAGCATGGTACATCTCCCACCGCTCAGACCTCGCCCATTCTGACATTTTCCACAGCTTCGAGATAGAATGCACTGCCTTAGTAGCCAACGCCTGAACACGTAAATATTTGTGATTCGCACGAAGTATGATGAGAATGCATCAAAGACCCGCAAGAACAGAGAGAAGGAGGATGGCCAGCAGAGACGCCGAGAAAGGTGTTGTAAGGCATTGAAGCAGGGATTAGACACAGCCATCGTTCAACACGCCTTGTCAAATTACCTCATTTGGTTCGGTTACGGGAACCTACGCAAGCACTCGGGGGCGTGTCTGACTCTGCGCCTCTTTCCCACCATCATGGCCAGCCCGCCCAATCGCTCTACGATGTCTCAGTCGTTCTATGGCGGGGCGTCCGGCTCCTCCAGTCGCCCCTTCTTGAACATGCTCAATTCGAAGTACAAGGGGTACTCGCAGGCTACGCAGGCGCCGCTCGCAGAGGAGGATGAGTCGCGGGATAGCTTTGAAGAGGAGGAGGAGGACGCAGAGGCTGCCCGGGGTCGGAGCACCATCTTTCAACACACACCTGACGACATCCCTCTATCGAAATCACGGACACATGCGCAGCATCGCGTCTCGTGGGAACCGCCGCCCCCTGCGTTGCATCCGAACATACAAAGAGAGGACGCGCTACATGAGAACGACTCTGACGATGAGGTTCCGCAGAGTTTCATGATCGAAGCGGCGGCGGCGGCAAAGAGAACCTCGAAGAAGGCAAAGGGCAAGTCAAAGGCAAAGATGGAGCCATCGCCTGTTGGAGGCAGGGGCCAGCCTCTTTTCTCCGCACCTGGAAGACAAATGCCGCCCCCGATCTTACCCACCCACACGACGTCACTGCCTCCCCCGCCATCCGCCCGGCCATCTCCCAGCGAGTTCCACACGACCTCCGACGAACCAGAACGACCACGCAAGCAAATGCGCGGCCTCGATGATTATGAGAAAGCCCTGTGGAACTGGGTCAATGTGTACAATCTGGATGCGTTTCTTCAAGAGGTGTACTATTATTATGAGGGCAAAGGGATATACAGTATTGCTCTTGCCCGCGGTCTCAATCTTTTGTTCGTCCTATCCGACTGTTCTTCGCGGCGGGCCCGCTGATTGATTGAACACAGGACCGTAGGCTTCGTCATCGGTTTCTCAACATTCTTGCTCGGATGTGTAGACTATTCCCGGATACAGCACGAGACTTCGATGAAACTCTCTGATGTCGTTGTGTCTCGATGTGTATCTCGGTGTGTTTAGTGTCTTCATTCACTCTTCACGAGATCTAAAGGCTCTGGTAGTTTCTCCGGCTTTACGTTCATATTCTTCGCACTCTTCATAGCGTTCTATGTGTGGCAGATTGTTTCCTTCGTCTTCGCTGTCCTCCGACTCGTCGATATGTATCACTTCTACACACATCTGTTGAAGATCCCTGATGTCAGTTGTTTCACCTCAAACCTCTGGCAGCAGTTGATGTCCATTTCCAGGCCGATATCCAGACCATCTCATGGCCTGAAGTTGTGCGCCGAATTGGAGCTATCCGGGAAGACAATCCGATGACTGCTCTGTCGAGTAACAAGGCCAACGACACAGGCACAGCGAAATTGGATGCGCACGATATTGCCAACAGGATACTGCGACAGGAGAACTATCTGATCGCACTCTTCAACAAGGATGTCCTTGATTTGCGGGTACCTCTCCCACCTGCTTTGAAGCGTTTCGCTGCACAGGACGGGCGGGGGACCCTACTGACCCGGGCCATGGAGTGGAACCTGCGATTTTGTCTTATGGAGTACCTGTTCGATCAGCATGGCAAAGTTCGAAAGGTGTTCCTCAAGTCAAAAAACCGACCGGTGTTGATTGAAGGGTATGTGCTTTCTGTCCCAACATCATATTCTCATTTCTCTAGATTGCGGCGCCGATTCATCTTCATGGGCATGCTCAATGCTGTATTCGCGCCGTTCATCGTCTTGTATTTGTTGATGTATTCTTTCTTCCGGTATTTCGAGGTCAGAACCACGACCTTCCGAATTGCGCGTTGTTGACACAACCTTCAGGAATACCACAAAGATCCTTCGACAATCGGGGGTAGACGGTTCACGTCCTATGCGCAATGGAAGTTCCGAGAATTTAATGAGCTTCCACATCTCTTTTCCCGACGACTGAAGGAGAGCCATCCATATGCCAATATGTACATTGGTCAGTTTCCGAACGAGAATATGACCATCATCATGCGGTGAGTGCACACTTCGCCAACTCGACATTCGATGCTGATAGTTCGCAGATTCGTTGCGTTTGTTGCCGGTTCATTTGCCGCCGTGTTGTTTCTAGCGACTGTGCTCGATCCGGACATCTTTGTGCACTTCGAGATCACGCCGCATCGAACAGTTCTCTTCTATCTTGGTGTCTTTGGGTCCACCCTGGCGGTCGCTCGTGGCATGATTCCTGAAGAGAACCGGGTTTTCGATCCAGAGTATCTGATGACAGAAGTGATTGCATATACGCACTACATGCCAGACGACTGGAAGAACGAGCTTCACAGCAAACGGGTACATCTTTTATAGACTGTCGTACTCGGGCGTTGGATGCTCACACTTGCCAGGTCCACACTGAATTCGGGAAACTCTTCGCCATGAAGATTCTCATCTTTGTGGAGGAGCTGGTGTCAGTAGTGCTGACTCCATTCGTCCTCTGGTTCTCTCTGCCGGATTGCGCCCCGGCGATCGTCGACTTCTTCCGCGAATTTACGGTCCATGTCGATGGAAGAGGCTATGTTTGCAGCTTCGCCGAGTTCAACTTTGAACGTCATGGCAATGTTAAGGTTTGTTGGTTATCTGGTTGCTATTATGCATCAGTTGATCGATCTTGCAGTTCGGCGCTCCCACTCGAAATCACGACAAGCGGATGATATCGAACCAAGGAAAGATGGAGAAGAGTTTCTTGACGTTCAAAGCTGCGAATCCGGACTGGAACCCTGCCGATGCTTCCGGATCTTTATATTTGAGTCGCATGGCAGACCTCAATGTTTCGCAACACCCCAGTTCGCGACGGCGAGCCGGAGCGCCCGAGCTTGCAGAGTCCAAGATGCTTGATGACCGTGCGCAAGAGTACGACCGTGCGCTTCGGCAGAGCCAAACTGCTGCTGTGTCACGGAGAAGAGGCATGGCGGGTAGTGTGTTGGGCATGTCTACACTCGCTGGGCCGACTGCATCGTCCATCTTTGTCGGTGGGATGTCGATGGCCCAGACAGCTGTCCTGGGCGACTCGCAGGGCAGTGTTCACATTCCCGGGCGCGCTGAGATCAATCAAGAAGATATCTCGGCCGATGGAGGTGTCGGCAGTGCCTTGGGCGAGTCCTATGTTGATGGCGCACAACCACGGCCAGCTGGTACTGAGGACGACGAGGATGGATTGGAAGATGGCGGTGTTCTAGGTCTGTTAGCGCAGATCTATGGCCACAGGGAAGGACCTGCACGAGTCATGTAAATCTAATCTAATTGGATCCGTCTCATCGCCACGTTGTTCGCATATCATTATGCCTTTACGTGAATCATGTGTAGTGAATCGATCATCCGACGCTAAGATGACAATGGGAGGACTTGTCAAGACTTGTTATATTTCTTGCCGCAGCCGCCAAGGATGATCTGGGCGTGGGAAGAGTCGTACCCTCGATCAAGTCCTTGACCGCGCGGTCAACACGACTCTCGAGTAACTGATCTTCGATGTGCTTGACGGTCCTAAACCCTCTTGGGTGACCCGGCGTCCGATCCATGGCCTGCAAGATTCCCGCGAAGAACTCTCCCACACACAGCCCTGGACCGTGGCAGCAGGGGTCTTGTGATGAGGGTCCTTCGAGGACTGCTGCTTCACTGTTTCTGTGCGACAGATATCACTCGAGGGGTGTACTGGTAGAGGATTTGCAGTGACGTAATCGGTATTAGCTGTACGGAACCGCCGTGACAGCGATCTCGGATTCCATTCGAGTTCTGTTCCTTGTTGGCTGGCGGGCGCCTCGGCGTTGAAATGGGCGGTGATGGTGCCATGAACATCCCACGAGAAACGAGACCCCAGAGACAGCAAACAAACGCGTTCGCGATGGAGAATCCGGACATACGCGCTGAGGTTATCCTGTTGTGTGCTCTTAGAGTCTACCGACGGAATGTCGGCATTTACGACAGCTCCAATGGGCGCTCTGCTTTCGTTACTTCATAATCCTCGTCATCGTTTAGAATCGGAGGCGCAGAGGAGAACACAGTGAGCTGGACCAAAGTAGGTTGCACAGATGATATTTTGACTAATGGGGATTTCACGCATATCAATGATCGATAGAATTCTGCCAGGGGTCATCTGGGGTCATACATCCATGACGAGGTAACCGCCCGATACAAGGGACAAAGAAGCAGGATAAATGAGAGCCTTCCGGAGCCAAACACGGTTTGTCCCTGGCGCAGCCCATGTCACGTTCACCTGAAGCCACCACTCAGAGTCCAACCACTCAAAATCCACGCAAGCGCCCACGCTCCGATTCTGCTCAGTCCGAGGCGCATGAGCACGAAAATACGATCAGCATCGGTTATTTCACCCTTGGTACTGTAGCCAGCTCTTCTGGATGCTGTTCGAGCACTCAATCACTGCGCAGAATTCATTCGCGCATACCACACCGTCTTGCGAACCTTGAACCTTGAACTGGACAGTCTCAGCAATCCGGCGGACTTCTCCTCACTTCTTTTCCCCTCACTCCTGAAGTCGACCGTGCCCTCCTTGGACAAGGAGAGGAATGTCTATTCGTATAGGCATGTGGGAACTAGGACTGTGAGGATCGTTTACGATTCTTTCCAACGATTAGAACGGCAGACGTCTTCCGTCCTGCCGCTAGTGGGAACGTTAGGATGTGGGAAGACGCACCTGCTCGCAGTTTTGGCTAGTTTCCTGTTCACGAAGGTGCGTTGTGATAGTTATGAAGCTTGTCCTAATCTCAGTCACTTTGGAAGCAGGGCATGCCAATAATTTTCCTGCCGCATGCGGACACCCTCGAACATGACTCTCTGCACTGGCTGAAATTGGCATTCGCACTCGCTTTCGCTGACATCGAGGGTGCTGTCGAACGAATCGCAGGTCTCCAATCTCTAAACGATTTAATTCTATTCTCTCGAAACAATTCAAAACAGCTGTACTTCTTGGTGGATGGATTCGACCTGGTGGCGGACGATCTGAAAGCTACCATTTACTCGTTGGTGTCAAACCACTTCTTGGTCTATACAACATACCAACTCGCTGGGCGCATTTCACTTTCGATTCGTCTCCCGTCAAAATTTTCTGAGGTACTGCCAGCTGATTAGAATTCGCGTCGGTTCTGATTCTCACATAGCAAGATGCCTGGAAATGGATGGAACATTACGAGAACGATTTCCCCTCCTCGATGACCATGCAAAACCGATTATTCCTCAAATATATCACGGGAGGGATCCCCGCTCACCTGCAGGCGATGCGCGAATTTCGGGGACAAGCCTTCAAGGAGATCGTCAGCAAGTTCCGGCAATGCCATAAAATGCAGGCCTTGGCTGATGACGTGACGGCTTTTCATTCGCGGATGGAGTCGCTCAAGTCTGCAGACAGAAAACGGTCTGTGTTAGAAGTTCAACATTGGTCTTGGTTCAAGCCATTGCTAGCTACCTACAGCTAGTCACCGCGTGCCTGACCGACACCATCCCAGAAATTCGACACGGGTCTCATCCGACGCTGTATGATCCGCGTTACTTTTGCTTCGACGACGAAGGCCGAGGTTGTTGTGCGAGCGGTCTGGCACGTGACATCATGATCAACCTGCTCTACGCAGAGGACATGAGCCTTTTCACGTCGGATTCGTGGTACTCGAGTGTCCGAAGTGCTTGTGGACTCATCCGTGACTCGTCTATTGTTCAGATCTGTCTCAGTCGCATCGCTCTCAGCGGTCTGTTCCATGCCGATGCGAATGGGACTGCCATGAGAATCAGCACCTTCCGGGAGACCCCTGCCTTCGGCTGGATGTTCGAAGAAGCGCGGAAGAATCCTAGGGGCACTTCCTCCTTTCTCTGCATACCTGGACCGGATACCTGCAGATTCTTCACAGCAGTGATCGTCCGAATCAATCCCGTGGATAAGACCGCCTGTTGCGAGTGACCGCAGATTCACTCGTAACTGGAGTTTTGACAGAACCTGTCAAATAGGCTCATAGGGACCGGCGCCGGCGTATGGACGCGGCGTCTCGACGCAAAGGGTTTTTTCCTCAGTACTGTCACTACGTACTGAGGTAAGCCCAGCGCTCGTTTCTAGTATCGAGGACGCCGGACTAATAGCACACCGTAGTATATACTTACACGGTGTCTAGGTATCCTCATCTCACCTGAGTACTGTCACTACGTACTGAGTATATACTTACACGGTGTCTAGGTTCTAACAGGTTATGGGCAGCTGCAACTGAGAGCCACTGGAAGACACACGAGTAACAGCCCCTCACACACACAACACAAACCAAGATGCCACTCGAGGTCATCAAGGCAAAACCGGTCAGCGGATTGACAGTTCTGGACTTCGAGAAAAAGAACTATGTACCGTGGGCAGAAGCAGCCGAAGACGCATTCATGTACGCTGGCATAAGCGACTACGTACAGGGCCTCGTATCGAGACCACCAGCGGCACATGCAGACGAAGCAACCTGGGTTAAGAACGACAAGCTAGCGCAAGCTGGGATCAGAATGCACATCTCGGACACCGAACGGGCTTACCTCCGGGACAACTGCACAATCACCTCCGCAAACGATATCTGGAAGAAACTTCGCGAACGCCATCGTCAAAAAGCCGCAACGCAAACCTCACTACTTGAAGACGCACTTCGAATCCGCATACACAGGGACGCAAGCATGCTCGACAACGCCACTGCCATACGTAACGCGTGCAAGCAGATCTTCGAGATAGGACCACTCGATGCAGACAAACTCGCCCTCGCCATCCTCCTCAGCGCCCTAACGGGAGAACCGCTAAGACACATTCGCACAAAGTATGAGGACGACTCAAACGCTAAACCGGCACAGATAGTCCACATGCTAGAGAAAGAGAAGATCCGTCTAGAGGAGGAGCTCAAGCATCAAGCGGAGGAGGAGGAACGTGCAAACAGCGCACGAGCAAGCACACAGAAGCCGACAGCAAGTGGTCGCTGCATCACATGCAAAGGCCCACACAGAACAGACGAGTGCTGGGCCAAAGGCGGTGCAATGGAGGGACGGCGAGACGAGGTACTGAAGAAACGCGAAGCAAGACGGGCAGGCAGAGACCAGAGGACACCAACCGCCCCGACCACCTCCACGGGACGTCGGATCGCACTGAAAGGGGCAGACGGGAAACTCGTGTACTTCACGATGGTCGAAAGCCCCACAGAGGAAAACATTGCTGCATCAGCATTGACCATGCACAGAAGCCCAGAAGACGAACTCACCTCCAATGAAGAGCTGGAAGAACTCTACAGCGCGTATCCATCTCGACCCCGCAGCACCTCGAACGCATCATCAGAGTACTCAATGTTAGCCAGGGACGACAAGCGCGCACTAGCGATCAGCACGTCCGGGATATTCGCAGCAGATTCTGGAGCAACGACACACATATCGCCCGAAAGGTCCGACTTCTTGACGTTCGAAGAGATTCATCCACGGAAGATCTTCGGGGTCGATGGCAACTTCATTGTGGCAACGGGGCAAGGGGACATACATATTCAGCACCCAAACGGGGCCATTCTCGTCCTCAGGAAAGCTTTATACGTCCCACGTGCTGCGTTACGGTTAGCATCAATCGGATGCATCACAGATGCAGGGCTCACCGTCACCTTCGACAACACTTTGTTCTCTATCACCGACCAAGCCGCAACCACCCTTGCAACCGGAACTAGACACAAGGCGAAGCTCTACACCTTGGACGGACACATTCTCACATCGCATCACACAGCGGCCAACGCGTCAAACACTAAGCCGACAGCAGCTAGCCTCGAAGTATGGCATCGTCGCCTTGGCCACATAGGATGGTCAACGATTCGCCGCATGGCTGAGAAGGGCATGGCAACAGGTATGCCTATCAACCTATCGGAGATCCCCCCCGCTTGCAAACACTGCATCCTCGGAAAACAGGCTAAACGGCCAGTCCCCAAGATGCGGAGCGGTGCAAGGTCGAAGAGGAAACTGGGAGTAGTCTATATAGACCTCACCGGACCAGAAGCCATTACCTCCGTGCGACACAATAAATATTCAATGCAGCTGGTCGATGAATACTCCGATATGACTTGGTGCATCCTACTCAAATCAAAAGACGAGGCGCTACCCGAGCTACAAAGATGGGAAAACCAGCGCAGACTCAAATCCGGAGAGACGGTAGGAGTATATCGAACCGACAACGGCAAACTCTCGAGCAACGCAATGAGAGACTGGCTAGCGGGCAGTGGGACCAGACATCAGACGACAGCGCCATACACATCGGCTCACATTGGCATGGTGGAGCGTCGACATCGCACCATATTCGAACTGGCGAGGACCATGCGCTCGGCGGCCAGGGCACCACACAACCTATGGGATCACTTCGTGGAGACAGCAGCTTACGTGGTACAACGGCGCCCGACCACGTATCAGAAGTGGATGACGCCTTACGAGGCATGGTACGGAGTGAAACCAGATCTATCTCATCTCCGAGAAATCGGCTGTGACGCATTCACGCTCATACAGAACAAACACAACCCGAAGATATTTGACCGTGGCCTCGAGTGCACGCTAATAGGGTATTCTCACACATCTAAAGCATACGTATGCTATCATCGCCCTTCACAGCGCATCATACGCTCGTACCACGTAGAATTCATCGAAACACAAGACATCAAATCGAAGCCGCTCACCCCGGGCAAGATTGTCGATGCCATACCTATCCCCGAAACTTCGAAAGTCGAGATCATAGACGACGATGATGACGACGACGAGGAGACTCGGACCCCTCCCCTCCAGAACACAGGGCCAGCGCAAGGCACACAAAACGGACCAAGAAGGAGCTCAAGGAAGGTAGGAGAGCCGGACATAGACCGGGTCAGAAGAGCGGTCGAGGAGGCCAAGGAGGCAGGCGAGCGGATAAGGGCGGAGAGACGAGCAAGGAGGGAACAAAGAGCAGCAGAAGGAGACATGGCCGCAACAGCGGACACCATGATACAACAAGCCCTGGCGGACGACGCGCAGATCAATGTCGAACACCCGAATGACCCGAAGTCACAGAAAGAAGCACACAATAGCCCCCATAGCGATCAGTGGAAACGAGCGGAAGCCGAAGAATATCAATCTCTTCAAGAAATGGGGGTATGGAAACTGGTCCCAAGGACGTCTATCCCCAAGGGTAGACGCGTCATGCGAGGCAAGTTCGTGTACCACGCGAAACGAGATAGCAACGGCAACGTCAACCGATACAAAGCGCGATACGTACTCATGGGTCATCAGATGATCTACGGACAAGATTACACCAAGACGAGCTCGCCGACAGCCAGAGCTGAGTCGTTACGGATACTCTTTCACATAGCGGCAGCCCTGGACTACGAACTCACCCAGATCGACGTCAAGACCGCGTATCTATATGGTAACATTGATGAAACCGTGTGGATGGAACAACCCCCCGGACTCGCCGAACGTGGAAAGGAAGACTGGGTATGCGAGTTACAAAAGGGTCTGTACGGCATGAAACAAGGGGGCAGACTCTGGAATCGACACATGGACGCACGAATGATACAGCTGGGCTTCACCCGACTCAGTGCTGAGCACTGTATCTACTATCGGGCACGCAAATCAGGAATAATATTCACAGCGGTGCATGTGGACGATTTCACATCTGCAGCTAGCAGCAAAGACGAAGAACGCAGGTTTGAGGAGGAGTTACGGGAGAAGTGGAAGATAACAAGAGACGACGCACATTTTGTTGTCGGTTGGGCCATTCGCCGGGATCGAGAAAACCGACGAGTACACCTCTCTCAGAAGGCACTAGTCGATAGAATCATTCACGACTACAGGTGCGCCGATGCGAACCCAGTTAAAACCCCTTTACCCCCAAACACGAGACTCATCAAAAAGGACCTCCCACAATCTGAGGAGGAGGGAAGACGAGCGGCGACACAACCTTATCGACAGCTAGTGGGTGTCCTCATGTACCTGGCCATATCGACGCGCCCGGATATCATGCACGCAGTCAGCGTGCTGAGTCGTTTCAACAGCGGACATGGCGAGACTCATTGGAGGGCAGCGATACACGTCGTGCGGTATCTGAAGGGCACCAGAGACTACGAGCTAGGGCTGGGCGGAGAGAAATCAGCGCAACTCGTTGGATACACGGACTCAGACTACGCCAACTGCCCGGACACTCGTCGCTCGGTCTCAGGATACTGCTTCAATCTCGGATCGGGACTCATCTCGTGGATGTCGAAGAAGCAATCCACCACCGCGACATCATCCACCGAAGCCGAGTATATGGCCGCCTGCTCCGCGACAAAAGAAGCCGTCTGGATTCGAAACGTCCTGCAGCAACTACACCTCGAACAGACACACCCGACTGTCATCTTCATCGACAACACAGGCGCGCGAATCCTTACAGAGGATCCCTCATTCCATCAACGCGCTAAGCACATCGAAACTCAGCACCATTACAGCCGAGAATGCTGTGAACGTGGCCTTGTGCACTTTGTCGATGTCCCGACCTCAGACAACGTAGCCGACGCCTTCACCAAAGCTCTGGCACCGCCCGCGTTCGCCAAAGCCAGGGAAAGGATGGGCTTGAGACCCAGTTCCGATTGAGGAGGAGTGTTGCGAGTGACCGCAGATTCACTCGTAACTGGAGTTTTGACAGAACCTGTCAAATAGGCTCATAGGGACCGGCGCCGGCGTATGGACGCGGCGTCTCGACGCAAAGGGTTTTTTCCTCAGTACTGTCACTACGTACTGAGGTAAGCCCAGCGCTCGTTTCTAGTATCGAGGACGCCGGACTAATAGCACACCGTAGTATATACTTACATGGTGTCTAGGTATCCTCATCTCACCTGAGCACCTCAGTTACCACCGCCATCACGCGGTTCTCCCCCCGCGGGGTACCTACTGGGTACCCTCAGACGTCTTGCTGAGGGTACCCAGTAGGTACCCCCTGGCGGGGGGTGGGGGGGCCATTTAGTCGATTTAGTAGCGGGGGCATATGCGGGGGTTGGGAGGAGGGGGGGTGTATGTAGCATGTGACTTGTCCATAAGAGCGGGTAGCTGGGCGGGAAAAAAAAATCCAATCACATGACGCGCTGCATGGGCGGGATGGCGGGATAAAAAAATCACGTGATGCGCTACACAAAATATTACCAAAATGCTGGCAGGGGTTGGCGGCATCATTGGCGGGGTCACTACCACCCCCCCCCGTACACCATGGCGGGCAGTGGGCGCATTATCACGTGACTTTTTGGGCGCCTTTTTTGCAGCATTTGGCATGATTTGGGAGATGCTGCTTGATACATTGCATGCTGTGGCAGACAATGGGCGCAAAATCACGTGATTTTCCGCCAAAAAAATGGAAGACTCCCCAAATCATCCCAGTATAATTTCCATAGGTAAATAGGCTAGTTAAACATGAACTTGGGCTTAGAAAAACCGAAATGCACCCTGCACAATGGGATTGGTGACACACTTGATCCCATCATTTGGCAGGGCCTGCCGCAGGGGCTGCCGCGGGGGGTGCCACGGGGGGTGCCGCGGGGGGTGCCGCGGGGGGTGCCGCGGGGGGTGCCGCAGGGGGTGCTGCGGGGGGTGCCCCAGGGTTGGTCTGTTATGATCCATTTTTGTTCATTGAAGATCTTGTAGAGGTGAGTAGGGCAACAGGCCAACTGGGAATTTATAGGAAGACATTGAAATTGATGCAGGGGTCAGATGTGGGGCCCACTGCAAGGTCTACTGCAGGGGCAGGGGTGCATTATATCAAATTTTGATGTATCTATTCTGGCCATGGCCATAGAATGTCACATAATTATCCTTCAATTTGGCAGGGGTTTCTTGGTATGGTCTGCGGCTAAAGGCATTCGATTCGCTTGTGCTTTAGCAGAGGCTGGGATATTGAAAACATGCAATAGCACCTGTATAATCTGTCTATATAGGGTCAAATACAAGTTATGACTTGGTACATTTGGGCATGGTCTGCTAAAGCTATTAGGTTGAATTTAACGTTTGAAAAATGCGCAACTTGATTTGTTTGGCAAATCCCCCAAGGGAGTTTTCCATGTGCCGCCAAATTGATTACCAGGAATAGCTACTGCTCCTTGTCCCTGTCTGTTTGCTTCAGATAGTCTGTCTGCTCCCAAATCTTCCTCTCCATTTTCAGGATATCTGATACAGGTGTTAGGATTGTTGATTGATGGATTTCATATTCCTTGTCTACACACCATTTAGACACTTTAATGGATGTGATAATACTGTGAACACTAACAATGGATTAAGCAGCACTTTTGTCCATCCAATCCTTGCAGGGGCTGGGGCAGGGTTGATGGTGGGGGCTGCTGCGGGGGGTGCCGCGGGGGGTGCCCAAGCCTCTGCCAGCCTACCCAATGTGGATCAACTACAGGATCACTTTCCAAAGCTTCTGTACTGCAACCCAAGTGACTCCCAGGTTACCTTTGCCCAATTCCAGTGACACAACTTGCCTGCTCTTGTTTCTGGCCAACAATTGATTTTATAAGCTTGAGTGTGTATGTGCACTTTTTGGTGGGAAAGGAGGCCATTTGGTGAGGGGTAGGGCACCGAAACATTGTCAAATACCATATTGAACATGACCAGTGGCTCACATCTCTTCAAACTGGCCCCTATCTCATGTTTATCAAGACCCTATTTTTCGGACCCATTTCAAGTTTTTGAATGGTTCCAGGGTCCAGGGCTCTCAGAATTTGTTTCAGACACTGCCAAGGGGTATATCATTCAGCTGTATTGAGTTGTTCATTTGTAGAAAATATATTTTTTGCAATACCCAAAGTGGACTATGTTGAACCATTATCTATGTAGGAACCTTGAGCAACTGTGAACTGTTTTCATGTTTCGAATTTTGGATGGACAAACGATATGAAATACCTACATATTCAACAAGAACAGCATAGAGAGACCTTATTCCGATGGTTTTCAGCTGCATAACAGTAGAAACAGTGTCAGAAGAGCAGGAAACACTTAGGTACGACGTTTATACAGGTTCTGATTGGCTGGTGACTTGACGTGTTCCGAGCTGTCAGATTATGTAATCTTACATATGAGAAGATGGCAGGGGCAAGGCACCGGTGCAGCGGGGGGTGTGGCGGGGGGTGTCAGCCTGGCGGGGGTGCATGCGGGGGTGCAGTGGGGGGTGCCAGTTTGGCGGGGGGTGCCTGCAGGGGTGCCAGTGGGGGTGCAGGTAGAGTTGCAGGCAGTGAGTTATGGCAAGAATGTATGCAGTCCCAGTAGCAAAAGCAATCATGTATGTTTCTGCAGTTTGTCTTGCAAGTGTCCAAGCTCTAAGTGGAAAGAATTTTGTATATGAAATCTGAATTCATGCTCAATCTCTGGCTATTGTGAGACAACTTATTAGTGAGTTAGTTCATCCTCTTATATACAACCCAGGAATGAATTGAGGGCATGTCAAATCCGCTATGTTCCATCTGTTCATGTTGCAGCTTGAGAAAATCATTTGCAAAGCATCACAGAACTTCTGATTTTCAATGAGTCCCAGTCAGGAAGTGAGACATTCAATGTGTATTTGACATGTGGTACAATGTGCCGCAGGGTAAGATTACACTGTGCTAACAGTGTGAACAATTTACTAATAGCCATGTATGTAGAATGAGCGCACCAAAAAATCAATGAGATGACAGTGGACCCAGTGCAGCCAACCTACCCTGCCGGTCAACACATGTACCAAGTCATAACTTGTATTTGACCCTATATAGACAGATTACACAGGTGCTATTGCATGTTTTCAATATCCCAGCCTCTGCTAAAGCACAAGCGAATCGAATGCCTTTAGCCGCAGACCATACCAAGAAACCCCTGCCAAATTGAAGGATAATTATGTGACATTCTATGGCCATGGCCAGAATAGATACATCAAAATTTGATATAATGCACCCCTGCCCCTGCAGTAGACCTTGCAGTGGGCCCCGCATCTGACCCCTGCATCAATTTCAATGTCTTCCTATAAATTCCCAGTTGGCCTGTTGCCCTACTCACCTCTACAAGATCTTCAATGAACAAAAATGGATCATAACAGACCAACCCTGGGGCACCCCCCGCAGCACCCCCTGCGGCACCCCCCGCGGCACCCCCCGCGGCACCCCCCGCGGCACCCCCCGTGGCACCCCCCGCGGCAGCCCCTGCGGCAGGCCCTGCCAAATGATGGGATCAAGTGTGTCACCAATCCCATTGTGCAGGGTGCATTTCGGTTTTTCTAAGCCCAAGTTCATGTTTAACTAGCCTATTTACCTATGGAAATTATACTGGGATGATTTGGGGAGTCTTCCATTTTTTTGGCGGAAAATCACGTGATTTTGCGCCCATTGTCTGCCACAGCATGCAATGTATCAAGCAGCATCTCCCAAATCATGCCAAATGCTGCAAAAAAGGCGCCCAAAAAGTCACGTGATAATGCGCCCACTGCCCGCCATGGTGTACGGGGGGGGGGTGGTAGTGACCCCGCCAATGATGCCGCCAACCCCTGCCAGCATTTTGGTAATATTTTGTGTAGCGCATCACGTGATTTTTTTATCCCGCCATCCCGCCCATGCAGCGCGTCATGTGATTGGATTTTTTTTTCCCGCCCAGCTACCCGCTCTTATGGACAAGTCACATGCTACATACACCCCCCCTCCTCCCAACCCCCGCATATGCCCCCGCTACTAAATCGACTAAATGGCCCCCCCACCCCCCGCCAGGGGGTACCTACTGGGTACCCTCAGCAAGACGTCTGAGGGTACCCAGTAGGTACCCCGCGGGGGGAGAACCGCGTGATGGCGGTGGTAACTGAGGTGCACCTGAGTACTGTCACTACGTACTGAGTATATACTTACACGGTGTCTAGGTTCTAACACCGCCCATCTGATACCTCTACAAATTTCAGTGTCTCAGACTTGCACCGATCTGGCCACCTCCTTCTTTGCTGTCACGTGGCACGGCTGGGGAAAATCCATACGGGACGAAGGCTTCAAGACCATCAATACATTCGTGCTCGTGGATAGCCTTACGTCGGAAAGCGCAGAGACGATATCTAACTCTAATACCTTTCGGGAGGGCGTCAGAGTGCGTATTTTTACCCAAAGGGTGCTAGATAGTAGACGGCAGCTAACAGCATTCATCAGCTCGTTTCTCCAGATTACACGTTTCGCAACCTCAATGTATCTTCTCTCGATCCCAAACTGGGTCGTATACTCCTCGGAGATAAATACCAAACCCCAACCGCCTAATTATTCACGTGCATCATCTATCTACTTTCACTTTGCTATCACAAACATGGGTATTCTTGTTGGATCGTTGCATTTTCCCTCATCCTGCATGAAACCCAGTGCCTCGTACAGCGCGCTGCCAGCGCTATTATGACCGTGAACTTCCAGCGTAAGCCGTCTCTTCTCCTCAGGTAGCCCCTGTGTTGAAATTCGGACCCATTCTCGGCCCGCGTTGATCAAACGTTTCGCAAGACCTGTGAGGTGGATGGTCCGCGATGTTAATCAGGCCGTGTGTGGTTGTTGCGCACCGTTCCGTCGATAGTCAGCATGGACCCACATCCCTACTAAAACATGACGATAGCCCCCTTGCGATTCGTCCAACATCTCTGGAGCCAAGATGGATGCTGTGCCAACCCATTCTTCTCCGCCGCCTTGAACTGTTCTACGAGCAACGAAGGTTCGGCGACCCTTTACATTGAGCCTTTTCCTGAACTCTTCGAATGGCTCCTTTGATTCTCTGTCATACGTCGAGCCGAACGCCTCTGGATTGGTCTTCAACGCTAACAATCGGAGGCCGATGTATTTCGTGATGTCAGGGTCAGAGGCTGGTTGAGCGATGGAGTAGATCTCAAAGTCCCCCATAGATGGCGTAGAGTTTACGACAAGAGAGAAGTGGACAGGTTTGCCTAGCATGACTCGACTATCGTTTTGACTGAACCCATTCTTATCTTATCTCCACGATGGCATGTGGGATCACATTCAAGTTGATGCGTCCGTGTCACGCCTCCAGTCACCTTACTTTACAACTCATTGAACGCCTCCGATTACCTCGACCAATAGACGCTAGGCGTTCATTCTCGGCCATGCCCCGACAATTGCCGCCTGAACTTGTGTATCTTGTGATAGATCACGTCTCAGAGCATTCGCTAGCTCTGTGCGCCCGGGTTTGTCGGCTATGGCATTACGCCAGCGTCCGCCGCGTCTTCGGCAATATTACCCTCCGCAATAGAGACTTTGACGAGTTCACAGCACTCGCGTCGCAATCGTCTCTCTCTCTACCAGATATGATCCATGACGTGACTCTCCAATTGGACCGAGACCGAGAATTACCCCACGGACATCTCCAGCTCATTCAACAGATGCAACAAGTCTTCACCTTGACGCTACTCATGCATGAGGATTCAATGCTACGATATATGTCGACCTTGAGCTCTACATTTCCCTCCATCCGCACGTTGAGAGTCCACGCATACTACGTGCACTCGATGCGCGACATCCTCCCTTTGATCGCATCCTTCCCATCACTTGCCAATCTAGAAATTGTCCACGTTCCGCACGGTTTCTTTTCCAGACACCCCTTTCCAGGAGAACAAGCCTTTCCTCAGCTGGACTCGGTCCTCGTTACCGACGAAATGGATGGTTTTTTTGCTCAAATCGTACGATTGCGGCAGATTCCTGCATTTTCGACCGTCGTATGGCCTGGCTTTGTCGCTTGGCCGACGGCGGACTCGGGCTTTGCAAGATATCTGGAGATGATGGGACCGTCCGTTCGGTGCCTGCATCTGGTTACTGTGTTTGGCAATCGTTTCCTTGGAGGTTGGCCATTTACCATGTGCAAAGTTATATATGAGTCTGATCTTACCCCATCCAAGACACCGAGTCTTCTCTTTTGCGCCAATGCACGAGCCTGCGAAGCATTCAGATCAGCTCCTTCACAGACAGCGGTGCCGAGGTCGTGACCATCTTAAGTGAGATGATTGACAATCTTCATGGCCCGACGTTAGCTGCCATTCATTTGGATTCTCCGTACGGATTTTCAGCCTCTCGAAAAGCCCATCTGAACGGGCTGGCTATCTTGAACACGCACGCCGATATTTGGAATGCCATTGACAGACGCATCGGAGACCCCAAGCACTTCCCTGTATTCCGCTCATTGTGGATTAAAACAGGGCTCAACCCGCTGCTTGAACGGACGTTAGTCAGTTATATGCCATTATCTAGTGCTCGTGGACTGCTTGAGATCGATTGAACGACAAGCAGTCTGACGAAGTGGATCATTCCTTTGTCCACATATGTAGGACACGAGATAGTTATAGATAATGTTGTCCTTCCTCTACCTTTCGAAGGGGCGCATCGTCAAGCGTATAGTACCTACTTATTGAGCGCACTAATTGTAGCAGTCCACGTGGATCATTGATCCTTAGCTAATGTGATTCAGGCTTGAATTCACTCTATAACCTAGACTCACCGTATTGTCGACCATGGAGCAGCCTTCAACACCAGTCACTGCGGATTTTTCGTCCTCTCCTCCCAAGCGGACCAAAATTGTCCTTCTCGGCGACCAGAGCGTGGGGAAGACCAGTCTAATCACTCGGTAATCCCGCACGCAGCCCAACCTACCTGTGTATTAAGCTTGTGATGCAGGTTCATGTACGATACCTTCGACAACACATACCAAGCCACCATCGGAATCGACTTCCTGAGCAAGACAATGTACCTCGAGGACCGCACGGTCCGGCTACAGCTCTGGGATACTGCAGGGCAGGTGGGCTTCTGAAACGTGTCGTCGGCAGAGACTGGGTCTAACTTATGCTGCTGCAGGAACGCTTCAGGTCTTTAATACCCTCATATATCCGAGACTCTTCCGTCGCCATTGTCGTTTTCGATATAACAAGTGCGCACGACCTGTCGCAATCCCGAAATACCCGCTTATGATTCCAGATCGACAGTCTTTCCTCTCAACCACTAAATGGATAGAAGACGTGCGATCTGAGCGAGGGAATGATGTTATCATCGTGCTTGTAGGCAACAAGGCAGACTTGTCGGACAAACGGTGCGTCGCTATGCAATCATCGCTTGCTCGTCTGATGTCCCAGCAGACAAGTGACGCTGGAGGAGGCCACGGCCAAAGCCACACAGCTCAATATCATGTTCATGGAGACATCGGCCAAGGCTGGACACAATGTGAAGAGTCTGTTCAAAAAGATCGCCATGTCGTTGCCCGGAATGGAGAAAGAAGGGCAGGCGGAGGCTAACACCAGTACGCTCAGTCTTCCTGATTAGGCAATTTTGAATCGCCAACTCTTTACAGAGGTCGACGTTACGACACCGCCAACGGCTGAGGTGCCGGAGGCATCGCAATGCAACTGTTGATCTTACTATAGCAGGCTAGAATGTCTCCGTCCCTTTCAGGAGGGCGTCATTCTATCCGACTGTAATATTTATATGCATGCTCAGTAATATACTCACTTTAACCTCTCCTTCAGCCTCGATTCATGGTGTTGCCGGCGCCTCTTGGATTGGCATCGACGAATTGGGCCCAATTTTCGTCCTTGACTCGCTTCGCCTCTGCCCTCTCCTCACCGAAATGGGTTCCATCCAGCTCTGAATCCATCTGCAGCTGCTCAGACGAAGTAGGAGCGTTTTCGGACGCAGGCCTTAGGACGTTTCAATGCAGGAATACTATCGGAATGATCTCTGCGCACCCTCCTCCAGTGATGATGTTGCCTCGCTCCTGCTCGATTTGCAGGTACTCGTCAATAGACATGGAGGGGAGACGGTGTCCGGGCCCGAAAACCTGCGCAGCGAACCGTGCGCGGTCAGATGATCCGGCGGGAAGGAGAGTGAACGGTCGAAGGGGCTGAGTTACGATCAGAGATGAGGATCGATCTGTGAGAGGACACACACCTTGCCCTGCGGATCCAGCAGAGGTCCCTTACCGTCCGGCCCCAACCCGGAGGGAGCATCCAGCTTCCACATGTCGTCTTCCGCAGCACGCTGTTTGCCCCGCCTGTCCTCTTCCGGTCGGGGCGGTCGCATTGGAGCCGGCGGAGCGTTCTTGAGAAGCTCGGATTCCTGCTTAAGACTCAATAGTGAGGCCTGAGCTTGTCCGTAGTAAAGCCTCAGAATTAGCAGTGTCGTTTCACGCAACGCATCTTCGGTTTCCGAGTCCTCCTCGTCTTCGTCGGCTGTCGTGGTCTGGGGCAGTAATGACGATATCAAGGCGAAATCAGACTCCATTCCGGTGTCGCTGGAATGTTGCTGCCCTCGTCGTTTGCGGATGACCTGACGCGGTACGTTCAATGGGAATCTGGAGGAGGAATCGAGACTTACGTCAATCCTTCCCTTGAGCTCTTTCTCAGCCTGATACTGTTTTATTTTGAGGGCTCTGCGGCTGGTCGGATCGGCGACTTGCCCCGGATCTTGGACATGGAGCGCCCGCTCGCTCTCCGGCACAACCTCGAAGTTTTCGAGATCGGAGATAAACAAAGAATGGTATCTCTGGATGAACAATTGAGTTTCAGGCAGAAAGGTCCCGTCGAGTGTAGGCACCTGTGATTCCTTCAGAACCATGGTCCGCTCTTGTGGCTCGGACGTCCGGATACGTCCGCTAGTCTCCGCCAACACGTAGGGAACGAAAAGATATATCAAGTCACGCGTAGATATATCTTCCAGTATTTCGTTGGGGCTAAACATGGAGAGACCATGGATTCGAGTGCTGAGAGTCTTGAGATCGGTCAGGCTTGATCGAATGAGGTCCTAATCTCCATTTTCAGTTCGACCTGGTGTTCCTTGGCCTGGCTCGGATTTAACCTGAGTGGTATCATCGAATGGAGACTGTTCAATCGCTTTCGATGCATTCTGGAGCGCGCGCTGGAAAAGTGCGGGGAGTGTGATGGACATGACGATAGTAAGAGACGTGCCTGATTTGGTGAACGTGACGGAGGACGTGATGTTGACGTATATTGACGCGCCGCATCCCCTCGCCTCCCGCTGTCGTCAATATGGACCTCAAGCGTTCCGGTGACCCACTTGAGCACGGACGAAAGCGCAGGAAACTCGGCCATAATGGCAGTGATGATTGCTCTCTCCTGGCAGTGTCACTGAACGAGTACTACGCGTCGGACTTGATGGAATGGAAGGCGGGGACTACTGGTGGATACATTCAAGCTCAAATCGTCATGAAATGGCCCCCCACATCTAAGAGCTGGAGAATCAAGCTGGAGAACTTCTCTTCTGCTGCTGGTCTGCTGCAGTTTGAACTCGATTTCTCAGGACGGTGTCCTGCGTTACTTGCTACAAGCGGTGTGCAATTCAAACTCGGACAAAAGCTTCGGTTGTCACTAGACGGCGCGACAACTATCCGCAAGAAGAGCACCTCATCTTCGAAGACTATTCCCGTGCTTCTGCGTTATGAGAACGGGGTCGATTTCGAATTCGTGGGGACTGGATCAGAACGCAACATCGAAATTAGTTTATGGCATCGTGCGTCGGAAGCCATATTTACTTACTCCCGGCTCATTATCTGCAGGCCCGGAACCAGAGCTGCCCCCTTCTCCGGGTCCCTCAGCGCCGTCATCGCCACGCCCAAGTGCGCGTTCGGACGACTGGTTCATGACCCCGATCACCAATCGACGAGTCGAAACGGTGATCCAACCCCCCATCGTGATGGATGTTATTCAAGAAGATCCCTCTGTCGAAGAAACCGAGGCAGTTAGGCACAACAGCGCACCGACAAAAGTAATCGTGCCACCGAAAGTCAATGACACCACTTCCAAGCCCGATCTTGCTGTTCCTGACGGCACTCGTGTCCCTCTGGAACCTGTTCCCTCCACTTCAATGTCTTCTCTCCTTCCTCTTAGACCAATCGTGCACTCGAATGTACCCAATGCAGCCTCCGACGTCGTAGAAGGCTCTTCGACGAAACGGAAATCAAAGTCTTCGGCTATCTTAAGAACGAAACCGCCACTTAGCGATGGAGTGCCTGAAATTGTCACCCATGCCGATGACCAACCCTCATGTCTCAACAAGAAACAGCGCAAAAATTTGAAAAGAAGACAGGCAGCCAAGCTACGCAAGGCTCTGCCGCTGCCCGAAGTTGCATCGTCGGTCGTTCAAATAACTCCTGTGTCCGCACAAGGATCAGCGCCAGTCTTGCCGCCTACAAATGCCCATCACTCTGTCGCAGCTTCTGAACCACCGACAGAACCCCGCTTGCCGCCTCCATCGGTGAGCTCATTCCTACTTCAACTTCATCTGCTCACCCTGTCGTCAGGGCTTCGCGACGGTGGCTTCCATGGAGAAATGTTCGCAAGTAGGCGTTACTTATTCTGTAATCGGTGTCGTGAGCAGTCGAAAGGGGGTCGCCAAAACCAGCAAACAAGGTGTGTTCTGTCTTGAGTGCCACGAACGTTCATTGACCGCTTTAGATTGGTATCACACCTTCAATATCGTCGACCCCTCCACAATTGAAGCCGAACCTTACGGCTTGGGGATGCCCGTTACTTGTTTCCACCCGAAAGAGAATGGTGTACCGGCTGTGGACCTCGGTGACGTCGTCTTTCTCGTAGGGCTCAAGGCGAGAGAGACTTCGGTCTGTATACGCCCCGTTGCTGATCGATCATAGACAAGCCGTTTCGGTGGAACTATTAGAGCCAACGGCTATGCTGACAAACTACAATGGGCGGTGTACAATGCCTCGCAAGGTCGCATTGGGCACGGAGAACCATCTGCGTCTGATAGGCATTGCTTCCAACCAAACGATGTCGAACGCGAATACAGTATCACTCTGGGAGACTGGTGGCAGAAGATCCAAGAGAAACGCCAGGGGACTGTCAACCAGATCAGCAGTGTCATTCCTCCGCCGAAGACCCAACGGAGACACGTGTTGCTTTCGGAGACGCAGGATGTTGAGTACTTCGATTGCACGGTCGAGGCGAGTCTGAAAACTCAACTGCACGTGGAGACGCTGAGAAAAGTACAGATCCTGCAGGCATACGAGAACAGCCCCACCTATTCCATTTTTTGCACCGACTACACTGAGCTTGCAGGCGGGAAAGCCATTGAAGCCGACTGGTGCCCACCCATCATCAAGGACAAGGTTCTGCGTATAGAAGCTTGGGATGCTGCATTTGCATATGCGCAGAAAATGATAGTGGGAGAATTCTATCTGCTCAGAAACGTGCGGATGCGGAGAAACTTGGTCGACCTACTTGAAGCCAAGATAGTCGAAACAAAGATTAGTCGGCTCGATCCAGACAAAGAGCCGACAGACCACCTGGCAGCGCTGCTCCAGTGCGTGTGCGGTTTCTTTTGATGTTCTCTCGTTCATCTTTGCAGACGCAAGCAGGCTCTCGGCGTGACAGACGACGACGACGTGACGGAATTGAAGCTCATCTCAGACTGTGCCGAGCGCAGTCTGCTTCAGAGTCTGGTCGAAGTACGTGATCCACTATCAGGAAGGGACCCGATTTGACTCTGCACAGCTGCTGCATATCGATCCATTGAGCAACAGCATCTACGTTACCGACTACACCTCACATAGCAAGCTGCCGGTTTTCACCGAGTCCTGGGCTAAAAACCTTCCGCAATACATCCTCCGTGTTTATCTGCACGACGAGCAGCAAAGCATGATCACTCGGATGGTCGTGGGGCAATTCTATCTACTTTCGAGGATGCTTGTGAGAGAGAGAGGGGCGACGAGCGAGTTTGCTGGGACGATGGGCGGATCCAATCGCCTGATTCTTCTGGTCAATCCCAAATCCAGTAACTTTGAAGATAAGAAACGAGCCCTGCTCCAGTGAGTGCACGATTGTACGTGTAAATCTCGATTCTGACGCGATCCTAGACGAAAGGAAGATGTACTGAAGGGCTTTTCGAAGTTACCTAAGCTCGAAGAAGCCTTGCAGAGCAATCAGACATCGCGACCAGTGGAACAGTCTCCCATTGTGGAGCTCGTTCCTAAGAAACCGCGCCGTAATTGCCAGTCGATACGACAGATGCTCGAGAGTGAGGGTTCGGAAAATTGCTTCGTATACGCTAAAGTGGTCGACTTCTATCCGTTCCGACTCGAGGACGCGTTCATTCGTATTTGTGAAACCTGTGACGCGCGGTGAGTTTCTGGGCTGAGAAATATCCCCGCATTCTGAATGCCCACTCCAGGATCAGTGACAAACGAGTGTCTTGCCACAATTGCGAAGACAGCGTCGTCCAAGCAGTTTGCGTACTGCGATTGATGATTGATGATGGCGAGAGACACCTCAAGGTCTCTGTGTCAGGAAAGGTGCGTCTCGACAGCAATACTAAATCGATCTGTGCTTATTTCCCTTGAGGTGCCTGTACTCGACGGCTTGGGCGCTGTATTTCTCAGAGACGACCCCAAAGCATCTCGCCAGTTTGAGAGCAGGATGAAGCCACTTGTGGGGAACATTCCCCAAGTGCATGATAGAATCGTGGCCGTAGGACGGGCTGATATCGAGCTGTCGAGCCCGTGGCTGATGATGGAGATAGACCATTGGGAGAGAAGCGATGGGCGACTAGTATACGGTCTGCGTGACTATGAAAAGTAGAGCTGAAGACAGGATGCAAAGCTAACAGTAGCGTACAGTCGCGAGAGCATGAGATCCAGAAAGAGGAGACTTCATAAAAAGGCAAAATCAATACAAGCTAGCCTGGCTGGAGCCCAAGGCAAGATGGCCGAGCGGTCTAAGGCGCTAGTTTCAGGATTAGGACTCTTTGGAGCTCCATCAATACTAGTCAGAAATGGCGTGGGTTCGAATCCCACTCTTGTCAATCTTTTTCGCCTGCAACGTCAAGTTTATTCTATGGAGATTGATTCAAGAGACACTTCAAACGAGCTCGTACACTCGAGCTTCCTCATCCTACACATGGCTAGGTAGAATAACTCTCGGATTGCTTCGGGACTACAAATTCGCCTATTGACCTTTCTGGGTGAGTACTGCAGTAGACCGTTGGCATGAGAATTCTGGATGACCACCACTGGTTTTGTCCCCTGCGAGATAGACCCCGCTAGTAAGATAATGTTTCCACAATGCCATCCAGAATGCGCACTGCATCTGGGATATAGAATCGCTCATACTGCAGTGCGACTGGCGTGCTGAAGAAAAGGTCAAACCCTGGCTGGTGAGGAGGTTTGAGACAACGCACTCCCATCCGGTGATCCTGCGAACTGGGGCAGCAAGTTTCAAGAAGCAACGTTTTTGGATCTCGGCAGCAATTTCTGCACCCGCGCCGGCTGTCAGACCAGCCTCATGCACTATCACCAGTCGTCCTGTGCGAGACACGCTTTCCGCGATCGTAGCTGCATCCCAAGGAAGAATCGTCCTGAGATCTATGAGCTCTATCCGGGCCTTTCGAACAGATTCTGGCACGTGGGGAGCCAGTCCGGGTGGCGGGTCTGCCAGCATCTTGAGAGCCGTTTCGCAGTGATACACGGGTGTTCCCCACGTGAGGAGAGTCAGATCGGTTCCGGCCACGAGCGTTTCTGCTTCGCCAAGTGGCAGTGTGAAGTCGTCGGCAGGAACCTGTTCGACAGCAGATCGATAGAGGATTTTCGGTTCCATGAAGATGACTGGATTCGGGTCACGGATCGAGCCCAGCAATAGCCCTTTGGCTTGAATGGGGGATCGAGGTATAACCACCTTGAATGCGATGAGAACTTCTGCAAGTTAGGATCTTCAGGTCCTATACTGACCTTGATCCCTGCAACACCCATGAAAAACCCTTCCGGCGATTGAGAGTGGTACAATCCACCATGTCCCTTAAAGACTAAGTCTCGGTGAATGACTCACAGTTAAATAGTTTACCACAGACATGCTCGGTGTCCGAATCGTCAGACCACCCGCATTATACTGTCCGCCTGAGCGGTAGCGGATCTTCGCAGCTTCATTGACGATCTACGAAAAGGGGTCACCGCATTATCTTATCGTGATCGGCTATATCCCACCTGATCAAATGCGGGGAAGATATAATCAGCGAACTGGATTTCTGCAATAGCGGTGTGGCCCATGACTGCCATTCCTATGGCTACAGAACCGACTTTTTCAATGATTTTCGAGACATCTAGGAACGTCGCGCACCAAAACCAGCGATTCCTTGCTCCGTCAGCGGGGTGTTGAAGACTCGTTCACGACCTGGATACGTGTCGTCCATGAGCTGCTCGACTGAGACCTATGAAAAGATCCTCACCGAATTCCTCCGCAAGACCCTGATGAGTTGCGTTCGGTCTTGGAGGAATGGAGAAACGACAACGCAACACGCACCATGGTACATCGAAACACGCCGCCGAAAGCTATGTCCTCTCCGAAGACCACCGCGTTGTCATCCTTCGTTAACGCGATACTAATCAAGCATAAGAGCAATTCTTTTTGATCTGAGCATACCTGGAACCACATACCTCAACGCATCTCGCACCGCTTGATAGACATTCATCTTTCGCGTTTCGCGGCTCGCACCAGGAAACGTTTGCACAGAATCATCGTCGTTCCAAGTAAGTCCTCGGGTCTTCAGCGCGCCTTCCCTGGTGGTCCGAAGCAGCTGAGAGGTAGCCACAGAAGGTAGATGGCCTCCAGCTGGGGGAGGCTCTGCTGCACTGGAGCTGCGACGCTGTGAAACGGTTCTCTTGAGCATGGTTTGGCCCCGGGCGTAGATAGAGACTCGCCAGTAGGGTTTTCCATGGACTGTTTGGTATGCGGCGTAGAGTCAACATGCTCGCCTCGTAAGATCCGGGTTCCCGAGGCGGGGACTCGGACCGCTTCTGATCAAATCAATCTGCCCTTGAACCTCTACATGACAACTCTCCATCGCGAGTGAGGATCTTCGCGTATGGAGAACGAATCGACGTTCGTCGCACCAGAGGGCGTGTACACCGTGACGGAGGAACACAAGCCTTCCGTGCTTCCCCACTTCGGAGCCTCGCCCGCGCTGTTTCCCACTCGTGTCTCGACCATCTCGATCAAATTTCCGCCTGTGAAAAGCGGCGGAGGACCCGGCTTTGCGCAGCTACTAGGAGGAGGGAACAAAGACTCGAAGAAGGACAAGGAGAAGCAGGATAAGGATAGAGGCAAGGATGTGGTGAAGGATAAGGATGATGGAATCAGTCTCTCCAGCAGCGATTCTCCCGACGAGGATGCGTCTGGGGCACAGGAGAATATACCGCCGACGACACGAGAGCACACTCTGTTTGCGGGTCCCTCAGCAGCGGCGCCGGGGAAAAAGAAGGCCGTCGCTAGGCCTAAACACAATATGCGTACGACATCCTCGACGTTCATCACCCGTATACAGAATGCGGAAGGTCTCCCTCGGCTGTTGCAATCCAAGTCAGGCGATGTGACGTTCATGTTTTATAACGTGTCCAAGAATTTCATCTGGATTGAGGCTGCGTCCAAAACCAAAGTCAGTCCCACTCGGGCTCAGTGCTTCCCCTCTAATTCCTGATCCTTCAGGAACCACTGGCTCGCATGACGTTTGCGGCGTACCCAACTTGCCACGATATCAACTTGCTGAGCTCAACGCCTGACCGGCTGGATGTTATCATTGGGTTCCATACTGGGGATCTGGTTTGGCTAGGTGCCAGTGCATTTTTCTCTCTCCCAGCATCATTCTGAATCTGTATATCTCTAAAGACCCCACCGTGTCTCGTTACACTCGATTGAACAAACAGGGCAGCATTTCAAGCTCTCCGTGCTCTGCTGTACGATGGGTTCCGGGCTCTGCGAACCTGTTTCTCGTCGCACATGCCGACGGGACAATTATTGTCTACGACAAAGGGCGAGAAGATGGGACCTTTTCCCCGCAGGAGGTCGTTGATTGGGATCCCATCGACAGCATCTTCATAACAATACCTCCCTGGCATCCAGTCTCGGGGACAGTGCCCGGTGCTCCCAAGGGAGAGAAGGTCGCAAAAAACCCTGTCAGCCATTGGCGCGTCTCGCGGCGTGCAGTTGTTGGTGAGGGATGTGTTTGTGTGCTCAGGTCTTTTCTGCTGATTTCGTGATCTCAGATTTCGTGTTTTCTCCTGATGTCAAGTACGTCGCAGCCATATCTGAGGATGGGTGCCTCCGGGTCATCGATGCTTTGGCAGAGCAGTTAGTGTTTCTCAGTCCGATCTCCTTGTTACTAGAAATCGGGCAGGCTGGTTGACTGCTATGCATCCTATTTCGGTGCGCTGACTTGTGTTGCATGGTCACCGGATGGACGGTTCATCTTGGTTCGTATCCTCTCCTTTTTGCTTTGCTGCCATGTGACCATTGGCGCAGACCGGCGGTCAAGACGATCTGCTGACCATCTTTTCTCCTTGGGAGCAACGCGTCATCGCGCGATGTCAAGGTCACTCCTCATTTGTGTCTGCGGTGGCTTTCGACGAACTGCGCTGTGACGGTCGCACATATCGTTTCGGGAGTGTGGGCGAAGACAACAAACTCATACTCTGGGATTTCTCCAGCGGAGCACTCCACCGCCCCAAGTTCCAGCCAACCCATCAGCAGCGCATGTCGATGGCCTCGACCGTGTCACTTGCGTTGCGGCGAGATCGTTCCACGATTTTTCTTCCGACTGGCGAAGAGACCCCGTTTCCGCGATATCATCCGGCTCCATCTCGGAACGAAATCGCGGTAGTGCAGCCTTGTTTGGTGAGAGAATGCACCAGCTGTCTGCACTTCCACTCAACCAGTCTCTTAGATCAAGCCTGTTGACAGCGACATCCTTGCGACTGTGGTCTTTCTTCCACGGTCAATACTTACATCCACCCGCGCAGGACTGATCAAACTGTGGATCCGGCCACTAGCGCTAAGACCACGAGTGAAGCGGCAGCCCATCGACGTAGACGTGTTATAATGCATGTCGCTTGGATATAAGTTATTTTTAACATCTAGAGCTTGTGGATCTCTGTACACTTTTGCTTTCATTCTTCTTTTCGAACGACCACAATCCAGCGCTTGAGCAACCCGGCAGAGAACAACGCTGCCTCCCAAGCTAGCATGAAACGTTCTTCGCGCCAAGACCGTTCGCCAAAAGATGAGATATACCTGGTTCTGACTTGACGGTCCTCTTCCAGCTTTTCGTTTCGGTCCATCAGCACAGCCGAATATGTACTTGACGCGTTTGATGCGCTTTCAAGAGCAAGCGAACCGTCACCGATAGTCAAGGCTTCGAGAAGACCGTGGAAAGAGAGAAGAAGAGGCGTAGTAGTCCGGCGGCGTTGAGTGGAGCACCGCCGAGGCAAGAAAGGGATGGCGCACAGCGTGAACAAAGGGGTCATGGAAGTAATGGGAACAGCGGGTGCTGTGAATTCGAGACTAGCCGTTGAGCCCGGAGGCAATGTGTTGCGGAGCTTGCGAAGCTGTGTGGTGACTAGAGCATAGGGGATGAATTCCAAGTCCAGATGAGTGTTTGTGGTGACTGAGCAGCACATGTTGGCCCATTCTTCTTGCAACTTGTGGGCACCGCAGTGGATGCGTTTCGGCGAGCGAGTCATATTTCGGTCTGTGTGTGGTTAAACATATTCCAAAAGTGCGCATACAACCTACCCGACACCAGCCCATTTCCCTTGTCAAAGATGAGTTTCAATTATGCAATGCAGCACAAGCACACGCACCTCCTTATTTTGCAAAAAATACGTGCTCATCCTCCACCAGAGAATATCCCAGTTCCAGTTTGAGTCCACATTGACCAGGATGCGCCATCCGCACAGAACCAGCTTATCGCGCAGAAGTTCGCTCAAGTCCTCGTATCTGCGGATCTGAACTGTGCCATCGCATACTCCTTGGATAAGGCCAGACAGTGATACATAGATAGTTTTCGACTTGGCTGATGCGGAGTGTGGGATGATACACGCATAGTCTCGCGGCCATGCCACGTGCGATGGGACGATCAAGTGCGTCAAAGCATACGCAGGATCGACGCCTTGATCAGTAGTAGAGATGCGTGGGAAGAGAAAGCACAGGATGATGATCGCGAGGATTATGACAGTGGCGCAAGCAAGCGTGGTCAGGGACGCTTTTGAGTAGGGAAGATAATGATTCGGGAGATGAAGAGATTTGAGGATGTGTTCAAGTTGAGGGATGTGATCTTCAAACTGAATTATTCCGAGCCCAAATTTGAGAGGTAGTGCACTGTTCATGCTGGGGGACGATGAGGAACTGGAGTGCGGCAGCGGTCCAAGATTAGACTAAACTGGTGTTTATGAGCAAGAGAGTCACAGACCACGTGACCGTGTAGTGAGGTGACCGTCATTACCCGCCTTGAGGCCCTTGGCCCCAGTGACACTTGAAAGCCTATTTCTGATCGATGTTCCTCTTCTCGTATCAATAGAGCATGGCTCAAGTTCACCTACTCGGCGTTCCCAACTTGGCTGATGACTACGATGTCACGATAGCTCTCGCAGCCGTGCTTCACTGCGAGGATTTTCGCGCGTTTGCGCGTGCGGAGGTCGAGGCCGTGGTCAATCTCGACCTCCCATCCGAAAAGCAGAATCTGAACTTCCTGGTCGAGCTTAAGGAGAGCACAGCCGGCCCCACGAGAAACGATGGGACAGGCACATTGTCGCTGCCCAGTGAAGGTGTCCGACGCAGATTCCTGGCATGGATGCGGGATAATCCTTTCAAGATCCAGCACGGAAAAGAGAAGAAGAAGATTCGCTTTAGAGAGGGGAGATTTCTCAAAGACTTGGCGACGAGATTGGCCAAGACACAGTTCATTGACCCCGAAATTGAACGCGTACGACAAGCTAAGATTGAGGAACTCCGGGGATCTCTGCGGGTCGATGTAGTTCAGTTCGGAACTTATTACCGGGAATATTCTCTATCTGGACGTCCACCCCCATCCAATGCACCCCTCCCATCACGCAAGTTCTCGATCGAATGGGAACAAAAGTATTTTGACGAGGGGAACGAGCGAAGGCGAATTGAAGGCACGCCGAGCGGGGTTGCTTGGATGAAGTTTGAGTACGACCACAAGTTGATTAGGATAAGGGTAAGTCCACTGTGCCCCTCCGTTCAATTACATCCTGATATCCTTGATACACAGTTGGGTGACGACACAACCGAGTACATTGGCTCAAACATCAATATTACATTCGCCAGCATCTCTAAGATTGCGGTCGGTTTTGACCCACAGCCTTGTGCGCATGCGATCCCAGCGCTTTGATGTATCTGACCTGTTTGCAGATATCTGCTTCGACACCATCATCCCGCCGATGCTGGAAGAGATCAAGTTCCATCGCGCCATAACTGGTGATGACAAGATAGACAATGAGAAATCTACCAAACGCATTGGTGCATTGCAGCCTCGCCATCTCCGCGTCACGCCATATGCCCAGCAGCTGCGAATCTTGCTTTACAACGACCGCAGGTACGACGTTATCAAAGAATTCCGAGACCTTTGTCGGAAGGTCGGTCTGCCGGACACTATATGCGTCGATTTCAGCAGGGCGCCACAGCCCTTCGAAGCCTCGGGACGCCAATTCTTCTCTGAGAAGAAACTGCGCAACATCGAGACATTCTGCCGCAAGATGGAGTGGGGTGTGGCCTTCCAGATTGAGGCACTTTTGCGGAATGCGACACTCAACACCGAAGAGATCGAATTCTTGCAGCCAAAGATTACTGCTTTGTGCAAGGAGAAAGGGGTTGCATACACTGGTTCGCTGCTCCAAGAGTTCCACAGGAACATGCACATCAAGTCCCCCCGTGACAGCTTCATAACCTGTTTCGAACAGACACGCGCTAAGTTTGTGGAGAACACCATGGCCCTCCAGAACGGAGCTTTCAATTGTTGTCATGTGTGAGCTTTCGTAGACCCAGATCATCAACACTTTGCTTATGATTGCAGCACTGTGACACCGACTCGGATGATTCTCGAAGGGCCGTATCCGGTGCAGTCAAATCGTATCATCAGAAAGTACCCTGGCTACGAGGGGAACTTTCTCCGTGTTGACTTTCGTGACGAGGTAAGCTTGCTGAACGTGAACGTGGAAGATATAGATTGTTGAGTATCACGCAGGACAAACTTCAATACCGTTGGGCTCGTGAAGTTGACGGAAGACAGTTTATACAAGAGCGAGTCGGCGGGATTCTCAAGCACGGCTTGCGACTCGGAGGGAGAACCTTCGAGTTCCTGGCGTATTCCACCTCGGCTCTGCGCACTCATGCTGTTTGGTTCCTTGACCGATTCCACGACAAAAACGGCAAGTGGGTCACAGCTGATAGCATCAGAAACGACATTGGAGATTTCGTTGGCACACCTCTGCTCAAATGTCCCTCGAAATATGCAGCTCGGCTGGCGCAAGCGTTCACAGCGACCAACTCCTCGGTGTCCATCAGACGAGAACAGTGGGAGGAAGTTTCGGATCTGGTTGTACCCGGACACGAGAAGGAAGAGAAACCCAACTCCAAATACATCTACACTGATGGGGTGGGGACTATTTCCAGCAAACTTGCGGACGAGATCTGGGCAGCTTTGCGGCCTGATCCCCAAGAGAATGCGGTGCGGCCGTCTGCGGTGAGTCCCACGCGTATCGGGTGTATGGGGGAATGACGGATAGTTCAGTTTCAAATCCGATTCCTTGGATTCAAAGGCGTTGTTTCGGTGGATGAGATGCTGGACAAGAACGGCAAGGGAATAATGATGCGGTTGCGCCCCTCGATGCGCAAGTTCGAGTCTGACGTCCAGCAAGCTGCGAACGCACCCCTTGAAGTGGCGATGGCCTTCGAAAAGCCATCGACTGCATACCTGAATAGGTGCGAGGGACCGCGAATGGATCCAGAGATGTTGTGAATGATTATCCAGACCACTCGTGATGGCTCTCGAGGACAAGGGTGTCAGAAAGAGCGCGTTTACGGGACTCCAAGACGACGCGGTCAAAGAGGCTCGCACAATTCACGACTCAATCGGACAATGGCGTACTTTTATGCAAAGCCACTCCTCCGGCGGTGCTTTTCGGTTGGCCTTCCTATTACAGCAGCTGGAGGACCGAGACCTCAGCCTCGGGTCGAGTGGGAGGAGGCCAGGTATCGACAACGAGTTCTTCAAGCAGCTCCGACAAGTGGCGATGAACAACGCACTGAGAGATATCAAGCACAGTGCGCGAATTCCCATCCCGGAGAGCTATTTGCTCGTTGGTGTCGCTGATGAAGGACCGGCATACAGTATGGCTGGCATGGAGAACGTATACGAATTGCCTCCCGGGAAGATCTATGGTAGGTGCAGCTGTTACCATTACTTGGCTAGTCTGATCGAGATAGCCTGTGTCCAGGCCAGCTTGGACGAAGAGCCTGTCTGGATCAAGGGCTCCTGCACCATATCACGCAGTCCCGTTGCTCATTTGGGAGATAGTAAGTTGGTTCGCACCTGTCGATGGGTCTCCTTTGTCTAAACAGAGCGCTCTAGTTCAACGGGTCACTGCCATAGGCAAACCGCCGGAAGGAATGATATGCGCGTTTTCTGGCCTCAAGAATGTCGTCGTTATGTCATCGAGAGAGAGTGGGTGCTCTTGCATCATTGCGTCGCTGTTTTCCTCACATACGTAAGGGCTGCGATCGCTTCCCTCCTGCCTGGGTGGTGGTGACTTGGATGTGAGCTTGATTATGATTGCAGTCATGTCATCCCTTGCTCACATCTTTAGGGGTGAATATCATTCGAGCCAAACGAAAGGAAGGTAGACGACTGATGACCTTTCTCAGCGATCTGTTTTCTGTGATCTCGTACTCTCAACTGTTACCGACCAGCACAGATGACGCTGCATCTTATGCAGATGGATCGACCCTGACCCTCGATCGCGACAGCACAGTGGATGATATCTGCGACTTCGTTGTCGAATACATCAACTCGGACGTCTTGGTCAGTCAGTCTCCGATCGTACAACTTGAAACTCGAATAGTATCATAGGGTTTACTCTCGGACCGACTTCTCATCTTGGCCGGTAAGCAAGGCTCTCCAGACTATGTTCCAACACTGACGAGCCCTCTATTGTAGACCAATCGAAGGTATGGACTGAACGGTCGGACCGCGCCCAGACACTGGAAATAACACGACCATAGGACGGAATGTTCGACGAAGACTGCCAGAGGCTCGCCGAACTGTGTTCTCAAGCCGTGGACTATCCTAAACAAGGGATCCCCGTCAATCTTGACGAGAATCCGCTCCCTCATTTGCTGATGCGCTGCAAACCAGACTGGTTTGTGCACTGATATAAACTCTGAGAATTGGCTGATAATTGACGTGAGGCATGCCGCCGAGATAGTCTCTCCGCGCGAAAACGACTACTATCGGTCGGAGAAAGCTCTCGGAGAGCTGTACCGGGCCATTACGCTGAATGATCCAGATCCTCTGAACTCTGACAAGAGCCAGAGCAGCTCTAATGGAGTCAACCAATTCGCGGTCGATCCCATCACCTACGTTCTGGAACCGGAGGTGCAGCAGGCGTTGGGTCCTGATTACGCAGTTCCAGATGGCGGTTGTGCGGAAACTGCACTGATGTTCAAAAAATATGAGGACGAGCTGGAGTACATCTCGACGACACACACGGTGAGCATCAAGCCTGGTGTGAGGCTGCTCGAATCAGAGATCGTCGTCGGCACCATTCTTGCCAAGTGCACGCAAAAGCGCTGGCGGAGTGACTGCATCTACCGGATGCAGTTCCATGCGAATGTGCTCGTGCAGGACCTGAAGAGACAGCTGATGAAGAAGAACGGGGCTGCCTTCGTTGCTTTCACGAAGGAAGATCGGTTGCTGGGGCTCAAGCGGGCTTGGGTCGCTTGGGATTACAGCCGGAGACATCATGATAAATTTGCAGCCAAGAGCTTTGGTCTTGTTGCACTCGCTATCATCTTCGAGTGCTTGGAAGGCCTGGCACAAGAATAGCCCTGTATTTTAGGATTTTAGTACTGTTGAATGAAATGGAAACGTGACTGGCAAAAAAACGTGACCGTCTCAGTTCATCTGACACACGTGATCGCGAATACTGCAGGCTGACACCGTATTTCGCACGCCCTCCATACGAAACGCTTTGACCTCCGGTGATGATCTGACAGTGCAGGAGCCTCGTGGAATGGCCCACGGCAGCGCCGAATCATATCTCAAACTCAAAGGCCCTCTACGCTCGATCCTGACGTCATTTTGAGGCGTTTAGTCTCCTAAGTAGGGAAGCCACGTCACATGTGGACTGGTCACTGCCCGAATCGTCAGCATGGAGAGCTGCTTATCCATGCTAGCTCGCGGAGACCCAGCAAGAGATATTTCCTGATGCAATATATCGGAAGCGTCCATCGCAATCCCGCTGGTTGCACATCCTGAGAGCCCTGCTGTCCGGCTCTGCATCTGGCTTGGACCGGGACCCCATACAATTATCTGGTCATACCCTCGTCGTCTCGCAAGGGTCAAGTGCTTGATTTTATATGCAGAGTGGACATAGAGCTAAAAGGTGGGGGGGGACATCTGGGCCTCTCGAGCGCGGCTGTTCTCTCGCCTCGCGCCTTTGCTCGCTGTCCTTCAACGCCGCGCCTCGCAGATCATGAAATTCGTTTCAAGAAATTGGTGTTCATGTGGCCTGACCCGAATGCATGCATAGAGTGACGGGGCACCGCAAGCCATGCGATAAGCGGGTCTTATCGAAGACCTTGCTTCTGTTTTGGGAGAACAATGGCCTGAGGGTCGTGATGGCCCGACTCGCATTACGGTCCCAAGCGAGTCACGAGATGGGATTTAACGCGCTCGCATTGTTGCTGTGGCTCTCCTCACGTAGTTTGGCTTGAACCGCCATCCACTCCCCCCTTGGTTGCCAGCAAACGGTGAGCACTTTCAATCGTTTCGCGTTGCTCTGGGATCTGAATCTCAGCAGCTTACGACGATGGATGCCCTCCGCCGAATTCCGGCACCTCTCACTGCACAGGAAACAATGCCCATGCTCGAATGGGTGCTGCCAGCCGCTCGACCTCTGCGGACCGAGGAGATCGAGGCGCAGGGTCTCCGCGTGAGGAAGGCAGCCGCAGTGCGATCGAGGCAGCTGTATTGGCGCGTCCACTACTCGGGGCAGAGGATACATTTCACGGTCAATTCGCCTGAGCAGCGGGAGGCGCTGCAGCTCGGCAAACGCCTGCGAGTGAAGCTGATGTTGGCCGCACTGGCTGCGCCGGGGCCTGCGATGGAGCGCCCAGATGAGGAGTGGATCGCACGGGCCAAGGCGCGGGAGGCGACGCTCAAGCGGGCCCCCGTGCCTACCCCTGCCCCAGCCAAGGCCCAAGCACAGAAGGCCATTCCCAAGGTCTTGCCGCGTCGCAGCAAGATCCCATGTGGAACACCTCCCACTCGTATCCAGCAAGAGGGCCGAATTTGTCCTGTCTCCACTGATGCATCCCTGGGGGACGCTAAAGGTGACGGTTCTTACTGTCCACAACTAGCTGCTGTCACCTACCGTTCGTTTACACAGGCTTGTTGATCAGTGCTAGAGATAGCTTCATCAACGCCGGGGATACTGAACTAGGTCATCCGAGGAGAGAGCATGTCATGCAAGATGCCACGGACCAGCTCTGGCCGCCCAGTGTTTACGCCATCACTGTCGACTTCATCCAGCCGGTAGTCACTCGCCACCCAGACAAGTTTACGAGCGTGTGAGTAGCTGGGCTTCTGGCTGTTGATATCGACTGATCCATTCCCCAGCACCAAGATTCGTAAACGCTCGCCGCTCGTCCCTGAAGAGATTCCTGATGAATCTGTCCCTCGCACGGAGCCCGTGACCCCTGAGATAGTCGCTACGGAGCCTGCGACACCGCTCATGGTACCTACCGAGCCCGCCAGTCCCGAGCTCCTTGCGAGCGCGCTCCGCCCCCCGCCGGCTATCCGGACCACCGAAATCACTGTCGCCAACGTCCAGCGCGCGCTCGCTCGTAAGGGTCTCATGCGCGCGTCCGCCGTGGTATTGCCCCAGGCCCCGGTAGCTCCCAAGACCCTGAAGCGCTCCGTTGTGTCGTACGTGGTGTCTTCTTCCATCGTTTACCTAGTGTGTTGATTGGTCACCTTAGCGCCGAGCTGCTTTCGTCGGACGTGGACGAGGAACGGCCGCGGAAGAGACGCCAGCCGTTGGCTCGTGTGCAAACCTGTCGTGATATGGATGTCGAACTGTTGGTGCTTGGCGATTGATTCCATGTCGTCCTTATTTCATGATCTCTACTTGTATATGTAGTCTCGCGCATCTTCATAACATCGAACATGTCTATATACATACTTGGAATACACGCTATGAAACTGAACCTTTATTTTGTCGCAGGGCAACGGGTCCTACGAATTGTAGGAAGACTGGCATGACATTTCCGCGCGCGCTTGCACGGCGAAAACGGAAATTCGGTGTCCCACTCATCCGCTTTCCGCACTCTTTTCAGAGACATCGATTCGGCGGAGACAGCCTCCGTTTCCTGGGTAGGATCCTCCAGACCATATCCCGCTGGATCATCATCCATCGACCAAGTTTCGGTTTCAGGGAGAGTGTCCAGGGCCTTGCGGAGCACGGCAAGGACAGCTGCGTGTGTGAGCAGGCACTCCACTTGTTGTCCCGGCTCTCGCAACGTTCTGACGAGCTCTTTCCACTCTGTGGCGAGGGGCTTCAGCGGCGCAAAGTACGGCGCAAAGTTATCCAGTGCCCTCGTCCGCCACAGCCCCTTCTTTGTGATTACAGCGTTCCGGCATCGGGCGATGTCCTCCCACTCGCCGTCTGCCCAATTCCCGAGCGCAGGGATTTCCGAGAGGTCGAAGTTCTGGCGGAAGATGCTGCAGGGACCCGCGTAATGCCAACAAATCCAGAGGAACACGAGGAAGAAAGATTCAAGATCGTGTCGGGGCTCGTGGACGAAGCAGTCTTCATCGCCCCACATCAACACTGAACGTGACATGAATTCCTGGGTGCCCTGGATGCGTTGATCAGTAAGGGTAAGAGGCGTATGGATGCTGAGCTCCACCCACCGTGCGATGCTTGACTGGCCGTTTAACGCCTTCATCCATCATCCTCGCATTGTCCATGTCGATGAGAAACCCGCAACCGAGCGCCGCTGGGTTTCCTGATGGAGACCTAACGATGACGATGTTGCCAATGCTGGCATCGCAATGGAGAATTCGACGCTCCACCAGGTCCGAGTGTGCTAAGTGACTGCCGTCAGTCTCGGGAATTTATCGAATACACTTGGAAACCAACCTTGAACGGTGTCGATGAAGACCGAGATGAGCTCTCTGAGAATGGAGAATTCCTCGAGCTTGACACCCAACGGAGTCATGACCACGCGATGGTGGATCCTCGTCTCCATCTTGTCGATTAAGACCGCGAATCGCTTCCCCGAATCGCCTTTGAGATGTTCCAAGATGTGATCGCGGAGACGGGCAGTTGACTGAGCGATCCCCTTCATTGCAACGTCGCACTCTGCAACGACTTCAACAATCCCTGGGATTCCGCTTGCTTTCCGCAAGAGATTCGTTTCGGCATGGGTGAGGGAGTCCAAGGGCCAGGTATCCTTGATCACGAAATCCCTCCCGTCGGATTCACGCTTGGCATGCCAGCAGACAGTGCCCCGCCCGCAAACCGTCTGGTCGAGAAACAATGGCTTTACTAGCTCGTAGCGTGCCCCATCAGCGCTGACGAAGCGTCTCCCGTCGGCTTCAGACGTAATGGACGTATCGAAGCCGAGCACGCCGCGGTCGTTGGTGAACATGAGCGCAGCTAGTACGCGCACGAATGATTCGGGATGCGTGTTTATGTCAAAGGCCTCGGCGACCACCACCCCCACACGGTCCAACACGCAGACTCGGACGGAGCACGCGTCGAAGATGAGGGAGATGACAAATTGCCGGCCGTCCTGGGTTGAGAATATGTGGGATGCCCCATCTATCGCTTCGTCGAGGCCTCCCCGCGCAGCATTGACTCCGGAAAGCACTCCACAGACTATCAAGTCTTTCTCTTTGTGGTTGTGTCGGTCTGGATCAGTGGACACGAGGTCAACCCACTGGCCGATGGGCGCAAGCCCTTCATCCTCTTCGAGTCCCTCGGCCGCTTGAGAGTTGCTGGCCGTTCGAGCTACCCATCCCATCCGCAAACTCGGGGTACTGATTCCATTGTTCTCGAACGTCCCCAGAATCGCGTCCCCCAGATGGTTGAGGAACTGCGCGAGAGCCGTGTCCTTGGGTTCGGTCAGGATCGGACAAGCGACCCATTGTTGATCGCTGAATTCGGGTTCTGGGCCGGAAGTGAGTCCACGGAGAATTTCCGAGGCAGGAAGGGGAAGGCAGGAGTCGGGGAAGAGGTAGAGGAGGATGTTGGGTACGTCCCATAGCTCCGACTCGATGTCCGGTTCCTGCGACTTCCTTTGCGAGAAAGAGGATTTATGTGACATCAGGAGGCTAATACAACTTCTTATGTGCCGCACACTAGGATTATCGTCGACCTTACGCGCGCAGAGACGATTCGGAGCACGCAGGGGTAGATGATGAGCGCGTTGATGAGAGACACGTGCTCGCTTCTCATCACTGATAGGGATCATCTGTTCGAGTCCCACCCCCGCCACCAGCTGGCAGCCGCCACCCCCGAACTTCGAGTCTCTCGCTTTTCCCAGCTAATACTTGAAACTTGCATAAGAAGCTTGAGATAGCGTACCCCGAGTTTCTCGCCTACTCTTTCCACGCCAAGGGAGACTTCACTTGTCGTCGCGCGCCCAGTGCTAAACTTGGAGGGATTGCTTTCGGCACTGCTTCCGCGGGAGATGGGGGACTCGCCAAGCTCACTTTTCCCGATCTTCGAGACCCTCAACGGTGTCTTACCTGATCCGCTCCTACTCATTGCTGGGCGATCGCGCAGTGATCGCCGTGTGCTGAGACTCGACCAAAATCCCCCTTCTTCCGCTCATCCGTCCCGAGACAAAATGAATCCTGAAACTATAAGAAGGCTGGGAACTCCAGCCTCTGAACCATTGCACCTTGCAACCTTTTTCACTGCTCTCTCAGCTTTCTGCTTTGAACTTCGTCGCATTCACAACCTTATTCTCACTTGAACAATGTTTTTCACAACCCCCTTCGCATCTGCTCTCGTGATGATGCTCACTGGAGTCAACGGTCTGCCCAAGTACGTCTTTGGTGCTGAAGGGGTCCCCGACTGCTACTGATGTATCGCTCCACAGACCCTTCAATAGCGACCTTGCGGCCCGCGGCGCTTGCAACTCTGGCCTGTATCAGTACAACAGCACGACTTGCATGCCTTGCCCAGCAGGAAACACTTGCGACGGCACAAATGACCCTCAGCCTTGCGACTACGGCACGTTCCAGCCCAGTTCGTGAATACCTTTTGTGTCTTGTGTTGCGGCTTACATGTCTTTGTAGGCACCGGCCAAACAAGCTGCCAGACGACGACGCCAGGCAACTACCAGCCGAATCGAGGCTCGTCTTCACAAATTCCTTGCCCCGCAGGAAGCTATCAGCCCTACGCCCAACAATCTTTCTGCTACGGCGCACCGAAGGGACGATTCCAGAGCCAGTAAGTTTTACATGCATTTCTTTGCTCTCCAGTTGTTGACTGTTTGGCTGCCAGACCCGGGAAAGCATTCGTATGTGGAAGCTGCTGTGGATGGGCGGCACCGATGCCGAACAACAACGTCAACGCGGTCCAATGCACGGCCCCGACGCCCAACTCTTGGCCCTCTTCTGGTGATGGATGTATCAGCAGCCAGACTTCCTGCACTCGGGCAGCCACTTGTTCCCAAGCTGCAGACGGTTCTTGCCGTGAGTCCTCGCAACTTTCGTGATTCGACCAGCACTGATATCTCTCGTCCAGCTATTGGATCGGAAACTATCCGGGGTTAATTGCTGTCGTGCCTCTGCTCTATATTATATCATATTTTAATGCGTTAATGCCTCTCATGACCTTATGACCATATATCCATTGTTTCAAACCACTTCTTTGTTTGGCTGCCTCGTGAAGGGAGGCACCAAGGTCTTTGTCTCGCCCATGACCTCAAGTAGGCGATGTATGCGCGTGATTAAACAAATTCCCTTTCCTACTCATCCCTGTGCTGTGCACTCAACTTCACCCGCCACTCTCCTTTTGTATCAATTCGGTTGATTTAGCTCCTCTGTCTTACTGCGCGACCTCTCCTCTCGATCGATGCTCCTTAGTAGCCTACGCTCTCCTCAAGAACTTGGAGATCTCATGAATATCAGAGAGACCAATAACACCACTCCGGTGGGCCAGATTTCCGGATCCCTTTCACGCCTAGGATTTCTCAACCGTGTGGCTTCACAGACACCCTCGACAGACTCGCTGCGCGAGCAAGAATCCACAAGCCCAGTCACCAATGCATCGCCTCTCGATCTCCCCGAAGTCCTTTTAAATTTCTCGCTGTGTTTAGACGATGTCGTGTCCGACGAGAAGACTGCAACCGAGATGATTGCCGCATCTACCCGCCCCGCTAACAAGTCGACAACATCGCCCTTGGAGGACATTTCATCCAGGCTGCAGTCCAGAGTGAGCTATCATATTCGCACATCTCTTCAGTCTCCTCACGGCCCTCACAGCCCGCACGGAAACCTTCTTCCCCCCAACTCAAACCTGAGAAATCCACCCGCGCCCAACTCCGCGTGACTCCTCGCGAGAAAGAGAACATCCCACCTGTTCGCCAGAGGCATGAGATTCAGAACCTCTAATTACACGCAGCGATATATCCAATAATCTACTGTAGCTTTAGAACTCCAGTAAAGACTTTATCACGGCACGCGACGAGCGGTCAGGTGACCGCGCTTCGTCCCGACAATCGCATTTCCCTTTTTTGTCCCGTCCCAACCCATCTTCGAATATGATGTGGGAAGACGTCTCACCACAGCACCCTGTGGAAACGCAGCCGACAATAGGCCTGATCGGGATGGGTGCTATGGGCCGTATGTACGCTAAAGCTCTGTCGAAGGCGGGGTGGAAAAAGTACGTCACTCCGAATCCCTCGGAAAGATTGTCGCCTCAGTGGCCGTGAAGGATCCACGTCTGTGATCTTCCTGCAAAATACGATGGCCTGACTCTCGAATACGCCGGTATGTCATCATGACATCGGCTTCTCCTGCCTTTCTCAACAGTGCGGGCAGATGTGCCGGGTGTGACTGTTCTCAGAGATGGGCACGCCGTGTCCCGATCCTCTGATTTCGTCCTGTACTCAGTCGAAGCGGAGTTCATAGACGCTGTCGTCGCTCAATACGGACCCTGTGCGCAGCCCTGCAGTGTGTCGGGATGCAGGGGTTGACCACACGTTCTCAGCTACGAAAGTGGGCGCTGTTGTTGCGGGACAAACGTCTGTCAAGGCTCCGGAAAAGGCCGCCTTCGAGAAATATCTTCCTCAGGATGTCCATATTGTATCGTGCCACTCTCTGCATGGGCCTACCGTATCGCCAATCGATCAGCCTTTGGTGCGTAATCGGCTCCGTGTCCTGCCCACTGCCCTCATGGAGTTGAGTCAGGTCATCATCTCGCACAGGGGACCCCAGGATTCAGTCCATCTCGTCGAAAATATCCTCCGCTCCTTCGGATCCCGATACGTCTACCTTTCTTACGAGGAGCACGATCGGGTCACAGCGAACACTCAAGCTGTCACGCATGCAGCTTTCCTCAGGTGAGTGCACGGCGGGAGAATCGGTCCGTCGCTGACTCGATGTAGCATGGGAACCGCATGGGCCTCCAGAAAAACTTATCCTTGGGAGGAGGGCCGCTACGTCGGCGGTATTGAGACAGCCAAAGTCAACCTCACACTTCGGATCTACTCCAATGCATGGCATGTCTATGCGGGGCTCGCCATCCTGAACCCCAGCGCTCGAATCCAGATCGATCAATATGCCGAAAGCGCCTCAGATTTGTTCAAATTAATGCTCCAAGGTGGCGCGCCTGGCGGCGAAGAAAAGCTTCGCGAGCGTGTCATGTGGGCGAAGAACAAAGTGTTCGGGGATGACATGACGCGGCAGCCGATTCTGCTCTCAGAAGCGGTACTGGACAGATTCAGCCTCGGAACGTCGCGACCCAGCTCGGAGGAGGGTCACGAGATCGGCAACTCCCACCTTGCTCTGCTGGCTATGGTCGATTGCTGGGCGCATCTTGATATCAAGCCGTTTGAGCATCTGGCATTGGCTGCAACTCCGATATTTCGGTTGTTCCTTGGTGTCGCAGAGCATCTGTCCAGGACGCCCGCACTGCTAGATTCCGCCATCCACTCGGCGCTCCACGACAGTTGGCATCGCAGCGATGATCTTGAGTTTGTCATCGCAGCTCGCGGCTGGAGTCAGTGCGTAAGCTTTGGGAGCTTCGAGCTCTATCGGCGGAGATTCGATGAGACGAGGGTGTTCTTCGAGTCGAGATTCGAAGAGGCAGGGAAGTTGGGCTCGGAAATGATCAAGGCAATAATGGAGACAGAGAGAGAACGCGAGGCTAAACAGTCACATAAGTAACTTGTTGGCCCATCCCTGTAGTGGTAGTGCACTCCACTTGGCGCCAGATTTCGCTTTCGAAACTGGGTGTGGCCCGGCAGTCCGGCCCGATTCGTCCGGCAAGCGAAGACGAGCAGTCTGTCTGTCCTGTCTGTCACGGTCACCGACCAGCCACCCTTGGATCCCACTCTCACAGAGACGCAATGTCTCTGCTGACGCCCATAATCGCCATATTCAATGCGGCATTGCAGCCCGTCGCGCCGTTTACCTGGTTCAATATCTCCATCAGCACCTTGGATGTAGCGGCGGCCTTCCGTCTCTGTCTCATCCTCCGACAACTTAAGGAATCGTTGCACAAGGACCACATATCGAAACATGGTCTCAAGTCTATTGAATCCAGATCATTCGCTCGAGATGTATCTACAACTCTTACTGTCGTCTACGGTGGCGAGGTGATGACAGGTCCGTGCGCTACAAGTCTCCTCCTTGTCCCCTGTGTTTACATCAGTTCCAGCTCCCTTCCTCGGTGTACCGCCATCCTTTATGATCTCTGGTGTAGTCCCTGTCTTCTACACGGTCGTGCAAGCCATCGTCGAAATGCTTCCCTCTGTGCCCCCGATGACAATCCACACCGAACTTCCGCTGGCGGTCTTGGACGGATTTACCCGTGCCTTTCTGCTGTGTAACCTGATACCCCCGCCTGTGACGGCCAACTCGTCTCCGCTACTCGCTTCTTCCCCTTGGACGCTGCTAGTGACATCTCTGGTACAGTACGCCTGTTTGGCAAGATGCCGGTCTCTTGAATGAAAGCCCATATGTGCCATTTACAGGTTGCTGCGAACGGGGGCTTCTTCCTGACGAATCTGTTCTCCTTCCTGAACCCGACACCACTTGCCCTGCAGACACCCCCGGAGCTGCAGGCGCACGGATGGACCACCACCGACTTGTGGTGTGCGCCGCTGATCACGGGGATCTACGCTCTCCTCACGCACGCCCAACCGTTCTGGGTTGATGTGCACACCGTGCTGTCCAGCATGCTCGGGGGGAGCGTAGCCGTGAGTGAGAAGGGGGGCAGCTTCGTCGAGCCAGTGGACCCGGATACCGCCCGGGCGGCTTGCGCTGCGATCCTGGCGACCTTCTTCGTTGTTCGTTCGGTGAAGAACTTTGCGCCCCAGCTCTGGCAGAAGAAAGGTTCGTGGTCTTTCTGCCTGTTGAGTTGCGACTGTCGATCTAACCTTTCTCAAGCTGAGAAGCTCAAGACGCAATGAGCAGTCGAGAGATAGATGTACATAGAATGTACTTGCACGATCATAACGAGCCTTCTGCACGTCTGCGAGTCCTACCGATGCGCGTTCGATCGGAGCGGCGTGATAATCGCGTGATGGCGCGTGACTCGCTCCACTCATCACACACGTTCGTCTCGCATATGCACTTTGAGCCTCAGGCGCACCACGCCCTATGATGCTGGCCCTGGAATAACTAGCACTCACGCGCAACTCCGCATACTCATGCACAAGACAACTGTGCAACTTGCGCTCTTCTGTGTACTTGTTGTCTGGTTGGGCCTCACTTGGTGTCCGACGAGTCGATTCGACGAAGCATTCGGGTGGCAGGAGAGCGAGCGTGATATCCAGAAACTGTGGGGCGCATATACGCCATATTATCCGGTGCAGGAGTACAAAGCGCCTCCAGCCGGATGTGCTATAACCCAAGTGCGTGCTGACCGATTGTATCCATCTGGTATCCTGACAGATAGACGATCACAGGTGAACATTGTAAGCACCCAGTAGTACCCTAGCTCCGGGGGGCAATCACATAGGGTGGTGACTGAAGCGATGATGCAGCTGCAGCGGCATGGTGCACGGTTCCCGACCGGCGGAGCGGCCGCGAACATCATCTCTGCTGTGCAGAAGCTGCAGCGCGTGCACGCGCGGTACACGCATCCCGCGATGGCGTTTCTGCGCTCGTTCGAGTATGATCTGGGCGTGGCGGATCTCGTGCCCTTCGGTGCGCTGCAGTGCGTTCTTACCTTGGTCGTTGGGTCCGGGGGGGCTGATGTCGGCTCGTTAGGTCGCTGGAGTCCGGGAAAGAGATCTTCGAACGGTATGGTGAGCTGGTAGATGAGGATCATATTCCCTTTGTTCGAGCGTCGAGCGGACAGCGGGTGGTTGATAGTGCCAACAATTGGACAACAGGTTCGTTGCAATCTCGACAACTTACCGGTCTGATTATCGATTTGTCAGGTTTCGCGGTCGCGTCGCGACATGTGTATCGGCCTATATTGAATGTGATCCTCTCTGAAGAGGTGTGTATTCATCTAATGAGTGATGCTGTCTCTAAATTAATCGTTTGCAGGGCAACGACACGTTGGAGAACCACATGTGCCCCAATGCTGAGAAGCCGGAGGAGCTGACGCAAGAGTGGCTTTCGCTCTACGCGCCAGCGATCACCTCCCGTCTGAACATGTGGGCCCCGGGAGCGGGGCTGACGCATCCCGAGACCGCGGCGCTGATCTCGATGTGCGCGTTCCACACTGCGGCGCTGGCAACGGGCTCCAACTTCGACACGCTGAGCCCGTTCTGTGATCTGTTCACCTCGGAGGAGTTTGCCGCGTTCGACTACTCTGCGGATCTGGAGAAGTACTACTACACGGGTCACGGGGCCCGGCTCGGGCGTGTGCAGGGCGTCGGGTATGTGAACGAGCTGCTGGCGCGGTTGACGCGTTCAGCTGTGCGCGACCACACGCAAACGAACCGGACGCTGGATAGCGATCCAGCGACTTTTCCGTTGGACAGGACTATCTACGCCGACTTCTCACATGACAACACGATGATCGCCATCGTCGCTGCACTCGGCCTGTTTCGGCAGCGCCAGCCGCTCAGCGCGAGACATGTCGATCCGTCAAGGACGTGGCGGATTCACGAGATGGTGCCGTTTGCAGGCCGGATTGTCGTTGAGAAGTTGGGATGCGGAGATGGAGAGTTCGTGCGGGTGCTGGTCAACGACGCATTGCAGCCGGTGGACTTTTGCGCGTCTGAGATATGTCGACTCGAAGAATTCGTGGAAAGCCAGTCCTATGCTCGCAGTGACGGAGAGGGCGACTGGGAATTGTGCTACTCATAAGGAGACGTGTAGAAGTAGAAGGGTGTCATGTTTTCGCTAGTGACAGCAATACATAGATAAGATAAGATAGAATGCATGCGATTAGCTGTTGTTGATGCCAACGAGGACGTTGTTGATGTTGGGAGGAGCGACAGTGAAGAAAGAGTTGACGCCGGTGGCGTTGGCCACACCGGACAGACCACAGGTGCCGATGAAATCACCGGCAACGGCAGCCCGGTCCTTGTTGATGTACTTGGTGAACTGGTCGAGCGGGCAAGAGCGTCCGGGGCCCGACTGGCATGCGGGGATCTCGACGGGGGCACGGTTGACCTGGGGGTGTTTTAGAGAGCATATCAAGGTCTACCATTGGCAACTCACCCGGACGCGAACGTATTGCTTGGTCTGCGGGGTCAGGGTCTGGTTGGCCACGTGGTGGACGGTCTTCCCGGGGGCGTGCGCGGTGCAAGAAAGACGCTCGAGAGCAACGTAGCCTCGGAAAGACACGATGTGAGAGGCGCGGAACTGGCGGCGGTCGCTGGGCTTGGTAAACGACAGCGGGTACACCCCCTCGTGATCCGAGTTGTTCCACAGGCCGAGTGCAGACATGATCGGCGGCAGGTTGTTGTCGTGCTACAGCGAAAGTGTGTTTCAGTCGCGCTGTCAGCGGACAGAGCTGGGCACGCACGGTGAAGCTCATGATGAGGGGAGGGGGAGTGATGTTTCCGCCCGGAGTCGTCTTTCCAGGACCGAGAGCAAAGAGATCAGACATGGCCTTGACCCACGGGTAGCCGACAGTCGCAGAGTAAGGGTTTCCAGGGCCAGCACTGGAATCGATCAGTCTCTGAGAACGACAAAACATGCGGAAAACCCACCCATAGTAGTAGTTGAGGTCATGCGCATACTCGTACTTCAGCCACTCGGAGTCTGCGCAAATGTCATGTAAGCCGCAGAAGCAGCAGATTGTAGTGGCTGCAGCGCACCAGTGTAGGTGTTACAGAAGCTGCTGTCGCCATCGACCTCGGTGAGGAAACCGCAGAGATCGCCGAAGCCGCCGATGTCGTTGACGTCGAGGGTCAGACCCTGGATGTACTTGTTGAGACGGGCGATGGTGGCGTTTTGCCAGGTGGCGCGCCACGCGGTGGTCGCCGGGCCAGACCTGTCACCTGACGCGTAGCGCGGGCAGCCGGCTGACGAGGTAAGCGAGTCGGCGAAGGTGTAGTTGACAGAGTCGGGGAGGACGATGATGTTCGCACGGTTGGCAGAGGTGTTGGTGATGTAGTTGCCCTGGGAGAGGTAGCCCCGGGCAAAGTACGTCGCAGTGTCCAGCACACGCTGTTGGCCGGCGGACCTGTGACCCCAGCCAGCGTCAGATGACCTGCAGCGCATCCGGAAATAACATAACGCACCAGAGCGTGAAGTTGCTGCCACCCGGTGTCATCTTGTACAGCTTACGCAGTTGCACACCGAGCGAGAACGCCTCCAGTGCACCGGTGGAGGACAGGTATAACGGCTCATGGGGAGTATCGTCGATCGGATTGGTCCACGACGCCAAAAACGCGAGAGGACCGGAGACGGTGTACGTGCCGTTCTTCAGCTTGGCAGCGAGCGTCTTCCAGTAGTTGGCAGAGCCGGGCTCGGGGTACCGTGCGCCGTGACGGACGATGTAGGCGGCCTGGTCGACGACACAGTTGTCCGGGGTATCGTAGCTGACATCGTCTTCGATCGGCGCGTCAAAGTAAGGAGAGGCCGGTCCGGAGTGTTGGAGCGGGTTGAATTCTGCAAGGACAGTCTGGAGCGAGACAGCAGCGAGGACCAAAGGAAGGAGTTGCATGGTGGGCGACTGAGGCACGGAAATTTCGAAGCCCAGCAGTGCATGCTTAAGTACGACATTTCCCACCAGACAGAGAACGTGTGTGGAAGTTCGGCCACAATAACGGACAGGCTTCCAAGGTCCCAGGTCTGGGATTGCGCTCAGGAACACCTAGCCGAGCACAACCCAAATCTCTTCTCCTAGGCCGCCGCTGTCCGAAATGACATTTTAGAGGTGCTGGGACATGTCATCCCATATGAGTCGCACAAGTGTAAGCCGTACTCCCAGGCGCGTTATTGCGGTGCTTGCAGCAGCACTCACGGCCTACGAGTCAGGTACACGACGGTGGTCGCACGACTGAGCGATCTTCACGTCACAGCGAGCCACGCGACTTGACGAACGTGCTTGTGTCGAATGACGTCTGTGTCTGTCGCGCGCGCTCGCTGATCTATCGCTGATCCTCGACTTCGAAATTCCACGGTCGCGCACGGACGCAAACGTGGCTGGCGGGAGCACGAGCTGGGCAAGCAAGCGTATGTAAGCACGGCTATCGCACGAACGCGCTCCCCAAGCCTCTCCGACTGACAGCACTTCCTTTCTTCGTGGAATCGTCAATCGCGGGTGCCTGGCGCGTGCGGCGTGCCTCGGCCGGGTGCCGCCAGTCAGTGGGGCGTTATATTCTCGAAAGAGAGGAGCGGAGGCGCTTTCGTGATGCGGTCGAGCTGGACCATACTGACGAGGAAAGTTTTGTATGGTGCGATTCCAGATTGCAGGTCCCTTATAAGATCTGCATACCACTGCAAAGCATAGATCGACTGTCAGTCTCCCAGTCCAGACCGGGGATAAGCTCGCCAGTCGTATGCGCTGTTCAGCATCGTCAGGATTGTTGGCCAATGGCGTGGCGGGATCACAAACCTCAGGCAAGCGCGATTGCTCGTAAGTTCGTAACCATCAGATGTTGTCCATCATCGATCATCCCTTACAACCTCACTTTCATCTTCAGACCACTACATCGTCTTCTCCTGTCTTCTCGTGTTATTTCTCGCTGCTCCTCTGCGCAATACATCTTTGATGAACACGCACATCCGGCTATCTGAGTCCGTTTTCATTGTCCGCGGGAGTAAATGTGCGACTTGTCGGGGCAGAGCTGACTCGGCACGGTGTGGCTGATGAAGCATGTCCCCAACATCTCTGCGTGCGATATTGATTCACCCTTGAGTTCCGGAGCAAGTCTACTATCTACACAAATGTTTGGCATCAGAGCGGTAACCGACTCCCTTCGCTCCTTTCGCGCGTTTGATGATCGTCAATGATTGTGTTTCGTCCCAAATGCATAAAGTCGAGCAGATCCCGCTGAGATGTCTATTCCTTTCCCTTCCTTTCTCCAAGGGCTTTCTTGCAGCCCTTCAGTCTTTCCCTGCCAGCCAGGTTCTCATCACTCTTTCTCTTCGGCCCCAACCGCTTTTTGGATCACTTCATTTCAATCTTCTAACCGCAATGTTTACCTCCACTCTTTTGACGCTTCTCAGCGTCAGTGCGTCCCTCGCCGCCCCTATCCGACGTGATGTCACCCTCGATGCGACTGCGACGGCCGAGGCCCAGCGCCGCGATGCAACTGCGACTCGCGCGTTCAGTGGAGTGCCGATCAAGGTGTGTTTGCCGAGTCGTATTTACCTGCCCCTGCTAATGATGGTGACTGTGGTGTTGTGATAGACCTCGAGTGGAAAGTGTCTCTCTGTCAATCCGTTCTCTGGAGACTTCCGGGAGAATCTGACGCCGGTGAACCTCGTCGACTGCAACGGCAGTGCCAACCAGACCTGGGATGTCATCACCGCGGGCGTGCATAACAACGCGCCTGGGACTGCTCTTATCGTCAGCGCCTTGGTAAGTGCATATACATCTGTAATATATAAGAGACTGATCTCTAACGCGGCACTCCATCAGACCCAAGCGTGCCTCAACTTCGACCCTCGGCGTGCCGCGGGCAACCAGGTGCTTCTGTTCTCGTGTGGTGGGCGGGCAGACGGAGGTGGATCCGTCACGAACTCTCAGCAATTCGCCTTCAACGGCGGCTCGGGCCCGATTCCTCTGGCCCCGCTCAACGGGAACAACCAGACTTGTCTGACAGCCGGCGGCAACTTGCTTGACCAGACGGCTTGCAACCCAGCTACTGCTTCCGGGAACTTAGTGCGTTTGCATTGCCTAGATGAGATCATGCGTTGACAGGTCAATTAGTTGTTCACTATCGGTTCTGGTTCCGGCTCTGCGGCTGCACCTCCTCCGCCTCCACCTCCGGCTACGACTGCTGCCAGTGCTCCTACCAACGTGGCCGTCGCTGCCCCGGCTTTGCAGAGCGTCACGCTCGATCAAACCGCCGTTGCTGAGGCTCAGGTTCGGGACAACACGGCCACCCGGGCTGCTTCCAGTGTTCCGATCAAGGACTCGACTGGAAAGTGCCTCACTGTCAATGCCAACTCGGGCGATTTCCGCGAGAATCTGACCCCCGTTACTGTCCAAGCCTGTGACGGCTCCGCCGGACAAAACTGGGATGTGATCACCGCTGGCAAGCACAACAATGTCGCTGGAACTGCTCTGGTCGTCAGCGCCCTGGTGTGTTCCCCGCTCGGTCTCTCTTCGCGTGGCTGATATCCCGTCAAGACTCAAGCATGCCTGAACTTCGATCCGCGTCGTGCCGCAGGCAACCAAGTTCTGTTGTTCTCGTGTGGAGGTCGTGCTGACGGCGGAGGATTGGTGACCAACTCTCAGCTGTTCACCTTCTCCGGCGCTGGCTCGATCCCCCTCCAGCCGACGAACCAAGCCGGCACGTGCTTCTTCAACAACAACGGATTCCTCGACCAGCAGGCTTGCAACAACGGGGCTGCGCAGCTTTTCACTATCGGTTCTGGCTCTGCGGTTGCAGCCCCTCCCGCGGCGACGACGGCTGCTGCGGCCAAGACCACTGCTGCCGCACCTGCGACCACTGCTGCAGCTCCGGCGACCACTGCCGCTGCTGCTGCGCCTCCGCTCAAGAGCGTCACCCTCGACCTCACTGCCGTCGCCGAGTCCATGGTCCGTGACAACACCGCCACTCGTGCTGCCTCGAGTGTGCCGATCAAGGATTCGACCGGAAAATGTCTGACAGTCAACGCCAATTCGGGCGATTTCCGCGAGAACTTGATCCCGGTTACCGTTCAGGCCTGTGACGGCTCCGCTGGCCAGAACTGGGACGTGATCACTGCTGGAAAGCACAACAACGCGGCGGGATCGGCTCTTGTTGTCAGCGCCTTGGTGCGTTTGTTTGCTCCTCCATTGCTTTTCGCTCTGCTGATTCGGCTTCTTAGACCCAGGGATGCCTGAACTTTGACCCCCGTCGTGCCGCAGGCAACCAAGTTCTGCTGTTCTCGTGCGGAGGACGGGCTGACGGCGGAGGATCGGTCACCAACTCGCAGCTGTTTACCTTCACTGGCGCGTCCAAGTCCATCCCTCTGCAGCCGGAGAACCAGGCTGGAACATGTCTGTTCAACAACAACGGATTTCTTGACCAGCAGTCGTGCAACAACGCTGGCTCGCAGGTGCGTGTGGCTGGCGTGTGGTCGTGACCGTCATTTGCTGACCATCTTCTCCCAGGTATTCACCATCGGCTAGACGAATGAACCAGCCATTCTCGTAGATAGGATTACGATGTACACGCATATCCCCAAAAAGAGTTTGTCGGTTACTTGGTGTGTGACTTACGCGGATCGTCACCGACCACGTGCCATCTCGTCACCAACTGGAAGATCTCTTGACCACCACCACTTACGTGTTGCGCCGCTCTTCGAAAGTTCCGGCCCAAGAACTTGAAGTAAGAAATCACAAAAGATGAACCCGAAACTCGATTGAGAGAACAATTCGAAATTGATCTGGAGAACCTCGCCCAGTTTTTCCTCAGTCAGGTTCCAACTGCTTTGATGTAGAGGTGCTCGCGAATACTTACTACTATGGGGATTCGGTGCCATGTAAGTGATATTTCGACAGTTTCCAACCTACCTCGTTGATGATGAGGGCAGTACTATGACCTGATCGACTCCAGAGCGTACTAAGTCCTCCGTATGAGGACATGTCCGAACTGTACTTCCAACGATATGGACGGTCTCTTCAACTCGCTGCGCGCATATCAATGTTGTTGATATCAGCTTCACACTTGGAAGCACCGGGGATGAATGCAGCATCGTTGCCGCGCAATATGGGTGGGTGTCCGTCCCTTCTAGCGATGGTATTACAGTAAACGTTATCTATCCTGGAGCAGGGAATGCCGTGCCTCCGAAGCGACTGGGATGATGCTTGTCGTCAAGTCTTGAGGGCGAACGGTCGCAATGTAGGGCATGTCTTGATATGGCGACTATCCAAGAATGTCAAGACCAATCAAAGTATGCATCTATATCTTTCAGAAAGTCAACCTGCCGCCTTGCGGAAGCAGCACGCCGGGAAATTTTGGGGATGGACTCTGAAGTCAGGTGATTGTGGAGCAGAAGAAACGCGCGGAGGATCACAGGCAGTCCTTGTTCTCTGAGCGCCTCGAGCTCGGCATACTTCACCTCTCGGCGACAAAGGTGACAAATTCGAACGACTGTTAGTCGGAAAACTCCCAGAAAAGGCCGGCAAATGCTGCGCAATCAGACACGCATGCTTCGCAAACTGTTGGCCAAGAAGTCAAGGGCTAAATGCGACATGCTACAGCTCTGCACGATTCTGTTCAAATGCTATGCGTGTCGTCGACCGGACACTTGCGCTCGAACTCTGTTTCATGGCTGTTTGCGGCAGAAGCCTCTTCTTGAGGACCGGGATCCTGAAGACGACCAACGCTTGTTGCTCGTGTTCATGTCTGTAGCTCTAAGCGTCTAGGGTGTGAAGTTTGAAGCCGAGTCTCCGTCGCTGGTAGGCCTGCTTGTGTGGCCAAGACTCACAGAACATTTCCGGCTGCCACGCTCGAGGAGAGGGAGACGAGGTTCTCTAACCTGCGGTACTCGGGAACATGCGTGGGCCGGCCCTTGTTCTGGCGTGAAGCGGTGAGTTGTCAGCCTTGTGGACGATAATATTGCCGATTCTTCATCGTCACAGGTCGGACATAATCCGGAAAATCACCGAGACCGGCCATGCTTGAGGCTCTACCAGAGCCTTGAAAACAATTCGCAGTATTCGAAAGGTAGCATCGATGATCTCTAGCAGCATATGTAGATAATGCGGTATTCAGCTACAGATCAGTCTCTCTCGGCTTCTATGTCATTATTAAGTGGAGTTAAGCCATGAACATTAACTTTGTGTAGAAGTCTTACAGTAAGGCCATTATTTAATCAGGCTCAGTCTCGACTTGCGCAATTTTACCTGGTTATTTGTCTCATGTGAGAATTACCACCAACACGACTGAGTTTGCTCTGAATGTATGCCGAGAACATTACTTCTTTAGTTTTCGGAATCGATTTAAGGAACTGAATTACTTTACGCGTCCAAGAGATGATATCGCCCCTCCGAATGTGTGGCTAGGTGTAAGCATTTCAAAATTACATCACATCTAAAAAGAAGAAGAAAAAGGCCATACCCTCTGAAGTAGCCCGTTGTCCGCTCGCAGTTATACAGTGAAGCGGGCTGACGGAGACGCTGCGGGTCGTGTAATTACGGTTGACAACCGAAAGCCCGAAGCGACTTTGTTTGGTGTTTGTTTGGCCTCGGGTGATAACGGGTATAAACACTCGGTCCCAAAAGTTACCTTTCCTCACCATACCTCGACGATGCTCACCTCGCGCGGCGCAGTAGCCCGCCTCTCCCGGAGAGCGGTCAGCTCGAAAAAGGCCACCGCTGCCTTTTTCTCCACTCTCCCCCGAGCTTCCCTCCCACAGTCGAAGACCCAGCAGCGCGCCGGCGCACGCCCGTCTTCTTCTGCTGTCCCCTCGTGTAAGCTCTAAAAACACTACACCGGTGGCTTGCTTCTCATCCACTCTGCCCCCAGCTCGCAACTATGCGACCGAGTCCAAGGCAGTCGTCGGCTCCGTAAAAACCGTCATTGGTGCCGTCGTGGATGTGCAGTTCGAGACCGAGAACCTTCCCCCCATCTTGAACGCCCTGGAGGTTCAAGACTTCTTCGGCGGCCGGCTCGTCCTGGAGGTTGCTTCTCACCTTGGTGAGAACACCGTCCGTACCATTGCCATGGACGGTACCGAGGGTCTCGTCCGTGGACAGAAAGTCGTCGACACTGGTGCCCCCATCCAGATTCCCGTCGGTAGCGCCACCCTCGGCCGTATCATGAACGTCATTGGTGAAGCCATTGACGAGCGTGGTCCTATCAAGGGTGTCAAGCTGTGCCCGATTCACGCCGACCCCCCTGCCTTCGTGGACCAGTCCACTGAGGCCGAGGTCCTCGAGACCGGTATCAAGGTCGTCGACCTGCTCGCTCCTTACGCCCGTGGCGGAAAGATTGGTCTCCTCGGTGGTGCTGGTGTCGGCAAGACCGTGTTGATCCAGGAGCTCATCAACAACGTTGCCAAGGCTCACGGTGGTGTGTCCATCTTCTGCGGTGCGTCCTAGTTTCTTTCCATCCTCTGCCAATTCTCATTTTCATTCAGGTGTCGGCGAGCGTACTCGTGAGGGTAACGACTTGTACCACGAAATGATTGAGACCGGTGTCATCAAGCTCGACGGCGAGTCCAAGGTCGCCCTCGTGTTCGGTCAGATGAACGAGCCCCCTGGTGCCCGTGCCCGTGTCGCTCTGACTGGTTTGACCATTGCCGAATACTTCCGTGACGAGGAGGGACAGGATGTGTTGCTTTTCATCGACAACATTTTCCGTTTCACCCAGGCCGGTTCCGAAGTGTCTGCTTTGCTCGGACGTATTCCGTCTGCTGTCGGATACCAGCCCACGTTGTCCACTGACATGGGTGGCATGTGCGTTGTGTTTTGCTAGTGTGTGACGTGGCCTCATTTTCTCCAGGCAAGAGCGTATCACAACCACCAAGAAGGGTTCTATCACCTCCGTGCAGGCTGTCTACGTGCCCGCTGACGATTTGACTGACCCCGCTCCGGCCACGACCTTCGCTCACTTGGACTCGACTACTGTGTTGTCCCGTGGTATTGCCGAGCTCGGTATCTACCCTGCCGTCGACCCTCTGGACTCCAAGTCCCGTATGTTGGACCCCCGTATCGTGAGTGTATGCAACCTGTACGTCTGAGTCCTTCCTGACGTATGTTTCCAGGTTGGTCAGGACCACTACGACACTGCGACTGCCGTCCAGAAGATTCTCCAGGACTACAAGTCTCTCCAGGATATCATTGCTATCCTGGGTATGGACGAGTTGTCTGAGGAGGACAAGCTGACCGTCGAGCGTGCTCGCAAGATCCAGCGTTTCATGTCGCAGCCCTTCCAGGTCGCGCAGGTGTTCACTGGTTACGAGGGCAAGCTTGTGTCGCTGAAGGACACCGTCCGTTCGTTCAAGGAGATTCTCTCCGGCCAGCACGACTCCCTGCCTGAGTCTGCCTTCTACATGGTTGGAACGATCGAGGACGTCAAGACCAAGGCCGACCAGCTTGCCAAGGACATGGCATCCTAAATGTCAACAATTGTCTCGTTGAAGGGCATCGGTCACAAAATGGCGGTAGTGGGCGCGCGGAATAATTTTACTTTTGTCCTATCGTACATCTTAGAGAACCCGCCTTTCGTCTTGTCCCTCTACGTTGCAACAAAAAATAACGTTATTTCTGTCACGAGTGACGAGTCGTGTAACCGAGGACTGTTTGGGTTGACACCACATGACCAAAGTCGATATCCACGCTCACCTGACCAGCACGTGAGAATCAACACTCATCTTGAAACCACCTCTCGCTCTCCCGCGTCTGCGGCAAATGCTGCCCCGCCCACCTACCGACAATGCCCAGAAGCTGCGCGAGCAGCTCTCAGGAATCTTCGATCAAGTTCAGACGTCGCTGGCGAATCACCGGAAGAATTACGTCGCGCTGCACAAAATCCATTCTAAAGCGGAGCAAGGGGATTTCGTAGAGGTGTTTTTGGAATGCGTCAGTCGGATAATGAGTTTGAAGAAGGGTCCTGCGGTGGATAGGGTAGGGAAGTTTATTGGCGGATATGTCAAGTTTGTCAACGAGAAAGGTGAGGGATAGCGGTTTGTCCCATGATCACAGGCTCAGGCTTGCCCCAGTGAACGAGGAAAAGGAGAAACTCCATGCCGAAAAGAACAAGTCTATATCAGCCGGTGGAAACGACGATGCGGATGAAGATACTCTCGCGTCTGTGTTCGTTGCTGCGATCTTGGAATGGATCATGCAAGGTTTCGTGGCAAAAAACAAAGTCGTGCGATATCAGGCGGTGCATCTAGTTGCGGAAATGATCGCGTTTCTGGGAGAGATTGAGTGGGTGCCTGTTATTCCTCTTGTTTCCACTTCTCACTCGAATGTGTGCTCTGTAGCGAAGAAAGTTACCTGTCCCTACGCTCGAACCTCGTCGACCGCTCAACCTGCGACAAGGAGGCCCCAATTCGCGCTCAGGCTGTATCTGCGCTCTCCCGGCTAATAGGGAGCGAAGACAACGATGAGTTGGAGGACGGGGAGAAGTCTATCCTGGAAGTCCTGCTGGAGGTCATGTCGACGGATCCGTCACCAGAAGTTCGCCGCGCAGCTCTCATGAATGTCCCACTTACACCGACGACGCTTCCCGCGCTACTGGACAGGACGAGGGATGTCGACGCGGTGACGCGTAAACTGGTATACTCGGGTGTGTTCACCCCAAGGCTTGAGAATCCCCGGATGCTATCGATTGGTCAGCGAGAGACACTCGTGCGCGCCGGACTCGGAGATCGGGAGCCTGCAGTAAGGCTCGCCGCGGGGAAGATGGTCGGACATTGGTATGATGGGGTTTTGGCGGATCCCTCTACCAAGGATGATGGATGGAATGGGGACGACGGCGGAGTGATGCGAGCTCTTGTGTCGCTCCTGGGCCTCTTCGACGTTGTTGGCCCTGGTGAAGCGATCGCTGTTGACGCGCTTGCCAGTCTGTTCACAACACGGCCCGAATTGTATACTGTGTTTGTTTTCGAGGGTACGTCGACCTTTTTTTAGTTCATCATTGCCCATTTTGATCGAGATCAGACTCGTACTGGCAAAATCTGACCCCTGAATCAGCCATCCTGGCGCGTGTATTTCATGAACGTTGCCTTGCTGAGAAGCGCGATTCCCTTCTGGAGGATGCGGGTCTGCCCGTGGTGACCGCGTTTGCATTCCACATACAAGAAGGATATAACCAGCTTCTGAGTGCCTTGGAGGCTGCTGAGGTGGCACGTGCACTAGGCACCGGTGATGACGATGAAGACAGTGGCGCGGAGGAGGAAGAGATGGCCATTCGTGAAGCAGTGCTCGGGGATTTGCTTCGGATGGCAGTCAAGCTGGATTATATGGATGAAATTGGGAGGAGGAAGGTTTATACTGTATCCCGTACGTGTTGTCTTCCTTCTGCTTTCCTGGCGCTGAACGACAGACCAGGCGACATGCTCGCTCACGCCCAACTGCCACCCGGCCTTATTCCATTATGCCAAGACGTGATGAAAGAAATCTTGCCCACAGAGCGGGAGCTCATCCGTGTGAATGTGGAGATTATCATGGATTTGCTAGAGCCCGAGCAGGAGGAGCAGGATGTCAACGATGTACGTGTCTGATCTATTGCATTTCATGAGGGACTGAAGGGATCGTAGAACGACACTACTACATCCGATGCAACGTTTCGTAAGGAGCGCTCTCTCCGGCGTGCCAAAACGCGCGAAGACATGTCTCCCGATGAAGCGATGAGTGCGGACTTGACGGATCTGAGGTGTTTGGAAATATGCATCAGTATGCTTGAAAGAGTGCATGGGGCGAGTGTTTTGAGCTCACGTTACAGTTGATACTAACAATCGAGTTTCCTCAGAACTTTGAAGACAACTCCACCTTGGAGGGAATCCTCGCAGATTTGATCATTCCCGCTGTGAGGAGAAAAGAAGTCGGGATCCGCGAAAAGGGAGTGGTCAGTCTCGGGCTGTGTTGTCTTATTGCCAAGGCATGTTATCATGTTTCTGTGCATTTGAAGCAAGCTGACCTTGTCCAAAGAATATCGCCGTGAAGTCACTTCAATTGTTCCTATCACAAATTCAGGGTGCACCACCACAGCTCAAGCTCAAGCTGCTCCAAATTGTATTTGACTTGATGGTGTTGTATGATCAACAGTTGTGGGGGCGACCCGAAGATGGGCAAGCAATTCTGGGCTTCCTGTGCAATCTGCTGCAAGTCGAGGAGTCGGACGAGGTACAAGCTGTGCTTTGTGTGGGACTAGCCAAATTGTTGTTGGCTGGTCTGGTGAGTGACGAAGGGGTGATCAAGACGCTCCTTGTTGCCTATGTCTCACCGTACACTACGGGCAACACAGAGCTGCGACAGTGCCTGTCTTATTTCTTTTCGGTGTATTGTTACTCGGCGCCCGAAAACCAGCGCAGGGTTCAGAAGGTGTGTGACCTCAGTCTTTTCTGTTAGTCAGATTCTGACAGTCGCAGACGTTCATGGCGGCGTTCGACGCTGTGGTCAAGATGCATGACGAGCTTGACGATGAGCAGACGATGGTCACGCCTCAGCAGTTTGGAGAACTTGTCATTGATTGGTTGGATGCTGGCAAGGTCGCAGAAGTGTGCGTGCAAGCTGACTTTCCTTTCCCTGCATCTGCTGAAAAATTCTCAGCAACAAAACTGCTGCAGCAGGACACGCGCAATCGGAGCTGGCAGCCGACATTCTCGAGGCCCTGTATGACGAGGAGCGAAGGGAAGAAGATCAACAAGCCTTGTGCACCTTCTTAGCGTATTTGCACCCCGAGCAGGAAGCCCCATTGACGCCGAGATTGTTGGTGAAGCTGAGTGCTTTGCTGCAGCACGTCCAAACCCAGTGCGACCCATCGCTGGCCAAAGCTGTGGCCAAATTCAGTGTACGGTTCAACAAGGAATTCGGCGATGCTGTGGCTAGCGTTGACTGGGCTGAATACGGGACGGATGAGATGAAGAAGCTGTATGACTGGATGAATGTCGATGTCCCTGACTATGGGTGCGTTGTTTGGATGTTCTCAATCAACACTGACGGTCGTTGAAAGCCAAACGGGTGTGGAAAAGAAGAAGTCATCTCGCACCAAGAAACCCAAGCCAGATGACGAAGAGGAGTGAGTGGTTGACATCGGCTTTGACATTTCGACAGCAACTGATGTCTGTTGCAGGGAACAAGCAGAAGATGAAGAAGTCAGCGAGTCGCCGGAAGAGGCGCCAGTGGATGCAGACCTGTCGGAGCAGGAAGAGGCCAAGCCCGCAGATGAGGAAGATGCTATCCCAGACGAAAGTAATATCGAAGATGGCGTCGGTTCCGAGCTGGAGCTGGACACTGAACCAGAGCAGGAGCAGGAGCAGGAGCAGGAGCAGGAGGAAGATCCAGAGCCGGAACCCGAGCCGGAACCCGAGCCAGCCTCCAAAACCAAGGGGAAAGGGAAGGGCAAAGCATCAGCTAAATTCAAGGCCCAAGCCGAAGCAGCTGAAGAGGTGAAGCCCAAATCCAGAGGTCGAGGCTCGAGGAGCAAGGTTACCGAAGAAGTCGAAAAAGAGTGCGTTTACGCGTCGTTTGCCGGACTCACTGTCTGACACGACCTCTGCAGATCTCCATCTGTGAAGAAGAGGAGTAGTCGAGCGCGTGTGAGTCAGCCAGCTGAGGAACAAATAGAAGAGCAGGAAGAGGCAGCGGCCCCCCGGAAAGGGAGATCTCGTTCGACAAAGGCTACTGAGGAGCGAAAGCTGGCCCCGAAAGAGAAGAAACTCCGGGGGAGCATTGCCTCCCAAGCCGATGCTGAAGAATCTTCTGCACCGAGGAAAAGCAGTCGAAAGTCTGTCACATTCCTTGCAAATAGTTTCCACGCTGATCATTTCTTTTCAAATCACAGGAGGGCTCGAACGCCAGATCTGAAACCCGAGTCTACTGGAAAGAGGAGGAAGTCGCAGAAGGACTCTGAGCCAGAGCCAGCTGTAGCAAGTAAGGGCAAGAGGGCGAGTTCTCGACGGAAACCGCCGGCTGATGGCTCGGAGGACGAGCTCGGTGCGTATGACGAGACTTGAGGGTGAAGAAGACGAGTGATGGATGGATCTATGTGTATTTACGCGAGAACTGCCATGTACCAACGTATATTATGTTTACTTTAGAGATTTGTTGTTGTAAATGCACACTCAACTTGACCAGCAGTTGCCTCGTCAGTGTCGTCTGATATGATATTCCATAAGACCTTCCATATGGCGCGATGGCCGAGTGGTTAAGGCGACAGATTAGAATGTTCTATCCATCTGTTTCGGTTTCCGAGCGCAGGTTCAAGTCCTGCTCGCGTCGTTCAGACAGACGATGTTGCACATATTTCTTTTGCTCCCTCCGTACGCCAGGCATAAGACCGTATTTAAATTGCCACTCGTTTCCCATGACAGCAGTTCCCTGAATGGTTCTCTTAAAATAATGCCGACTGAGAATTATCATCGACTCAATCCCACTCCTCAATAGTATCATTGGACATTTGCGTGGCATCCGGTTCCTACATCTTGGTTGGCCAATACGTTTATCAGATGAGTTGTGCTAACCTGGAGCGGCGAGATATAAATCCCGGGAGCAGGTGCGAATGCAGGGCCACGATTCGAGGTTGGCAGCATCCGACGAGTCTCAGGTGTCGTCGTCATCGTCTCGTTCTCTACAGACTCGTTCGCATGGGGATCATCAATAGCCACATCGTTCATGCTAACATCCTGGGAATCAGCGTTCTGCTCTTCCAATGCATCCTCGTCGTCATCCGGATCTTGCTCCGGTTCGACTTGCGTCTCGTACAGGTAGTCGTCATCCAGACCCGAAAGCTCTTCTTCGCTGTATGCGTCTTTCCGGATAAACGGCTGCCATTTGAAGTCCAGGTCCTCCAGCTCGTAGCCCGGCTCGACTGGGTCTGACGAGCTCTGAGGATCCTCTGCCGGCGAGTCGTAGTAAATCGGGCGCGGGGCGTAGAACCTATTCCCCAGCTGCGGACTAGGGGTAGTGAACTCCTTGGATGGCTCTTGCACGCCGATGTCTATGCTGGTGGGAAGCTCGGCTTGATTGTTTGCGGGAGTGCTTATTGCGTCCGAAGGATGCAGATTGTGGAATGTTGTTGGTTTCAAATGCTCATATACTCGGGGCGGAGGAGTGGAGTATCGAGGAAGCAGGACCCATGGTTGCTGGGACACGAGGGAGTGTTTCTCATTATCTTGCACTAGAAGCGGAGTGTCGAGCCCGAGAGGTGTTTCTAGAGCAGGATCGATGGTATGGAGTGCCCGGCCATAGATGTCCGGACGTGCGACATTCGAATCAGAGAGGTCGGAGAACTGCGGTCCTCGAGTAGAGAAGGGCGCTGGAGTATCAGCATGTCCGTCAGCGGGCAATGAGAGCAGTTCTTCTGGAAGAGGGAGGTCAGAATGGATCTTGACAGCTTGATCGAGCACGTCAGGTGTATTGAGTTCATCCGGAACCGAGAAAGAGAAGGGATGTTCGAGTTGTTGCTCATCGCGTGCTGATTCACTACGAAAGCTTTCCTGGAGAGCAGGCACACGAGCAGGAGCAGGAGCAGGCACACGAGCAGGATCGGATGTATGCGTCGTAGAATTAGGAACGGAGTGAGTGTTCAAGTCGAGCTGGTTTTCATCTTGTGGTAAAAGTAGACGTAGAGGATGATTGGTGTTGAGCTTCGAAAATGTGGATGCTAGCCATGGAGGGAGAGGCGTCAAATTGTGCAGATTTGTCTGTGGCTAAGCAATCCCTGCTTGTTAGCGAGCAGGAAGGAACGGACACAAGCGAGAGCTCACGAGCGCCTCATTTAGATCTGAAGAGGACGAATCTTGCAGCAGATCCCGTGGTGACACCTCAACGAGTTTCTTCATGCGCTGTTTCTTCGGCTGGTGTGTCGAGCCGCCCATCTTGATCATCGAGAAGTCGGAGCCCAGGCGCTCACCTGCAGTATGAATGTCGTCGTAGTACTCGTCGATAGGAGTGCGCGGGACACTGCTGCCGGAGGTGGACGACGTCGAGTGAGCACGTCTGCGGGTGTGCTGCTTCTTGGGCGAGAGGTGGATGACGTTCATGCTTTCGACCAAACGGTCGAAGCGCGTGTTGAGATTGGAGCGTGCCGACTTGCGTCGCTTGTGAACATGGATATCTTTAGGGACGATGTTATTAGTCGGGAAGCGAAAGTGCACGAATGGAACCTGGTGCGACGGAGGTCGCTGATGGGGCTGCCCCAGGAGCTCTGGAACATGACTAGGAGTCGTAATGGAAGACCTGATGTGGATTTCAGATTACCTCTTGCCTGAAGGGTCAGATTCCTCGAGGAATTCAGAAAACAGTCTCGCGCGTCGGGACATGATGATAAAGTACTGAGCGATTCGGCAATGTGCGTTGATCATATCATTGCCTTGCTTGTCAAGGCTTCTCCACCCTCATAATTCGTATGATCCGGTCGCACGCGGTTTGATCCGATCTTCCGTATCATTCTGCATGTAATTGTGCAGTTGCTCGTTCGAACCTCTTTTGTCTTTCATAATCAGTTGTCGCATATGCATGTAAACACGTTCACAAGCTCTTGCAACATCCTGCATCTACGCTCAACCACATTAGAACAAAGCACATGCAAGACAAGGAGTGGGGTTCAACGCAGTACTGTTGTCGAGTATATGTGACAATCAACCCAAGAACAAAGTCGAAAAGAGAAGTGAATTCGAAGACTGGAGAATACAACCAAGTAGCTACAGTATTTATACCCAAATCCAGTCTGAGTCATATCTACAACTAATGAGTCATAGGGCTATGTACCGCATGGAGCACTGGTCATGGGTTGTAGTAGAACCTTCCGGAGCATATGTCGCGCAGCCTCGAATCGATAGAGATAACCCCTGGAACCCCTAGCCCGGATCGTCTGATGCCGTGATCCGTGATAAGATAGGTCGTGCCAAGATAAGATAAGATCGTCGATGATAAGATGAAAAAGAGTCGAATTATGACATTACCCCCTCTCTAGGGTCGATGTCCTCATCGACTAGGCCAATGGGCGTGAAGACGTTTTCGTACGGATTGAAGAGTTGTCGCTGGGGGTATGGAAGGCGCTCATCTTTGGGTTTGTAGCGATGGATGAGGTAATCCCAATGTCCGGCTTCGAGAGTTGGCAGGAGGCGAATGCGTGTGTCTGGGTTGGATTGTTTCCTCTGCCAATCTCTCAGGACCTTCTTCGCGTGGGTAAGGTGACGTGATGGTTCCCAGGTGTTCTCGCTATGCGGCCATCCCTTCCATTTGACCAAGTACTGTTTTCCTCGGCCAACGTTTCGCTCTTTCACGATCTCTTCGACTTCCCACTCCTCTGCTCCTCCGATCATCTTGGCTACAGGCCTCTTCTCTCGGCGATGGGGGGGTGGTTCGTGATAGGGTGTCAACAGTGACTCATTGAACACCGGGTGTCTTCGGTCCGTGTCCGGCAAGTCCAGCTTCCATGCAGCCGCTCCAACCTTCTCCAATATCTCGTATGGCCCTAGTCTCTTGTCGCTCATCTTTTTTGATGGTCGATCCGTCTCGATATTTTCCCCTTCTATGTACACCTTCATCCCAACCTTCAACTCCGGAACTTCTTTTCTTTGTTTATCGTAGTATTTTTTCATTTTTTCTTTTGCTTTCTCTAGTGCTGTTTTTGCTTCGTCTTGTATTTCTTTCATTCTTTTTACAAATTCCTCCGCCGACTCGTTTCTTGACTCCATCCGTTGCTCCACTCCCTTCCATGGGTGATATCCGTGATTCGCATAGAATGGCGATATTTTGGTAGATGTGTTCATTTTATCGTTATATGCGAATTCTGCCATCCCTAGCCACTCCGACCAGTCCGTCTGATGGTAATTGACGTAGATGCGGAGATAATGCTCGATCTCCTGATTCATGCGTTCTGTCTGCCCATCCGTGATCGGGTGATATGCGGTCCCCGGATTCATTTCCACGCCCAACATCCGATTCGTCTCCCTCATGAAGCCCTTGATGTAACGCGAATCCCTGTCGGTGATGATCTTGCGAGGGATCCCGTGGTAGCGGAAGACTCGGTCCCTGGTTAATCGTGCCACTCCTTCGCTGCTGATGTCAGTACTAATTGGTTCGACATGGATCATTTTGGTGAAGGTGTCACACCACACATGAATTGCGTCATACCCGTTACTGACCGGCAAGGGTCCGATCTGATCCATGGAGATGATTTCCCACGGCGTGTTTGGAACTGCATGCGGGTGCAAACTCCCTGTCCTGGCTCTTCTGGTCTTGGTCCGCTGGCACGCCTCGCACGTCTGGATGTATTTCCGAATTTGGTTTCCCATCCTTGGCCACCAGTAGTTCCTTTCCACCATCTCCTGCGTTCGGTTGATCCCGGCGTGTCCGACCAAAGGGGTGTCGTGGTGTAGTCCGATGATTTTGTCCCGCAACTCCTCGTCTCTTGGTACGTAGAGCTTCCCATGGTACGTGATAAGCCCCTCTTCCTTCTTCCATCCGACGAGTGACTTCTCTAAGGCTGCCTTGACGCTTCCATCAATTGATCGAATGGCCTTGATTTCATCGATTAGCTGCTGATCCTGTCCCTCGAATGTGACTTCTTGTGATCGGAAGAACTCGGGCTTCAGTAGCGTGACGTCCTTGTTGTCGTTCTTGCCCTGATCGTGATCTGCTCGTCGGGACAGGAGGTCTGCCTTGCAGTTGAGTGCGCCGGGTCGGTGTCGTAAGGTGAAATCGAATTCCGCCAATTCCGTGATCCATCGTGCTTGCCGTCGATTGAGCTTCTGCGGCTTCCGAAAGTACTCGAGATTTTGATGATCAGTGAAGATCTCGAACGTTTCCGTGGCTCCCAGGAGTAACTGCCTCCATTCGTCAAGTGATAACATGATTGCGAGCATTTCCTTGTCGTAGATCTCGTAATTTCGCTCGGTTTCGGTCAATGCGTGCGAAATAAATGCGATTGGGCGCCAAATGCCGTCTTGGTTTTGGCTCAAAACTGATCCTGTTGCCCCTTCCGAAGCATCGGCTTCCAGACGATATTGGCCAGTGTCATTTGGCAGTGCTAGGACCGCATCCTCCGCGATTCTCTTCTTCAATCCCTCAACTGCCGCATGCTCATTTGCACCCCATGACCATCCTGCCTTTCCTGTCAGCCGTGTCAATGGCTTGGCAACCTCCGCGTATCCCCGGACAAAGCGCCGATAGAAGTTTGTGAATCCGAGGAAAGCTTGGACCTGTTTGACGCTCTTTGGTTCCGGCCATTCCATCACGCCCTTGATCTTGACTGGGTCCATCCGCATCGAATTGTGTCCAATAATTACACCCAAATATTCGATTTCCGTGCATTCGAACTCGCACTTTTTGGGCTTCAGGTATAGCTTGTGTTTCTGGAGCAATTCGAGCACTCGTTTCGTGATCCGCCGATGTTCGTCCGAGTTCTCTGTAAAGATCAGTATATCGTCCAGATAGACTACCACGTGTCCCTCGTTGATCAGTTCTCGGAGTATGTCGTTCATCATGTTTTGGAAGGTAGCCGGGGAGTTCGTGAGACCAAAGAACATGACCAAGGGCTCGTACAGTCCGCGGTTCGTGCGGAACGCAGCCTTCCACTCGTCACCCTCTTTGATCCGTACGTTATTGTATCCCCATCGGATGTCGAGCTTGGTGAAGAACTTGGCGCCGCATAGATTATGGACCAGCTCGGAGATCAGTGGCAGCGGGTATCGATTTCGGATTGTCATCTCGTTCAGCTTCCGGTAATCTTGGACGGGACGTAAGGAGCCATCTTTCTTCTTGACAAAGAAGAATGCTGATGCCATGGGTGATTTCGATGGTCTGATCCGTCCGCTGGCCAGGTTCTCTTGTAAGAACTCGTCGAGTTTGACCTGCTCGTTTCGTGATAGCGGGTACACCTTGCAGTCCACTGCTTTGGAACCGGGTTTGAGCTCAATCGCATGATCCCAGGTTCGTCGGTCCGGTAGTGAGTCGAATGATTCCTTGGCAAATACTTTGACGAATTCCCGGTATTGATCCGGAATTTTCCCTTCGGTCATCCTCTCCTTCTCTTTTTCCGCTTCTTCTGCGAATTTCTGCGCCGGTGTTTCCTTCAGCCGTAGATCCACCTCCTTTCCAAAGTCGATCAGCAGGATCGATTCTCCCTCTTCCAGATCCGGTGCGCTTGTGTCCAGGTCGATTGCATCCATGTCAATCATCGCTTGGTGTTCCTCGTGACCCCTCATGTGACACCGTTCTGGGCATCGGCTGAATCTCATCGTTTGCTCCTGCCAATCCACCTCCGGGTTGTGTTCCGTCAGCCAGTCAAGACCAATGAAGATCCGGGCCTTCCCTAAGCACGTCAGAAGGAACGTGCGTGTCTCCACGTGAGGACCGATTCTCATCCTTAGGTCAACGTAATGCGTGATCCGGCCGCTGATGTTTTCGGTGTTGTCGGCGTTACGAGCCACAATGGGTTGGGGAAGTTCTTGGATATCCAGCTTCTCTGCCCGCGCGTAGTCGGTATCGATGCAGCAGGTGCTACAGCCACTGTCGAGTAGCGCCTTAACTCCGCGCGTCTTTCCTGAGTCCAGGCCTGTGATCTGGACATATACGTCCATCGAATGCCTCTTTCTTTCGGCCTGGTAGTTGCGCAATTCCTGCGCTAGTCTGCTGGGCTGGGGGCCCTTCTGTTTCTCAGCCGCCAATTTCCTTTGAGCGGCATCTGGCACCCTTGTGCGTTTGGGTACTTCTGGAACCTTGATTTCGGTAGATTCCTTGGGCGCTTCCTCCTTTTTCAAGGATTGAGCCTCCGGAGCAATGCTCCCCTTTTCGGTCTTTGTTGACGTGGTTCCTTCTCCACGAGCCATAAATACGTAGGAGTCCAAAATTAATTTATCCGCAGCTTTCTGATCCTTTTTACTTTGTAAATACTCTCTATTTAAAACTATTTTTCTTTGTCGTTCCTTTTCCATATCAGCAATGAGAAAATCATGAATATTGGTACGTAATGAGTCCGAGATTGTATATGTATGTGTAGAATCGTTCATGTCTTTAATCGAAACAAGTACAGAAAATCGTCCATAGTCCGGACGCTCCACCTCCTTGGCTAGAGGAGTGGAGCGCTTTAAAAACCCTTCTCGCGCAGCTTCTCGGCGATCTCCTTGAGGAACTCGTTGTCCTTGTCCCCGTTCTCGATCTCTTCTAGCATTGTGGCCCGATTGAAGAACGTGCGCTTCTTCTTGGGCTCAGGGCAGTTCCGCGCAATGTGCCCAGGCTGCTGACAGTTGTAGCAGATGATATTGCGGCCACGGGCGTGGGTGCGATCGATCTCCATCGGAACCGGCTCATTGGCCACTGGTCGGGCCGGAGCGGGTGCAGGTGCTGATGGTGCAGCCTGAGGGCGGAATTGGGGTGGGGGCCGCGGAGTTGAGTGCGCATAGGATGCCTTACGCAGCTGATCGCGCAAGGCATTGGCCTCGATGTTGACGCACCAGTTCTTGAAGGCACCATATGCCTTGGGCAGGGGGACGCCGGTGTTGTAGAGGCGGCTTGCAATTTCGCTGCTGAGTCCGCGCTCGAGGAACTCGATGAGGATGTTGTCCTGATCCCCCTTCTTGTACTCGCCCTTGTCATCGGTTGAGGCGACCACGTTGTACCCCGCGTCCGCAGCCAGCATTTCGAAGTCAGAGATGTAGTCCGCGAAGGACCGTCTCCCCTGGCGAAGGGCCATGAGTCAGGCAGCGGCGACTTGTTCTGCGTTAGAATCCCCAAAGGCTTTTTGGAACTCCTCCAAGAAGGTTGTCGCGGTGACTCCCGCCTTCATTCCTTGGAAACCCTCGAAATTGTGCTGCTTCCAGTTCATCGCCCATCTCGAGGCGGCGCAGCTTGTGCCGGTCTCATTACGGAGGTAGGACAGAACAAAGAGAATCTTTGTCTCATCCAGCGAGAACTCTGATCGATAGGCACCGATGTAAGTGGTGCACGCGTCCACAAAGCCCAGGTATTTGGACTTGTCGCCATCGAAGTAGGGGGGGTTGGCAGCGAGGGTGATGCGGTGATGTCCTGACATGGTAGGAGCGGGTGCGGTAGGTGGGGGCGAGGGTGGTTGTTCAGAGGGTAACTCGCCAAGGTCGGGGATCTCGTCTTCAGGCGGCGGGAGGGCGAGGTAGGGGTTGGAGGGTCCGGGTTCGTTTTGATGCGCCAGATCGGGCGACGATGGTAGGATGGGGGGAGGGGATGGGCTCCCAGATGACGATGGGAATCGGTACAAAATGGTGGATTCGTGTGCTGTACAAGCACTCGAGGAAAGGTTCTTTTGCTAGCAAAAAGATCCCGGGTCTAGCTCTTCACGTGCCCGATGATCCCGAGGTGCGTTTTCCCGAAGGTCTCCGCAGCACTCCTTGTAGCTACCGTAAGGCTTGGGTCGGGCTCAACGTTACCCGTGGCCTGGTGCTGTTTGCTCGATATGAACCTTTCACTGCGATCGCAGTGAGCGACTAGATGATTCGGTAAAAGGGTGAGTGGGGTGATAAGGGTGAAGAGGATATAGCGGGCGTAGCGGTGCACGGAGCAGGGTAGGAGGTAAGAGGTACGAGGGTATGAGGGGAGTCTTCGAATTATGTGACAATCAACCCAAGAACAAAGTCGAAAAGAGAAGTGAATTCGAAGACTGGAGAATACAACCAAGTAGCTACAGTATTTATACCCAAATCCAGTCTGAGTCATATCTACAACTAATGAGTCATAGGGCTATGTACCGCATGGAGCACTGGTCATGGGTTGTAGTAGAACCTTCCGGAGCATATGTCGCGCAGCCTCGAATCGATAGAGATAACCCCTGGAACCCCTAGCCCGGATCGTCTGATGCCGTGATCCGTGATAAGATAGGTCGTGCCAAGATAAGATAAGATCGTCGATGATAAGATGAAAAAGAGTCGAATTATGACAGTATACCTTCTGTTCTAATCTGCGGCTCCAATCCCTTACACACTCAGCATGCTTTGCCCCTGCATTGATGTCTGCAAATTATTGTAATTGTATCTTTTGTATCTGTATTGTGACATGTGACTGCTATTGAGTTTTATTAAAAAATGCGAGAGCAAGCAAGGCATCTGCCGGCGAAGGCGGCACTCTAGTACCTGATGCGGGGCCAAAATGACAGGATCACATCGCCACTGACAGTGACGTTGATCAACTTTGACAGAAGCAAGCAGAAACATCACTGTTACAAACTCCTTGTGCATTGTGCAAGGACAACCACATTTGACTTGGAGAATTGGTTGCTAAAGCTATTTCTTACTTTGTCAGCTTGCAAAACAATCTGCTGCAATTTGCATCCATGGTGACATTCACACAATCCTGCTTCTGGTGTTTTGGATCTGATGCTAGAGCCCTTGCATTCATCTCTATGAGGTCAGTCATATCATTGAAGACTGACTGTGCCTTTGAATCATGATAATGACCTTGGAAACACCATGTTTTGGGCAGCAAGATCCTTACACTGATGGGCAATGCCCTTGACCCTCTCCCCCATGTCCTTGCGCCCACTACACTCCTTTTACATTCTACTTTTGTTTTTCCTCATGTCCTGGGTCAACTGCAAGCTCTTGAACACCACAATAGACAACAGCAGCCCCAGCTTCACCTTCACCAGCTCATGGAACACAATTACCCTGACTCAGCCATGTAACATCTGCTCCTCCAAACCCAATGCATCTTTGGTCTACTAGGGAACTTGGCATGATGGAAACATATCCACCAGAGCATCACTAACAACCAGATCCTTCACTTTCACTAGTGAGCGGACTGCATGTGGTGCCACCTGATTCTCATACAAGCACCCCAGGTTCTGCTGTGTATATCTTTGGTATCGACCAAGGGACCATTGAGCCTGACATTATGTTCACGCTTGGGAGCACCATGTCTGTGTGCCACTCAGCTGTTGGTGGATTGCCAGTGTTTGTGTATAATGCCCTCTTCTTCTCTGCCACGGGGCTGGATGGGTCGCAGTTGCACACTGTGAGCTGGGCCTTGATTGTCATGGATACCTCGATGCCAGTCCAAGTCATGTTGTTCAATTATGCAGTCATGACCAGTGAGGAGCAGTGTAAGGGCAACCTCGAGACCCCAGGGGTTCCCCTGACAAGCAGGACAATCAAGTAGCTTCATTGTCTGCAAATCAACCTGCATCTACTACCACAATCATCTGCACAGAGTGAGTTTCTGCCATTGCTCAGGTGATTTCAGCTAATGCAAAGATATTCAGGACCACGACACAGACCACGTATGCTGCCAGATTTCTTCAATGACTCTGGGCTGATTTTTTCTGCAGGGGGACTGCCTCCAGTGCCAGGACATTGTCACGTTTGTAATTTGCCAATCTCTGTGCCACGGTGGGTGATGCACTCACTCATTGCCAGCAAAAGCATCTCATCAACTTTGTCAAATCATGCATCAGAAGCCGCATTGGTGTCCCCCACTTCTATTCTATTATCCCAGTCCAACACAGGCTCTGTGCATGCCATTGGGGCCAGTATTCAAACTGGCACTGGACCTGGAACTGGGACTGTCACATGGGTAAACTTGGTCTTGGTCTGCGGCTGTAACTAATGATGCTAGGAATGGAACAGAGTTAGAGGAGCAACATCAACAACAACTGTTACCCAGCCTGCTGATGCTGCTGCTATCTCTGTAAATCAGCCCACTTGTATCAACAAATTAGCTGCCATTATTGGCTCAGCAGTGGGTGCCGCTGCCCTGTTTGGCCTCTTCACTATCTTTCTATTCCGCCGCCAGCAACGCGCAAGTTCCTCCTGACTGCAATCAGAAAAGATTGCGCAGTTGCAATTCCTCTGCTTGGAAGACTACCCGTTGCACACGCTGCAAACAGCATCGACAGTCAATCATAGCACCGTGACAGTGTCTACCTCAAAGAGACATGGGGATCTCATTCCATTCATCTGGGTAGTCAGATTGGCTGATCTTGATCCAGGCAGGTATGGCTGTGACAGAGGTGGTCGCAACTGATCACGCTGAACGGAATCCTCTGGCAACATCCCCTGAATCAGATCCTGTCGGGACTGGTGTGATAATATTGCACGTTCATGATGGAATTGAACCTACCATGAGTGATAGTCAAGCAACCAATTCGGCTCGTGACTTGCGATTCCTGGAAGAGAGGCTGGGGACCTTGGAGGTGCAGGTGGCTGGCCAATCTCAGCATCCTCCCTACATCCCGGATAGTGATTGAGCTGGGCTCTTGCACTCAAAGCACTGCAGCATATTTGTGTTTTCATATTATTACTCTCCAACTGTTGTAAATCGGCCTCTCAGAATACGACCAGGCAAGGAACATAGACAGAGTCGAGCCATTACACGTTGTAAACGTGGATTCTGCAGGTCCTCTAGATACGGCTACAATAAAAGCGACAATATATTACGATACAAGTAGTGAAAGCTCAAGACGGTCACATTAATTTCGACTCGCGCTTTGCTTGTTGAACTTGCGCCAGACGCTGACTTCGCAGGGTCATGTGCGTGCCCTGAGTGGGTTTCTTGGCAGCTGCTGTGGTTCCAGCAGCAGGTAAAATGGAAGATTGCGAGAGCGAAATTCGTGTGTCATCCGACGAGAAGCCGGGGATACGTATGTTGTGATTCCGCTCTTCAGAACCAGTTAGCAAGAAGTCCGACATGTAATAACGCAAATACCTAGATGCAGCTGCAAGTCCCGCACTTCCAATGTATCTCCGCCACGGTGCTTTGCCAACCGACACGCAAAGTTTGTCACTGAATCGATGAACTCGTCCGCAATAGACAAGAGAAGCTGTAAACGCCGCGTGAATAGTCACGTCGCGACACGGAGGAAAAGAAAGCCTACATCTTCAACTTCAGGCTCTATTTTGACATTCGGATCAACACTGGCGACTAGATCGTGTATAGTGCGCCGCATGCTGAGATCTCCGGTGGGGTTCTTGCGCGGTTGCGTGCGATGGTCCGCTGTGAACGTGATGGGTATCGGGTCTTCTCGTGCTATCTGCGAAGGCGTGCCCGATATTCGTCCCGCGGCGCTGCCACCCGTTAAAGAAGGGCGCTGGTTAGCCCAGGTTGCCGGTCCAGGATTCGTGACGTTCAGAGTCTGGCTAATAGGATACGCAGACGCGTCGGCAGCTGAGGACGACAAGAATGGACTGTTGTCTATTCCGGTATCGGTCTTCAGGGCTGGGTTCAGAGGATCTGGCTGCGTGGCAAGATCAATGGAGGTGAGGCCCCGGGACAGATGCAACGCACTCTAGAAACTCCTTCAGCCGCTTTACGCGCTTGGTACTCTCTGATTTCGTTCAGTTTCTGGTAAAGGGTCAGCTCCGGTGCGTCCAAGGCTGGTATGAGCTGTACCTTCAACATGGTATCATGTGAGATGTTGTAGCTTTTCATGATCTCTTCCAGCTTTTGTTGCATTTGCCCGTTCTTCTCTTTGTCTCCACTGATGGCGGCAAGGAGCTCTTTGAAAAGTTCGGAACTGCTGAAGGCAGGCTGTGATCCTTGTGCCGGCGGCTGTCGAGATGATGAACCTTCCATTGTCGGGGAAAGAGGCTTGACGCGTTTGTTTGTTTGATGCAAACCTGTCAATCTTTCGGCAATCAGATACTACTTTCGAGTTTTCCTCGACCATGGATGTCTCCAGTATAATAGCGTCAAACGCTGCGAAATAGTATGCTCTTTCATAACTTCGTCGTCCCGAGGATCTGATAGCGACCCAGTCAACTGACGACCGTCGAGAAGGAGACCCCGTTGGAAGTTGATGCCGCCTTCCTCACTGTAACGGACCTCAATCCTATTGACGAAGATGGCTACAAGTGCGCACGAAGCCTTTCCCAATTGGATCACTTTTTCTGATATCGTGCAGATCAAATCTTGAAGAGCATCTTCAAGCACTGGCCCGCGATGGTGTCCAAACCCTTCTGGGCACCTTGTTTTCTCTACCGACCATTCGTTCCGAGGACGGTCCGCTTGCTCAACTGCCCGCCCCAACGACATCTCTCCCCCGTGCAAAGCCCCTTCCAAAACCCAAACCACCAACGAAATGGGAACAATTCGCTGCCGCCAAAGGCATCCAGCACAAGACGCGAGACAAGAAGATCTGGGACGAGGAGCGCCAGGAATGGGTCAATCGCTGGGGTCGCGACGGTAAAAACAAAGAGAAGGAGGAGCAGTGGATCACAGAGGTGCCTCTCAATGCAGGTGTGTGGCATGCATCTCCCAATATCGACACCCTCTAAGTCTGGCCTCAGATGCCGACTTCGATCCTCGAAAAGTGGCTCGCGACGCTCGTAAAGCTCGGGTGGCCAAAAATGAGAAGCAGCGAATCGCCAACGCTGCGCGCGCGAGCGCATCGACATCAACACCTGCCGCTTCTCCGCACACCGGGCGCAAAGGCGAGATCGAACGCACACTGGCTACCTCTCGGCTGAGCACGGCGAGCATGGGCAAATTCGATCAGAAACTGCAAGGGGAAAAGAAACTGCGGGGCATCAAGCGCAAGGTATGACTTCGAATTCTTTTTTCACTGTCCGGGTGTCCTCACCAGTCCTCACTATAGTTTGACCCGGCGGAACAATCACTTTCACACGAAAAGGATGCATCTATCGCTTTGATTTCTCGAATGAGCAGTGACGCTAAGAAGATGAGAAGAGATGGGCCGGTTCCTGAGGAGAGCGTGCTTAATGTGCGCAAAGCCGTTCGCCATGCAAGCAAGGGTAGTGGTGGCGCAGCGTTGGGAAGGTCGATGGCAGGTGGCTCTAAGGCTGGCAAAGGACAGAAGCGAGGGAAACGCTGAAACCGATAGCGGATTCGGCGGGCCCCAATGTGAAAACATGTGCGGGATATCGCGTGACATTCATAATGAGCGACTCGGAAATGCGTACAGATGGTGGATGAATACATGTTTACAGATGGGACAGGGAGAGAAGGGTACTGAACGGACCCGAGGCAAGAACAAGCCCGACCATGGAGGAGAGAAACATACGCCCAGACTGCACTGCGGTCTAGACCTGAGTATCGCTGACGCCTTCTTCCGTGTCCTCGCCCTTCTCGTCCGGATCGAGCCAACTCTCCTCGACCGTTGCCTTGACACGACGCACATACTCCTTCATGTTTTCCCTGTATAGCTGCGCCGCCTCGGCATTGGCAGGGCTATTGGGATTGGGGTCGTGTAACAAGCTCTGGATGGAAGTGAGGATGGCGGCGACATCGTATGTTGGAGACCAGCGATTCTGGAGTATATCCAAGCATAGCTCGCCGTTCGCGTATACATTGGGATGGAACATCCGCGACAGAAACTTGACGGTAGGTGGCTTATTAGGATACGACTCGTCGAATGTCAGCACGAGCTTGAATGTGCCGTCTTCGAACGGTGTTTCTGCTGCGAAACGGATTGATATTGAAGTGGCAAGACTGATAACGGGATGCCTCACCTGGTCCAAAGATGACTGCATTCCATAGCATGATGTTGTCTGGGCATGGACTACCCGAGATTCCGCCTGGAGGATCGGTCGAGAGGCGTTTGAAGTCCCGGATGAGACGGCGTCTGCAATTAGTGGACTGTGTAGCGCGTTATGTTGGATGATATTGCAAGGAGGAGGGCACATACCATTGTACAACGAGCGGTGAATATGGAGGATGATCAATCGGATGTGGTGGAACGCAAGATGGGTGCAGTGAGGCTGTGTACAGCCTATGCCTGTCAAATGTATTCCTATATCATGTGATCTGCTTACGGCCAAAGCGTCAAAAACGAAGCTTGTCTATCTTTGCAATTGATTCTACTCACTAAGCTCTTCGCTGAGTAACGACGGCCGTCCACTTTCTCGCGCCCTCTTACACCTCCAATACAACGTCATAATTGTGCTCCTGTACTCCGGATTCTTGATCAATCTCCTCAGAGACTCTCCATCCCCCCGGTCTTCTCCCTGTGCCGCTCCGGCGATCAGGTTCCGGCGATTGCTCCGCCTCGATCAAGAAACGATCCGCAATTCTGTTCTCTATTCGATCTATTTCTAGTCCCGCCACCATCCCATGGCTTCCTGCGGGGTGCATACAACTATGTTGCATTCTCATTTAGGCGAGATCCGAATGCACTGTTGGCCAAGAGACTGTATGCTTTCCTCTCCTGAGAACAAGCGCTATAAAAGCTCGATATGAGCACTGAGAGCAGTCGTCCCCTCGGGCTCTCCAATCCGACGACTTCCAACGCAATGCTCTTCTCTGTCGTCTCTGTCGCGCTGTTCCTCGTCCCCGGTATTCGCGCCTCTCCTTAGTACGAATGGAATACCATCTCGCTACTTTAGGGCTAAAGAATGTCGTTCCAGTCCCGATGGTCAAATGGAGGCCCGCCAAACGGCCTGTCCTGCTGGGCAGTATCGCACCAACCCTACGACTTGCTCTCCCTGCCCGGCTGGCAGTTTCTGCAATGGCTCAGGCAATCCCGAAGCTTGTGACAACGGCCGTTATCAACCAAGTGCGTCCTTTGAACCTCCAAGCGAAGCCGGTGTCTTATCTTTACAAGGCACTGGTCAATCGAGCTGCATCGGAACGTCTCCAGGCTACTTCGTGAACACCAGAGGCTCCTCCAGCCAGACGCCATGTCCTCCAGGAAGCTATCAGCCTTGTGAGTATTTGGCTTGATTTTACACTCATGTTATTCTCTCTGACGTCGATCAGATTCGACTCAGGCGTTCTGTTATGGGGCACCATCAGGCCGCTTCCAGGCTCAGTCGGTATAATTTCTGTGTCTCGAACGTACAGCTCACGTGTTTACAGGTCCGGCAAAGCGTTTGTTTGCGGCTCATGCTGTGGCTGGTCAGCTCCGCTCACCAACAACAATGTCCATCCTGTCAAATGCAAAGGATCGAGCCCGAACTCTTGGCCCTCGTCTGGCGATGGTTGCATCTCCGCGCAGACCTCCTGCACAAGAATGGCCCACTGTCATCAGGCTGCTGACGGATCTTGCCGTGAGTCCTGTCTCTGCTCACTATCTGATAATTCTCAAAGACCACAGCCGCTCAAACTTTCTATGGATGAACAGCTCTTGATAACAAACATCACAGCTAACAAGCTTCCATGTTTCTGGCCTCAAATCTCTTGTACCATCATGTAAATTAACTGTATGTAACTCATTGAATGTACCACTCGAACGGAAAGTCCTGGTGATGACATCTTCCACCATCATCACGCATCAATTGTCAATCGCGTGACTCTGTCGCGTCTCTCTCCGTCTCGTCTCCCATGAAGCTGACAGAAAAGATCGCGACTCATGTCGGCCCATCCCCCTTCTACACTCTAGAGTTCTTCCCTCCTCGAACGGATCAAGTTAGTTTATCGGAACGCGCGACAGCTACCCTCCATCTAATCTCGATCTATTGATAGGGTTTCGCGAACCTCTTGACTCGGATTTCTCGACTAGCTTCGCTGAACCCTCTGGCCGTCAGTGTTACATGGGGTGCAGGAGGGAGCACGAAGGAGAGGAGTCTAGAGCTAGCAAGCGTGACGCAGTCGGAATATGGTCTGGACACCATTCTGCACTTGACATGCACGAACATGGAGAAGGGAATGATCGATGAAGTTTTGAAAGTGAAGCGCGTCGTGCCATTTCATATTGGTTCTCAGACGGGTTCTACAGGTGGCCAAGGAACGGGGAATCCACAATATTCTTGCTCTACGCGGAGGTCCGTTGATCATATTCGGATGTCGCGTAGCGGTGCTCTTGTTCAACGATTCAAAGATCCTCCAAGAGGCGAGGAGGAATGGATCCCAACCGACCTAAGATTCACGCACGCAACTGATCTGGTCGCGTACATCCGGTCTCTTCCGGAATATGCTTCCTATTTCTGTATTGGTGTCGCTGGTTACCCAGATGGACACACAGGACAGCTGGACGACGAAACCGCAGAGATAGAGTATCTCAAACTCAAAGTTGATGCCGGCGCAGATTACGTCGTCACGCAACTGTTTTACGACGCCGACGGCTTCTTACAGTGGCAGAACAAGGCTCGTGAAGCAGGGATCAATGTGCCGATTATCCCTGGCGTCATGCCCATCCAGACCTACGCGTCCTTCTTGCGTATGACCAAACTTTGTGGCGCTCGAGTGCCCGACTCGATTTTGGCGGAGTTGGAACCCATTCGGGTATGTTTACCCTGCCCGATCCACAGCCCGCGCTAACGCGCCTCAGAATGATGACCAACTAGTGAAGGATTTCGGAGTCAAGCTGGCGGTGAAGATGATCAAGCGGCTGACAGCGGAAGGCGATGTACCGGGAGTTCATATGTGCACACTCAACTTGGAGAAAAGCGTGCAACGTGTTCTCGAAGGATTGACATGGACCCGTTCCCCAGCCATGATCCCCAACAAACTCATCGAGGTGATTTCACCAGCTTGATGGAAGAATCTTCCTTCACAATCCGTCTAGGAATCGTCGTCGGCAAACGAACTGACAATAACACCATCTACAGCCACTTCATCGGCTACTCTAGGCTTAACGAATATTCCTCAAACCGAGGGAGAAGCTGGCCGTGGCGAACTCAACAACGCCTCCAGTTGGGATGACTTTCCCAACGGTCGATTCGGAGACTTCAAGAGTCCCGCTTATGGAGACACCGGCCTCTGGGGTGGTCCCGCCGTCGGTGTAAGCGAGTAGGCATAACAGTCAAGGGTTCTGCTGATAATATTCAAAAGCACGCCGAGATCATTTCACAGTGCGGGAACCCGCGCACTGTCGAAGACCTGACGGACATATTCCTTGGTCATCTGCATGGCTCACTCCTCGTAACACCATTCTCTCCTGGTCCACTCTCAGCCGAGTCGCACTTGATCCTTCCGCATCTCGAGCGTCTTACTCGTCGAGGGTGGTGGACTGTGGGCTCTCAGCCAGCCGTCGATGGTGCTCCGTCCAATGACCAGATCGTAGGCTGGGGTCCTCGTGCTGGCTACATCTTCCAGAAGGGGTTCGTGGAGTTCTTCTGCACGGCATCAGACGTGGACTTGATTGAAAAGCGTGTGATTGAACGAGGAGAAGGGTGGGTGCATTGGTTTGCAGGTCGTAAAGAGGTGCGCGTCCCCCGCGATTCTTCACTATCGCATGAGCTAACAACGTCAGGGCGACTGTCGTGGGAATGTCCCGGACGGTGCACGGAATGCTGTCACATGGGGTGTCTTTCCCGGACAGGAAGTCGTCCAGACTACAATCATCGAAGAGGAATCGTTCTTGTCATGGAAAGTGCGTACACCCGCAGACGCTACTGGAAGGGGGCCTGACCGCGCGCTAGGATGAAGCATATTCAATTTGGCAAGAATGGGCATCCCTTTTCAACCCCCAATCAGAAGAACGGAAGTTGTTGGAGAAAGTGGGCGAAGAGCGGTGGCTCGTCAGCATAGTCCACCATGACTATCGGAATCCTGAAGCGTTGTGGACGTTCCTCTTCAGTGATCCACCGCTAGCTAGTTAAAGATCGATATGACGGCGCGGAAGAATATATCGCTGATTTCACACAGTATATACTCCTGGAAAATTCAGTTTCGATACATTAAGCGCTGCAAACCGACGCACTGGTCTAGTTGCCTACTTGGCCTCTTCCTCCTCTTTTGGTGGTTCGGCAGCCTCAATAATGTTACAGCAGGGAATTCGAAGGTTAGCGTAGAGAACTCACAGGCTCAGGGGCGCTTTCTTCGGGCTATGGGAGCGTCAGTGCAAGGACACGGGAAGGATCTTGGAGGAAGGCAACTCACGGTAGATGCGACTTCGGGAACAGGAGCATCCGCTTCCTGGAATTCAATTTTCAATATCAAACAAACGTAGGCTCCAATGCTACACACCACGGCCTGTTCGACGGAAGCCGACACGTCTTCCTCTTTACCCTCATCGTCCTTCATGATGACCGGCTCTGCGGGGGTCTCCGCGACTGGTTCCGGGTCATGTTTCTCGGTGTGCTCAGCATGCGAGTCGTGTCCATGATGTCCAGCAGCGATTTTAGCCTTGATGGCGAAGGTGTCCTTGAGGAGGTATGCAAGCTATTCCATGAGACGCTGTCAGTAATCCACGAGAATATATTCGGCCGAATTGAGACATACAGAAGGGACGGTGACAGCCAGTGCGCCAGCCTACGCCGTTTAGTACATGGAGATGTGCTGTAGTCCAGGTCACACGCACAATCCAGGGCAAGTCGGAAGAAGCCTTGGGTGCGTGAGAGTCAGCGCTCATGAAGCGCTTGGGGGCGCCGAAGCGGGGGCGGGCAGTGCGCGTAACACGCGCGAAAGCTTGTCTTCCGAGACGAGATGCCATAGTTGTGGTCGAGTTCAAACTAGAGATCACAACCGGGGAACACCGGAAACTGGCGAGCTGCGATGATGTCCATCAATAATTCCAGGCCATCGGTCCAGCTCGACACAATTCCTACGAGCCGATACACTATCTGTTCTGCTCCGGCTTTATTCGAACTCATAGGATCCCACTTGGACCGCTACTAGAATGTGCTGAGCGAGGGAAGTGTCGCCATATTTCCCGAATTGACATTCTTCGACCACGGTCGATTTAATCAATCCCTCGCCGGTTCGAGTGTCTCCATTGTGGGGACCACATCTTTGCTCCTGCTGCAGCATTTCCTATACTCCACCGAAAATGTCTTGTTGGCTTGCGCTTCAACGATCCCAATTTTGGGCGCAGAAAACCTCATATTGTGGTGCTTGTGGATGATGATGTCACCGTGGGGGTATCGTAAAAGGATCTCGCATCCCTGTCCCGCGCTATGCTTCTCCCTAATGGTATGTCTGCTGTGGTCCCTTCATCTGCAGTCCCTGTCACGGCCTCGAACTGATCTGGCACACGGATAGAACGGTGTCCCGGCCGCATATTTCGACAACCCTCGCTGACAGAATGGAAGCCCTGAAAACGCCAACGCGCCGTCCGTATCATCCTGCCGCACCAGCGAAGCGCTCGGAGTGGGCGATGTGGGTGGGAAACGTGCCCAAAGATGCGACTGAAGAAGAGTTGTGGGACCTGTTCACCGGCTCGCGCGACCACGGTGTTCAATCAATGATCCTCCTCTCACGCACGAAATGCGCGTTCGTCAACTTTGTCTCGGAGGCCCATCTAGCCATTGGCGTCGAACGATTTGATGGGAAGCAGCTTCGCCCGCATTCGCGTCGCGCTCCATTGGTCTGCCGTGTTCGAGGGCGGGAAGAAGACCTCCAGGCGGGCGTGGGCATTCAGCGAGGGATGGGATTGCATAAAGAATGGGTTGATGCACAGCGGTCCCATGGCGACGTTGACCGACTGGATAGTCCGATCTCCGACGCGTCCACATCGTCAAGTTTCCTGCAAACACACTTTCCCCAGCGATTTTTTGTCCTGAAGTCACATTCCAGGCGCGAACTGGACCGTTCCGTGGCCGATGGACTCTGGTCCACCCAGAGTCACAACCGGGGTGTGCTTGAACAGGCATCTCGTACCGCAGAGGAGACGATTTTGTTCTTCAGCGTGAACAAAAGCGGGGAGTTCTATGGATATGGGCGGTACTCCAATTCGAACCCTACCTAACGGCAACGAGCTGATGGCCGCTGCAGAATGAAGCGCTCGAAGGTGGTCACCAAATCTGCCGATGATCTACCTCCGCACACGAATATTGCTGAAAGGTCTCCGAGTCCAGTCACTCCGAGCCCGACACCTGTCCCACCCGAGATCACCCAGTCGGCGCCCAGTGCTTTGGCAGCGCGTACTGCCGATGTCGAAGAAATGCGCGAAACAGGCCGGGACGTTCCCCCCCAGCATAGTCTTGATCAATTGCTCCGGCGCCCTCGAAAACTCGAGGGCGAGGATGTACAGAAGGTCTCTAATCTCGGGGACGAGAAAGATGAAGATGAGCCGAGCAATGCGTTCCTCGTCGAGTGGATCTGCGTGGCACCATTGCCCTTCAGATATACAAGACATATCGTCAATCCATGGAATCGAGGACGGGAGGTCAAGATTTCGAGGGACGGGACAGAACTCGAACCTGGGGCAGGTCAAGCCCTTCTCCATGCATGGCGGGCATATACCCAATGATTAGATTGCACGCTTATCTCATGTACCTCGCAGATCTCAAGAGATTGTGGTTTCAACATTTAGTTCCGTTGATGCCAAGAACAGCTTACGAAAATGTCACGATCCAAGTCCTAGACGGTCGACCTGCGCGTCCAGATTTTGGGTCTCCTCCGTCGTAATCCAGCGAGCGTGTTGTTTGGGTTCTTACTGTCTCGCGACTACGTCGAGGGCTGAACGTCATCGTCACCTGCTCTTCACGATTGATCGAGGCACTTGCCGCTGGGACATCCAACTACCACCCGCCTTCCCTTCGCTGTCCCCGTCTGAAAAACATCATGAAACGTATCGAGAAGCACCGCAACCACGGGGCCTCTGTCTCCTATAGAGCCTGTTGGCTCCATCGCTGCGTCAGAGATTCTTTGCTTTATCGGTAGAAGGGTGCGTGTCGTCAGATAAGTCGATGGATCGTACTGTGGACCGTTAAACCCCGCTGCAAAAAGTCGGAGTCAGCGCCGACCTCTTTGTTCAGGGGATCATAGCTGCCTAGATTATGGTCTTCGCATACAAGAACGCACGCGACACGCTTAGGATCAGGATTTTCTCTACAGGGCTGTCGTTGACGGCATTGAAAACCGTCGAGACACTATACGCGCAGGTGCAGCCTTGGCTCATGAAAGCAAACTTATTTATGAGATATGTGGGGCGTTTCTATGGATACAGAGCATCGCGATCTACGGTGACCCACAAACCGCGGTACACTACTGGTCAACAAGCTGGGTGACACGAATAGTCGGAGCGCTGGAGGCCCGCGTATCGTTTTATGTTTCAGTTGTTTCTCTGCCAGAGGCTCTGGGAGCGTTCATGGATCTCCGGTTCCATACCTCTTCTCCTCATCCGCTTAAAAATTGAATTTTATACGCAGGTCATTTCCCACAACAGTCACTGGTCGTGCTCTTTCACTGATTTTCCCTCGTTGCAAATCTCGTGGCGGTGCGTTTCGATTACTGAGTCGGAGCACGCGTCCAGTCGGGCAGTGGTATCGCAGGTACGGACTACGGTGTAATTACAAGGTATACATCTATGTAAAGTATGTGCGTGCGCCTGGGTGAATTTCATCAGTTCAACAGTTGTCGATTTTTTCAATGCCCCTGATCCCACAGTAGACCCGAGTTGGACACGAAAACCAAGCCCATCGCAGCCTGAAACGGATCTTCCTCCAGCAGCTTTTCGTCCAGCAGGCGGTCGAGGACGTCATCCGCGCTGAGCACAGCCTGCCCTTGCGCCATCAGTCGCTCATTCTCATCATGGATGACACGGAGATGCTTGAGTGCTGTTTCGGTAGGGTCGAACGCATTCATTGAGTGTACATCCAGCTAGAACAGGTCAGAATCAAGGAACCAGGAGTGCAGAGTCCAGTGTTGAGTTTACATTGAGACTATCTTGCTTCGGAGTCGAGTCAGATTGAGACAGTAGGTCTTGCGAGTTTGAATAGGGTGTGTTGGTGTGTATTGCCGAATTTGAGCTAGGAGCAGCGACGAATGAGCTCCATTCGGTGGCGACAGGATCATCATTGGGCAGTAGTGAGAACGGGTGCTGGAAATCAGAACTAGCGCAGCTGAAGTCGAGCCATGGCTGATCAAAGACGACAACAGGGGAAGCGCAGTCGGATGGGGCGGGGGACGCAATAGCAGTGAGGAAAGAATCTCCACGGGGAAAGAGAACATGCTCGGGCGCAGACGTGTAAATCAAAGGGATAGTTGACGTTGATGCCGGTGAAGCTGCGTTGAGCGAGAAAGCAGATGAAGAGGCGAGGATGGTGGGGGTCGAGAGAGGCGCAGGGGAATGATGTTTGGTCGGAGGCGCGAAGGAATTATCGATGACAGGGAGGGAGGACACCGCAACATGCGGGGCGCGAGCGTCATTTCTGGTGCAACCTACACGTTTGCGATAGCGATGTAGCCATGCCAGAATCCACGGACGCGTCCTATGTGTGTTGCAAGAGGATGCAGAGAGAGAGAGCGCGCAACGTACAATCCTGTCTTCGACAACAGTGCTTCCCAGATGGCGGAGTTCGACGACGCATCGACCCCTCTGTGGAAGGCGTCTTCAAGGACAACGAGCTGCTTCGCGTTGGCACGGACAACTTTGGGCAGAGGACTCAGGGTCAGCAGTCAAGGGACCAAAGCTGCACACCTTTTCTGCGCACCCTCGGAGCAGGGGACATGGTGGTTTAGGATGAGAAGAAGAGTTGCTTACAATCTCAACAGTGGACTGATTTGAAGGCCTATGAATGTGAATGTAGGAAGCATTGCCCTCTGAATCTCAAAAGGCAGTTGAATCCAAAAGAACAAATGACATTTCAGTGAGTACATCTGATGAAGTTATCTACATAGATTCCGACCTCGGCCACAATAAGCAGCTTCACAGGAAGGAAAAGAATTCCAAAAATTGTCGTAAGCAAAAGCAGACGAACGGTTCGGATATAATTTGCAATCAGCAAAAGACCATGGATCGGTGTTAACCTCACTTCCGATGGTACGTGCCCGAGCACAAGAGATAAAGAACTCGCATGTTCGATCATGCGTCTTATACCTGCCACGACGCGCACGGACCAGTCACGTGAAATATACATCACGTGTACTTCTAGCTCATGGGTCGCGGTCCCGCCCCATCACATTGACACTGACAGTGAAAGGAATTTTATGAACAGGTGTCAGTACATGCTAACTAGCCTCTGACTACTCCGACCGTGACTTCGGCCTGACCGGAAGATCCACCCATCCCCAGAGCGGTAGCAACGCGATCTCTCACCCAACGCGTGAGCATCAACACATCGTCGTCACCAAGCGTCGGGCTAACATGAACTTCAAGTGTAACAACCATCCCATCCCCATCCTCGAGCCCTCCATCAGCGGCCAGCTGCCAGATATGAGGCGCGGGGAGATGGAGCACCTGCGGGTGTCTCTCCACATCTCGCATCGCTCGCAGAAATGCCTCCATCCGCCCTGAACGCAGTCCCCGAGCAGGCGCAGTTTGCAACAGGACGGCCCCGAGCACGATACAAGCCCTGTAGGCTGCGCTGAATGTCGCAGCACTGGCTGCACCAGCCAGCGCAAGGTCCACCGGCCGGTGCTCGCCCGGGGGAACAACCAGGGCGGTGCCCAAGATCCCCAGCGCGATGAGGAGTGGCGTCGCAGAGTACGGATTCGAAAGAGCACGTGCCAGAGGTGCCGTCGGCTCTGGCCTGAGAAGCGAAGCTGAGGCCGCGGGTTTCGAGCTGAGTAGGTACCGCAAGGGGGGAATCCGGTTCCCTGCCAGACTCACCAGCCGCGCATGGCTATCGAGGATGAGGGCCGTGCCAGCCAACGTACAAAAGGTCGAAAAAGTGGTGATCAGAGGGAACAGGATGCCAGCCACCTCATCACCCGCGTGGTGATGATGTCCGTCGCCAGCATCAGCACTCAGCAGCAGATGTTCCAGCGCTTCTTTACACACATAGACCGCCGAGAACATCAGATACACTGACTGCGCGAACAGCAGAACCGGCAGAGTCCTGGCCGTCGCATATGGTTTTGAAACGTGAAACCGCAAGTGAGGAATCGCGACACCTATCGCATCAAAAACGGCCCAGTAGCCCAGTGCCGTCACTGAGAGCGAGCCGCACTGCTGGCCCTGAACCCACAAAGTCGCTCCCAGAAGGAATTGCCCCGTCGCAGTAGCCAGGTACACGGCACGGGGCTGGGCCTGACGCTGGTCGCGAAGCAATGCAGGCTCCGTCTTCCCTGGGACAGAGCTGAGAGAAGCGTCCGAAGGAAAGGGGGAGATGGGCATCCATGGTGAGATAGGTGTCGGAGTCGGCTGCGTCACCAGTGTCTGAGAGTCGGTACCCCGCGGCTCGAGAAACGAAAAGAACGTATGAGAGACGGAGTGCTTGTGATGATGACCACGCCGGCTGGCAGAGGAAGAAGGAGTGATCCCACCGGACTCATTCGCCGATGGCATGGGCATCTCCTCTGGCGGAGGCGTGGTCCCAAACGAAAACCCTGCCCCCAGCGTCGGCCTTATCTCCAGCTCCTGCACTCCGTCTTCGTCAATAGTGGCCTCGGAAACGGAGCCTGGTCGGGGGAAGAACACGGATAGATTCCTCGAGTGAATACGCGAATGTCTCCGGGTATGGGGTGATATGGGGGGTTTGAGATTGCCGTCTGCGTCGCGGGTCGAGTTTGACGGCGCTGACTGAGAGGTGGGAATACTGTCATTCATCTGGTCTGCGAAAGACGTGCTCGTAGACAGCGGAGAGGGAAGAGAAGGAGAGTACGGGCTGGAAACGGAGCGAGTACGCGAATGATTGTGGGGGAAGTTGTTGCGAAATGGAGAGACCGGAGAGGCATGGAAAGACGTCCGGTAGGGCCCAGCAGAGGATGGTGGTAAGTTCAATCCTGGGTTTCCCGATATGTTCAACGGAAGACCGGAAATGGATTGGTTCCGTTGGTGACCTCGATGAGGTGTAGACTGCACCCTGGTCCGAGAAGGTGGGGGACCCATTGGTATGCTGGGGAAGTCAACTGGTGGGGTCACCACGACAAGAGCGTTGTCATCGTCGTCACCGGCGCTCGACCGCCGGCGGTGAATACGACGCGGCGACTCCACACTCATCGTTTGAGACAACGTTCAATAAGTCTGCTCGTGACCTGCCACACCACGTGTCCAGCCGAAGGTGACAGTGACAATATCTTATCTGAAATCTTATCTGTCTTATCTCGACGCTGAGTGATTCTCGACGATGTTTGCTGGCAATAAGTAGGTGATACAGGCATAAATACTAGTACAAATCCGGTGCTGGATATTAAGAATGCTCGGACGGACAGCATAAATCATGTAAGGAGCACTTACAGGATGTACTCTATGTGAATATGCGATCATAACGATTGAGACACGACCAGCCCTCGCGATCTGACAATAACTTAGAGACGAGGATGCAAAGAAATGCATTCCACCACTTACCAAAGTTGTCATTGACGTCACACCCGCATTGTCCTCGAGAGTGGGATGGCTCCTGCGGACAGTGCTGGAACGGGTTGTGGTGATAGCCTGGCAATCAATTGGTCCGAGCTGCGCGACAAAGTGCGGCTCCAACTCACCAATGTCATCGAAGAAGTGCTGCGATGCATGTGTTTAGCTTGTGGATCTCTGTACAAGAAGAATGAGAACGTACGATCTGATCTTTGCGAGCGAAGAGTGCTGCTCCGATGCTAGATGCAAATGAGTTTCGTCTGGAATGGGAAAACTGGGGTACATACGAATGAACTGGTGCATCACCCCATCGTTCATAGTAAAAGCCTCCTCGTGAGTCCAAGAAATCACTGCAAGTATGTCAGCTCACGCCCCTTCAATGTATGAAAATATGTTACAAGAACTTGGTGTATGCCTCTCCACGCCAGAGATCGAGATCAGCAATTTCGAAGTTGGACCAGAAGTGGCAGTTGTTGTAAGTCAGGCCGCCATCGTCGCTGAGGAAGCCCATGGCGTTTTCCGGCGAGATCAGCTCGGGATACTCCTTGATGAAGTCCCTAACCGTCGCCCAGAGCGTAGGGATCGTTCGCTCGTACTCAGGAAGGGAGATCGTGAAACCGTACTTCTTGCTCTCATCTTGCATGAAGAGGAAGGGGTCGTAGTCAAGGTTACAGTAGAAGTTGACGTCGGGCTCGACACGCCAGTAGTACCGGTACTTTTTGAGCAGCTCGTGACGGTAGAAAAATCCGGAGTTAAACCGGCACATATTGCGGTACGGGACGCTACCTACCTCGGCTTCAGCGTGAGTCGTTATTGTTGGCACAAAACGTACCGCCATAGATAACATCATGTTCGATCATGTCCTGCCGCGCAGCGGCCGCCTTATTCTCGTCAATCCAATCGGGCTGGAACCAGTGGTCGTGGGGAATTAGCCCGAACTCGACCTTACTATCGGTGAGAGTGCGGACGGTGTTCTTGAAGTGGTCCGTGAATGGTTCTTCATTCAAAAACACGTAGGGATACTTGAACTTTTGATTGAATTTGACTTCGAGCTGCGCGACGCTGCCGCATCTTAATATGCGAGTTCTGCGAATTGGCTAACTGCACGCACCTTCGAATGATGCCATCCAAGTCACCGTTCCTAGCCAGAGATACGATGACGGCGTTTGCTCTTCTCTGAGTGGTGTTGGGCTTCAGATAGAACGTGTCTGGGATGGGAGTCTTATATGGCGGCTCGTGCCAAATCTTGTGACCGGTGACTGTGGAGTTCGAGCTCGACCCTTTGGGAAAGGAGGAAGAAAATTGTTTGGCGATGGATTCCAAAGAGGTCGCTTGGCCGTATCCCTCGTGTGAGAAACTAAGAATGTAATGCATGCCGATCTGTGTGACGAATGAGACGTGTTTTTGGGAAGTGAAACGGAGACAACTGACCAAGACCGCGAACGCAAGGACGCCATACCGCGTCTTGGTCATCATCTTGGGCGAAGGGGAAATGAGCGCGAGACACCGAGATAGCTCTGCTACGCAGTGGACGTGTCTAGTATGAAAGGTGATTTGGTGCTGACGTGAGCGGTCAGTGGCCGGCGACCGGAGCCGTGGCCGGGCGAGGCCCTCAGGCTCCCTCTTCATCAAATGACCAACTTCCAGTCGTCAGGCGCATTGGCTTCAACGTCGGATACGGCTCAAGGATGCGAGCTGCTTGCGAATGTGCCTGACCTCGTTATCGCCTGCGATTCACGGGCAGCGGACATAAGTTCTTGACCAACCACGTATCGGATGCCCCCTCTCTAGGCAAAACCATATCGGCCGAAAGATCTTGACCGAAGCGCTTCTTCGGCTCGACATCTCTTTCTTATCTACTTCGAAATGGGCGCGCCGCTCTAGGAGAGCTGCATATCTTTCCTCCGCGTGCTCCAGCTCCTTGGATCTTCTTCCTGACCACAACCATGATGGAGAACGAGAGAACCGAGGTTCACAGCGTCCACTGGCAAGAGGGACTCTGAAATGTGGGAGCCTCATTCTGACCACCGCTCAGGTTCCGCAGCACGATCTTCCAGATCTTTGTCGTGGGCGCGGTCTTCTTCTGTGTGAGGACGATCTCCCGAATTGAGCTTACTTGGCTGATTATTCTTTAGGCTCCGGTACGCTCGATACATCGGTGCCGACGCGATCTTGAATTTTCTTCATAGGGAATGTACAACGCTCTCAGCTCCCTTGGTGCAGGGGGTCTAGCGACTCCATGGTATGCCAATGCTACCGCGGCGGCTGGTTATGGTAAGATGATCAACAACCGTGTGTATGTTCCGGGAACACTCACACGACAACCCAGTCTTCATGGCCGTTTTGTGCATCACTGGCGGAATCATTGTCAGCAAAATCGGCGTGAAAGCAGCTTTGACGGTGCGTGTAACTGATTCATTTGCTTTCAATCATACTTATGATTAGATCGCGAGCACTGGCGATATCTTGTGAGTCATTACTCGCACTCGCACTAGTGACTATGTTCAACGATTGCATCGCAGATATGCCGGCAGCCTGTATCTCAACTCCAAGAATGGAACGCAGTGGTTTTTGATGCTTGGTGGGCTTCCTCGGTGTATTTCTCTGGCATCATCTGAAGTTGGCAGGCTCTATCATATCCGGCTGCACGGACGGGCTGATGTATGCGGTTGAGGGTCCCATCATCACATGTAAGCACCTGCTCCCCGAGATCAGCAGAGAGATGACGTAGTTTACCTAGCCTATCCTGAGCCTGAGAGACGTGGTCGTATGTTGGCTCTCTGGGTGTTTATGCGAAACGCGGCTCCAGTCATCGGTGCGGTTTCTCTTCTTCGTCTCTTTCAGACGGCTCAAGCTATGCAGGCGGTGCCATCATCTTTGGTTTGAACAACTCCATTGACTCGTCTGGAGCGGTTTCGCTTCGAACGTACCTCGTGATCATTGGGATTATGTGTGCCGGGCCGTTCATCTCCTTCCTCCTGTCAGAACCCGAGAAAGTCCAGCGGAGGGATGGATTCAAGATTGTTCTGCGCAAGGCGGGCTGGGTCCAGACACTGACAGAATGGTGGAATATCGTCTGCTCGCGTGATGTCCGTTCTTGTCTGGACTTCTCTGGCTCTGGCTGACACCGATCTCAGATCCTACTGTTGTGTCCTCTGTTCTTTACCAGCTGGTTCTACGGGTCATATATTGGAACACTTCAAACTCAATACATGAATGTGAGAACTCGGGCGCTATGTGGTGAGTAAGTTATTTTTGTCAGGGAAGATTGACCTTAAGCGCGATCAGCTTTTGTTATCCCGTTCGGCGACATAGCAGGAGGATTTCTGATCGGATATTTCCTCGATTCGAAGCGACTTTCGGTGAAACAGCGGGCTCGATGGAGTTTCGTGTGTTTGATGATACTGAATTTGGCACTTTGGTTCGCAGCCTCATTTGTCTTATATTTGTTGCTGATGGACTGGAAGGATCTGGACAGCCGTTGTTACAAGACAATTGGAACATGAAAAGCCTGTGATCGACTGGACGAGCGGATCCATCTTTGCCAACACGTTCATCCTGTTCATCTTGTTTGACTTGGCGACCATGGCCACACAAACCAGTCTCTACTGGATCATTGGGCAGAGTCTGTATCACTTCGGTTCCCGTGATGTAGTCATCTCATCCATTTTCAGTTTCTGATGACTTCGTCGCTCTCTCATACATGACAGGCACCCTCCGAGGCGTCGAGTGTGCCGGTCAGGCGGTTGCTTACGGCATCAAGTCGAGCAACACTACTAACTGGCTGTCCATCGGGCTCAATATCGGCCTCAGTGCGTCCTCCTCATCGAGTCTCATGTCGCGTCCTAATTGCCGCAGTTGTCTTCTCTCTGCCGTTTGCATGGGTCGTAATCAGGAAGATCGGGGTCGTACCGTTCACCAAATTTGCTGTGGCAGCGGACACACAGAGCGTATCTGACAAAGATTCCGAAACAGAGAAGGCGCTATGATATCCGTCGAGAGGATTTGAGTAGTCCGATTGATATAAACTACTGACACCGATTCCAATACTCATATGCGAGAAGAACAGGTCTTATGTCGGTGATTCCCTCTATCTGCCTGTCGTCCGGCTCCTGGTGAGCATTAAGCGCATCAACTTGGCCTGACCCGGCGAGGGATTTGCGGCAAAACCCAGAACAGAGGTTTTTGATTCCAATCACGATCATGTTTCTGCAAACAGCTTCAAATGCTCTCTTCATGATAGTGCTCACTTGTTGATGACGAGGCGGATGTAGTCTTTCAAGGGTCCATGGCGCGCGTACTGTTCCGCCTTCGACTGGAACGTGGACGACTTCTAGCACTTCTCGAACCCTGCGTGTTTACCTGTATTTACCGCTCAAATACACTGCCGCATTGTGACCTCCAATTTGCGCCTACTTGAGCCGCCATTCGCTGGACGAGACGATTCGCGCATGCCGCCGGAGAAAGATATGGGGGGACCATCAAACCCGACGTGGTACGACCCCAAAGAGAGTGAATGGGATTTCGAACACCCAAAATACTGGAGCGAGGAGGACCAAGAAGTGTTCGTCGGCATTGTGAGTCGCGCCCCGAGTCCTCGAGTGTTGCACTCACGCACGTATCCTAATTTGCAAGAAACAGCGCGACGGCGACGAACCCACAAAACTCGAGACACTGTGTGGCACATACCGCTGGTTCTACGACTTCCCCGAACCGGGCACAACTGAGCCAAACGACATCTCTTACGACAATTCCGACGCATCGCTCCCGCACCCGGGTACTTGACGATATCAAGCACCGGGAAACGACCGACGCTGAAAAACATCACGGGGACCGTGGTGGTGTTCGGCAAGGAGGCCAAATTCTCTGGGATCAAACGCGCGAAGGACCGCGACAAGAATCACCTGGTAGATAACCACTGGGAGTTTGTGACATTCAAGTGGAAGGAGAGCTATGGGCCGCAGCTGCAAGACGAAGGGAACAGTCTCGTTGCACTGGATGTGATGGACGACGGAGGAGATCCTTTCGTGATGATGCGATGCACGTATCCAGGGCCCTCGGGGCACACGTGGTACCGTGACTTGGCCGCGAAGAAGGAGCGAAGACCAAAAAGACACGGGCTTTCGGACGCGGAGAGAGCTCGGCTGCACATGGAGGTACACTATCCGGAGGTGAGAGCTGCCGCACAAGCTAAAGCGGCAGCGGGCAAGGCCGCCGCTGAATCTTCATCCTCCGAAGAGGAAAGTGACGAAGACAGTAGCTCGGATGAAAATGTAGCTTCCAGAAGGAGGGGATCGCGGCCTGGCAAGCGAAAACAACTCGACTCACTAGGCTCGGACACGGAGAATCGAGGCAGGAAGCGTAAAGCTTGAAAACTTGGGGGGAAATTAAGTAAATACCGGATGGACTGGTGTATTTGGATTGCTCTGCTATCACTTAGAATCTTGCGACACGATTCGAACGCTCTTTTCGGACGCGCCTCTGGACGCGTAGCTACGCGATCATGTGACTCTCTGTTGAAAGAGGACCTGGACGCGCGGGATTCTCACGCATTTAGAAAGTCTTCCCACAAGATGCCCTCTGAACGAAATTCGCTTTGTGATCTCGGAATAGGCCGCGGTACAGGAGTGGTCGATACGTGGGAGCATACACGATTACTCGGCCAGCACTTCGCGCCAGGAGGGATGAGTGCAAGATATTCTGCATCGTGAACTATCACACCAGTGCCGTTTTCCGCAGATCTCATGTCAGGAGGAGACTCAAGCACACATGAGCGGTATCCACACTTCCACGTCCACGAATAGATGTCAAAGGGGGCCACAGACGACCTCCCTTGACACACCTCTCTCTAGCGCCGGTTTGCAAGAGACGATCTCAAACGATGCAAAGTCAAATAAACGCAACAATTTTTTCCCTTGTTGTGCGTTCGTCAATCGGGCGTCGTCATCATCTCTTCTGACATCAAGCAGTGAACTTTGAGGGTTCCTAAAACCTCCCCTCGAAGCCTTCGACCCCTGCAGACCGAGACTCCCTCCATATTTTATCACCGGCCGTGTGCAGTGAAACTTTTATTTCTCGAGGGCAGCAGAGGATCTTGTACAGGCAGGGGCATTTGAGTTAGATATGCAGCTAGAGATTAGATTAGATGAACAATCGATGTCATACGGCATAGCCTCTTGGTCTCGTGGCCAGTGATGTCATTCAAGTTGTGCAGACTCGGTGCTTCCGACTTGGAAACGATCTATCAGCTCAGCACTGGCGAGCTTCGGAGTGCTGCATGCACGGCTCCTTCAGAACTTTTGTAAGCGATCTTTGAGCACTGGCTGGCTCTCGGACACCGCACGCTATTGCAATTTCAAGTTCGTGCGCCGCACGCCCACAACATCGAGATCCATCTGGTCCCAGTCGCCCCGGGATCCCTTGAAGTCCATGGAATTGGAGGCAAATACAAGCGCAGAGGGAAGGCTGCTCCATTTCGATGCCACTACACGCAAATGGATTCCCTCGATGGCCCATGTCCCAGGCCAAACCGTGGCAGAGTCACCTCCGCGGCTGTCTCTCTTGTCCTGGAACATCGACTTTGCTGGCTCCCTATTGATCACCCGCTTCAAAGCCGCGCTGGATCACCTCGAGAGCCTTCTTTCCCAATCCTCAGCGCAGCCCACAGTCATCCTGCTGCAGGAGGTCGACCAGGACTGCTTCGCGCCCCTTCTGGCACACGACTTCATCCGCACCCGCTACCACATCACGAACGACGCGTCTTCCCAAAGCTACAGCACGCTGACGCTCGTCCCGAACCCCCTCGCCGCGTACGTCTCCGCCGTGACGCGTGTGCCCTTCGCGCGCAATTCGGAGACGCGGATGAGTCGCGACTGTCTATACGTCGACTTGGACCTGCACCTGCCGCATGCCGAAGAGCGATCTGCCCTCTTCCGACTGCGGATCGCCAACACGCATCTGGAGTCGCTCCGCGGCTTTGGCGACGCGGCACGCCCCAAACAGCTGGCAAAGATCGCGAAGTTGTTGACGGCGCCAGGGATCGACGGTGGTGTGGTTGCGGGCGACATGAACTGCATCGCGCCGACTGACCAGGATCTGCCCGAGGAAGTCGGTCTCGCGGACGCGTGGGTGAAGAAAGAGGGTCATGAGTCAAACGCTGAAGGAGACGACACGGGCGAGGCGGACGGTCATACCTGGGGCTACCAGCCTAAAAATCGGTTTCCACCGCGCAGAATGGACAAAGTCCTTTTCGCCGGAAACGTAAGCGCTACGATTGTTCAGCGTGTCGGAGTGGGGCTGCGAGTAGAGCGCGACAAAAATCCGGTGTGGGTCAGCGACCATTATGGACTGTTAGCATCATTGGCGTTCAGCCGACCTGCCATTGAGAGCTGATACAGATACATAGACCACGCATATATCCTCTGGTATAAATAGATACAGCAGAGATTGTCTACGAGGAAGCCCGGTCCCAGCTGCCATCACTCCTGTTCGCGGGACTCGCAGCCCCAGATGCCGGCTCGTCTCGATAATGCGATGAAGATCCCGCCTGGGGCTGATCAGTCGGCTGATCCCGATACGCGCCGTCGCGCACTGTGGAAGTCAACCGCGTCTGCTCATCAGCTTCATCCTCGTCATCCGAGACCTCTCCAAATGCATCATACAGCTCTTTCGTTCGCCCTCCACCGCTCGTACGACCGGACCTAACGCCGCTCATCGGAACGTCATCACCCTCCGGCAGTGTCGAGTAATTGCGCAACTGTCTCGCCCGGCGACGCCAGAAGAAGATCCCCGCACCAGCGATGAACACAGCAACGGCACCGATGGCGACAAAGAACCATGCTTGGCTTTTAACCAGGTTCGACATGTCCGAGAACCAGCCCTCATCGGCAGTTGGGTGACTCGACCGGGTACTCGAGGGGCTCGGCGAGCTCGAGGCAGTCGGGGAACTGACAAAGACGTGCTAAACAACACACTGTCGTCGACGGGCTTGCCTTGTCCAGGGAACGTCGCATTCGTATTTTCTCCGGCAGCATCCCCGTGATCCCCTGGAAGATGCGCAGTCGGTTTCGAGTGTTGCTTTGTCGAGCTGGCAGCCAAAGATGTCGTCAGGTTTGGCCGGGGAGGCGGTACCGCATCGACTAGCGGAGGGAAGATCACATCGTCATCGTCATGGGGAACTTGAAACGGGAAGGCCTTCGATCCATCGACAGCAGAGCCCCAGAACATCATGTTCCAGCCCAAGAAGCTTCCGTTGGTTTGAGACGAAGCAGAGCTTGTCACTTTGATCGTCCAATCTCCAATGGGGTTTTCGCCCCAGTGCTTTACAGACATGAAAGTCCACCCAGGATAGCCAGTCGTCGCACCGTCCCCGTTCCGTTTTCCCGCCAAAACACTGCGGATACCAGTGGGGCTGACGAGCTCGACCTCGACATCACCGCGTCGGCCGTGCTGGATCCACACCTTCACATTCACATGCTCCAACGTCTCAAAGTTGTTCTCCGCGAGCATCTCCTTGGTGATCGTCATCACACTCGTAATCCCGTCCCGCCCGATGTGTTGGCCGCCCGAGTACTGCTCGTAAGCCGCCATCGTCCCGTTTTCGAACTGGATCGCCTTCGTCCGGAACCAGACCTGGGGCTTGACCAGTTTCCAGCTCATGGCTGCTTTGATGTATTCATATCCATCCAACGCTCCGAATCCGTACTTGTAGGAGTACATCCGACCAGGAAGAGCAGTGGCTTCCCAATCCGGGTCGTCGACATTGATCCTCCGCGCATTCAGCACACAGAGGTGTTGAATGTCTCGCCAGGTCAAGTCGGGTCTACACCGCGGTCAGATCTGAGCCCCATCAATCATATGGACCAACACTCACCGGGCTTCCAATGCCAGTGCGAAGACACCGACTGCATTCGGTGCAGCTGCCGATGTACCGCCATGAGTGGTGGCACATGCATTCTCGCCCTTGTCCGTGGTGACCTAGCACGGTTTAAATTCAGGCAAAAAGGAGATAAGATGTGTGCGCACAATAGACTTTCCGCTACCCGAGCTGTAAGCGACCACCATGTTCGCTGCACACGGCTCGGAGTAATATGGATGCAGACCCTTCCAGTCGACCGAGGAAACCGTCACAGAATAGATGCTGTTTGTGTACCCGTCGAAGTTGCACTGGTCGCCATGCGCGGCGCCGTTTCCGCTCGCGAAGACGTAGATGGACCCTTTTCCATTTCGGCCGTTGGTAATCCCGTTGACGATGGCCTTCTTGATGAGGTATCCGGGTGCTTCCATCGCCTTTCCCGTGTCAGGGGGACCCCAGGAGCACGAGTAGATCGACACATTGTTGTAACCGTAGTTGAGCGAGGCGGCTTCGTCCACGTCCGATATGGGCCCCGAGAGAATTCGGACGCCAGCAACGCGGGATGCGTACGCAATACCAACACCGCATGCTTTGTTCTTTCCGGCAGCGACCTGGCCGGCACACCGTGTGCCGTGATGGTCGTCAGAGAGTTTGGGGTAGGGCAGTTCGACGTGGTCGTTGAAGTCGTACGAGTCGTCCGCATCCTATTCAGGCATAAGAAAATACGGAAATTGAGCACTAGCCCCAAAGTGAACGCACGAAATTAGCCTTCAGATCCTCGGAAGTGTAGTCCAACCCATCATCTACGAACGACGATATGACGCCCTTCCCGGTCAGCTTCAGAATCTCCCATGCGCCCGTGACATTCATATCGTGGCCCCGCTGGTCGGCGTTGTCGTTCACCAAGTGCCACTGCTGCGTGAACATCGGGTCCTCGATCTTCAGTCGGTCGGCGACAGCCTGCGCGGTCCATGCCTCGGGACTGGGGGTGGGAATCGGCGGAGGCGGCGCCCGCTTTTCTCGCTGGCGCAGCGTCTGGCGCGCGAGATAGGGCACGGCCGCAGCGAGCGCCGAGGAGCGCCGTCCATGCGCGTCTGCGTCTGGAGCGCCCCGCCGTAGCGCGTTGTAGCGCTCGACAACGCGGTCGGACGCCTCCTGCTCCCCGCGCACCTCGAGCGCGGACTTCTTCGTCCGTGCGAGCCAGTGGTTAGCCAGTTCCCCCGCCTGCTCGACGATCTCGACTCCCAGCGCGGTTGCGACGTCGCTTAGCGGCTCGCCGGACGACGGGTCGTGTTCGAGGACATAGTAGTTATGTGTATCGTAGAATCGCTTTGATGGGCGTGCGGCAGAGACAGGATGGTAGGATGCGTGGTGTAGGAGTAGTCCGAGAAAGAGTGGCCATGGTAGTAACATCGAGGAAGAAATGGGCGGCACAGCCACAAGCCTCTCGCGTGGTTCCATGTCGATTCTCCCGTCATCACTTGTCACCTACATCGAGGCTTGGACAGTTGAAGCCTTGGCACTCTCACGTCTAAGTTGCTCGACCAGCAGTCAGTTTTACTTGATCGTAAATATTTCAAAGCACTGCACAATGCCTTGATTAATATTCCGGACTGGGAACGCGCTCATTAGTAGCGCGACTCTCGGCCGCCTCGCCATCACTGTGATCTATGTAAAACGCGGCCCCGATACTCCTCCCAAAAGCAGCACCCAACTTGACCGGAACAGCGTTGCCAATCTGACGATAGAACTAAAAACAAGGTCATTTGAGCGGAATCATCGAAGCTAGCCGCACACACGCACGTCTTTGACCCTGAGACGCGGAACCGTTTCCACCGACTCCAGGACGAAATCGTCCGGAAATCCTTGGCTTCGTTTGGCCTCGAGCACGGTGACAACTCGATTTAGCTGTATGAACGTGTAGGGAATCAAATGGAAGTTGGGCAATGCACACTGAAGGCACATACATTGGGATGAAGAAGACGAGCACCTTTCGAGGATGGGTTCACAATTGTCATGGCAGTTGAGAAGTACGACGCTTCGTTGAGACGGCCATAGGACATGCCTCCTTTGAGCTTGTAGTTCAGACTCTTCGGCAGATCTGCTTGGGAATCAGTAACACAGACAAGTGGCGAATGAGGGC